TTTGAGCTCGGGGTAGAAAACCTGAAGTGCGCACTTGGAAAACGGCAGTGTGACCGGTTCTCTCTTTGCAAGGTCTTGAAAACAGAATCATCCCCAATTCTAGTTGCTGGTCCAGGGACAGGCGGCTTGTCCCCTCAGCGCCATTTACGCTCCCAGCTAGCTGAGCAGCACTTATAAGCTCTCCACGTCGAGCTGACAGGGGGCGCTTGGGTTAGAAACATCGCTCTGCACCAGCTATGGCTGCCCTGCAGGTCAGGTTAGACCTAACAGGCGAGCTGTCAGCAAAGGAATCCCTTCGGCCCGCCATTTGGAGGGAGTCCACCATTCAAAGATGCTGTCGTATGCCTGCCAATTATTGGCACTTCAGTCCAATCTGCCAGCTGAAAGTCAGTCGTGCATTGGCAGAGTCGGGGAAGAGACGAGAAGCTGATCTGGATTGGTGGTCACGAGTGGCTTGGAAGAAGAGTACTTGTTGTGATGACCAGGAAAGCAAGCCACTAGATTCGAGGGGATTGAGGGGTCACATCCTTTGGTTTTCTACGGTGCAGCGGAGACTGAATCAGCTGGAATGCATTGATGCTCTTCACCGGAGACAATCTGCGCATGAAGGTGAGTTTTTTGAATCGGTTGGAAAGTTCAAGAAGAAACTCTTTTGATCTGACTTCTGCAGCGGAGAGCAAAACTTGGCATGGAAGAGTGCTGCACTGATTGCAGAACGTTGGTGGTGGAAAGTGTTTGATCCTGGATGCTTGTGCCTCATGGGTTTATGTTTTTAGGATGCTTCTGCATTACAAGAACCCAATGCTTACAAGCTGGATGGATCAAGCCTTCTGTGGGGTTCAATGGAGGCTCAAGTTGCTAATGAATCCATAGCGTCACCTTTTTGCGAGGTCAGTTGATGTGACTAGCAAATAATCAGTGAACGTGTGATGACAAAGTGACCCTTATAGGTTAGGTGTGTTCCATAAGCTCCTTCCATAAGATCCTGGCTGATCCCAAAAGCTTGAGCAACCTGGGTTTCTTGCCTATTGATGCTTCTCCGTCTCCAACTGCTTTAGAGCTTCTTTTTGGTTCGATCAGGCCAGAGCTGCTCATATGATCCCCATTCTCGAATCCTTAGTCTTCTTCTTGGGTCGACGATCATTGAACCTGATCAGTGAACAGTCAGTGGATGCATTTGTGCTGGTCTTCCATGATTTCATTCGCTTTGCAGACCGTATATGGTCTTCAAAGCTGCGAGGTATTTTTGGACATAGGAGTTATGCTCTGCTTTGTGCTTCACCCAGTCAACAGAAGTATGCGATGGATACGAGAATCCGAGAGCAACCTTCTTAGCCCGTCATTGTTGCAGCTTTTATGTGAATCCGTAGTCATTGTTTAAACAAACATAGTGTAGACTGTTCTCACTGTGCTGGCGAATGTGGATCGATCTGCTTAATTGGTGTTGTTTGCATGTAGCTCTGTAGGTCACTGCTTTGCGCGATTGCATTTTCTTAACCAGTAAAAGGTTAAGAAAGTGGCTCAGACGATTGCTTTTCCAGCACTGATGAGTAAAGATCTTGGGGGATGCTGCCAGAGGACCTTGATATTTGATACTGGGGCTCTGCTTATCCCTGAAGTTCAAAGTACAAAGAAATCCTGAACGTCGGCGTATCTTAACCCACTTCTGGTGATTCTGACATAGTTCTGTCACTGTTGGATGCAAGTCAGTGCAAAGTTCAATGTTGACAGGCCGGTTCAGGACGGCCGTATCAGAGTCCCCGCTCCGCCACATGCAATACAGCGAAGGAGGAGGTTGTGTGAAAGTCAAGCCAACTAGTTCTCCTTTCAAAAAGCCGGTCAAGTGCCTACTCCATAATTCATCTCGTCTCTTATTTATCTTTCCAGGACTCCTAGACCCCGCAACCATCATTCTGCATCTTGACTGCCCTTTCTAGCAGAGCTACGCGAGAAGAGCAGTCCAATGACACAGCCATGCTTTTTATGGGGCGACCCCAGTGTGGAGCGTCGGGGCAGTCCCTTGAAGACAGCACTTTTATTGCTAGTGGTTGCAATCAGCTTCAAGACGGGGTATGGAGCTTTAGGGGACGCTGTTTCGTCGACGTGCCCCTTCAAGGGTCCCTCTACTGAAAGTAAGTGAAGGAAGGACGAGTCCTTCTGTTTATATAAGTTCCGAGTGCACAAGAACACTTCCACTCTTCTTTTCACTACTGGAACTACACTCTTCTTTTCACCTCACTGGAACTAAAGATGGCTGATTAGACTGACTGTAATCAGGAACGTGCCCGTTCAGTGCCATTGGTGTCCAGTATCACTGTTTTATAAAAAGATGCATTCAAAAAGTTCCAATATCCTGCAATCAGACACTGAGCTTTTGGAGGACTGAACCAGCTGCAGCTATCCTGTTCGAGTCTTACTTGGCACTTGGCTCAAACCGTCAGCCACACATGTGAGCAAAGCTTCCGATTTACAAGTGCCAGCAACAGCAGAAGCGATATATTCATCTAGCATAAAGGAAGGCATGGCAGAGAGTATGTACACTCCGTGTTAAGTGTGAGTCTGGGCCGAGTCTGAGCTCAAATTGAAGCTCCTTTTGGTCTCTAGCTTTTGTGCGGTGGAGCGACATCAGCACCTGGCCGAATGGAGTAGTCCCTGGAGTGGACCCGTCCAAACCAGCAAACGTGGTCATCCCATGCGGCCAATCAATCCTTCTAGATCGGCCGAGCCTCAATCTGGGGCTGTTGAACGTCAGCGGACATCTCAAGTGAGTAGTGGAGCATACATCCACCTCCCATACACTCCGCATCATCAAGAATGATGTGATGTATCTTGCGCTCAAGATGGATCTTGACTGGGTCGTCATCCTTCTGGTTGATAGGTTGGTTGAGGGGTTCGTTGCCCTATCTGCTACACAACATCTTTGTCAATCTGGTTATGGTATGGCGTACCCAGAGTGGTGAAGAAGGTTCGCCTCAACCAAATATGTGAAGGTCAATTCTTCGTCGGCCTTATCTGCGACGTGTTTTCTAATGCGTTTCATCCGCCTGTCAAGGTGACTCAACCGAAGCGGCTTGACTTCTGATCTGGGGTTTAAGATCCCCACTCCCCCTCAGATGTCTCTTCTCCACCGTTTCCGTAAACGAGCTTGAAACCACGTTGATCACTTTCGTTTTGAACAAATGCACGCGTTGCCTTTGCACAATCGCTAGTTCCTGAGACCCCAGGCAAGCAGTGCATCTCAGCAATCTTTGCAGGTTTCTTGATGACCCCAGCTTGCCTCTCATCTCGATCAACGCAACTGCAATCGTCGTCTTCGGTCAGCTGACCATCGGCACCCCGGCGCAGCAATTCTCCAACAAAGTGAACATCACCCTGTTCTCCAATGGGACCCAGGAGCAGTACGTCAGCTACCCCGCGTTTAACGGCTCTCTACAAAGTGTTGGGGAGAAGGTGTTTGCAGTGGTACGTTTTTTTGTTTTCGCCCTTTCGTTTGTCCTTCTGTTTGTACGGATTCTGACAACAAACGTCCTGTTCCACCCTGCTAGAAACCAGTCTAGAGTTGCCTTCTAATAAGTATATTGGCGCTGTAGTAGATGTAGGTTTCCGAGATTGTATGGGGAACAGCGTCGGGCTTTTGTCGGTCTGCTCTGTTGGGTCTTTGTTGTGTTGGAGAATATCAGATTTTCTCAAGAACTAGGTATGGCGGATCTTCGCAGGTTGGGTGACAGGTTGATCTGCACGGGATGCCCGGCTTTCTTTGAGGAGCAGACTTCAACATGCCCAGGTTTGTCAACCAGTAAAATGGTCCTTCGCAGTTCGGAGGACAGGTCAATCTGCAAGATATGCCCGCAGCTCTCAGATCCCGGACGCTTTCTTTGAACAACTAGTATGACGCTTTTTTCACAGGTTGACAGGACAGGCCAACCTGCACGGCATGTCCGGCGGTTCTCGGGCTCCGAGTGTGCCAGACGTTTTCTTTTGAGATAGAACTGTTCCGCTCGGTCCTGAGAGAAGAGGGAAGGAGAATGCGGACTCCCGGCCAAGCTTTGAGGGGCCTTAGGCTATCACCCAGGCAAATCGACGGTCAGAATGGTCCTGCCGTCGAAGTTCATTGTCGATCCCCTGCGATTATAAGCCAGGGGGCTCGCCGAAAGTTGTCCAAGTTCTCCTCCCATCCGTTTTGACGACTAGGTATGACGCTTTTTCGCAGGTCGGAGGACAGGTTAAACCTGCACGGAATGCCCGGTGCTTCCCAATCCTCCAGTGTGCCAGACGTTTTCCTCGAAGATCAGAATCTTTTCTCGCAAATCTCAACAACTAGTACAACGATCCTTTTCTGCCCAGTCTGAACAACTAGTATGACGATCTTTTGCAGGTCGGAGGACAGGTCAACCTGCACGGAATGCCCGGCGGTTCTCAGACGCCGACTTGGGTGCACCTCTCAGCGACTGCGCGAAAAAACGCGACCAGCATCCAGGTGGATACTGACGTCAGCAAGTGGCCGATTGGCGGCCGGGTCGCGATTGCGTCAACGGACTACGACATGGAGCAGGCGGAGACGGTCACGATCGCCAATATCACTTCCGGTGAGCGGGTTTCGGTCTTGTGGATTCAAAGACAATGATAAAATTTGCATGACGAATATCTTTGCGGTAATTAGGTGTAGGGAGTCGCACGATATAATCGTGAGGTTTGGTTTCCAATCGTATTTATGTGACGAAGGGAAAAGAAAGAAAAAAAAGGGGGAAGAAACTTCGACAGAAGAGAGGCGGAGGCGGTTACCCTCACTGGACGTTTCTCAAATGATGCTGGTGTTGCGCGTGATGCTGACGTCACGCATATCATCCAATGGCGGCGAACCCCTCTGTAGCAGTGGTGGATCTTTGCATCGAGGTTTGCTTCTCTTCGCTTTGGATGTCTTGCGCTTAGATGGTCTGCCATAGGTTTCAATCTGTTGCTTCGTGGAAAGGATCTGCGACGGAGCTTTGATCCTTCTGCAGCCCTTCTGTTGGCTCTCTGGAGTAGCCGTTTCCGCAGTTTCAGGGCTTGCTCATTCTTTCTTCGAGCCTTTGATTGCCGCTGCTAGGAATCTTGAAAAACTGCAACCCGACTTTGACCCGTCACTCGTTCTCACAGCAGCACAATAGTACTTTGCTCACCGCTCCCGTCGCCTCTTGTCAGGACCGGGGGGAGCTTACACCCTGACCTTCACCCCCCCGTTGCGTTACATGCACTGGGGCGACGACATGGAGTCGGGGGCGCCCGGGAGGCTGCTGTTCCAGAAGGCGGAGGTCGCCCTGCTGACGAGGAACATTTACATTCAGGGCCAGCGTGAAAGTGGCCGCCCCCTCGTTGGTAAGCCCTTCGATCATACGCAAAGCTTGGGAGCCGTTCTTATGTTGTACGTGATCACGTGGGGTGGTGAAGCTGACGTAGACGCCCCCTGAAAAGCATCGTAGGGCCATTCGCGGAGTTTACAAACCCTGGGCTTATCTGCATGAGCGGCTTCAAGAAGAGTCAGTCGTTTTGGCACGGGGCCGGGGACGCTGTGGAACGGGTGACGTGGCGAACTTTAGGAGCGAAAGCCTGAGCTAGGCTTTCTTTCGACCAATCATCATTTGAGAAGCCCCGGTTCAAAACCTTAAACCTCGCCACGTCATCCCTCTCATCAGCGTCGTCCGCAATGGTCCCAACTTACGTTGACCCCTCTTTGCATGGATTGTATTATGCCCCACGCTTTCACAGGTCACGGAATCTATCTTGGAGTGCGCGACAGTTGTACGTCTTATTTTCATCCACAGGGCCATTAATCGCATATGTCACTGCCATCCCCCAGTTGACTGTAGATGCAGCTCAAGTGATGCGCCTCCAGATTGCCTTATCAGAAAACACAGAGGTCGAATTGTTCTTCCAGAAGGGGGGCACTTCATGGTACTGCTACCCCCCCATTAACCGAGGGCGTCGTGTTAGATCACAACGGCCAGAAAGGAGAGGTCAGAATTATTCATACGTTACTGTCAGCCTTGCAGTTATTGGTGTTTGGAGCCGCAGCGACGTGCCGCAAAAAGAACCAGAATGAGAACCCCGGGTCTTTTTTAACTGCAGGGGGCCACTTCATCTTAGATGCCACGGCCGCCCCCCAGTTCATAGAGAGCGTGGAACTACTTTCATGGGTCAGCAAGGACAGCTCGGACTTGGTGTGCGTTACTGTCCACCCCCACAATCTCAGTACTCGGAAACCAAAGCGACGCGCCCTCATAATCGGCAAGACAAACACCTTGTACCTTTTGTTTTTCAGGGGGGCATTTCATAGTGTACGCTACTGCCAGCCCCCAAGTACATCGAGGGGCGTGGAATTGGCGTTTATGGGGCAACAAGGACAGCTCAAACATTGTTGAACTGTCACCCCTGCAAACGTTGGCATGCCGCAGGATTGCCATAAAGGAGGACTCTATATCTTACTTTTCCAGGGGGGCACTTCATCGTGTATGCGACCGCGACGCCCCAGTTCATCGAGGGCGTGGAACTGGCGTACATGGGCCAACAAGGACAGCTGGGGCGTTACCCGATTCACTTCCACATCTGCCGCAGCCACGCCAACTCGTACGTCCGCAAGATCACCGTCCGAAACACGCTCCAGCGATGCGTGGTGAGCGTCCGAACACTGCCTTGAGCGTCTCAGAGACCCGTTCAGCAGTCCTGAGTTACTTTGGTTACATTTTGGGTGTCCGCAAGCCCTACAAGGTACGAAGTGAGCGTCCGGATAAACACTGGCAGCGTCCGAATCACTCTCTAGCATGCTCGCTAAATGAATTGTCCTCTCCATCACGACGGGCCACTGCCTACACGAGAAGGGACGGCGTTGCACATGTTTGTTATTGAGCGATTGTACTTTGGAAACGATTCTGTGCGAAGACACGTTAGCCTTAACTTCAATGTCACGTTCTCTCAGGCAGGTGGTGCATCGCACAACCGACCTCCGTGTCGAACAAAATTGTTCCATTTCCTGACGACAGGCCACTGTTTCGTTATATTTGGTGACGCAGATTTCGTAGCCCTTGAGCAGCGAAATCAGTTTAGCATCTTACGAAGGCAGCCCACCCTTTGTTGCAGGTCGTCCACGGCACAGACGACCTGCTTATCGAAGAAAACGTCGCCTTCAACTCGACGGGCCACTGTTACATGACGGAAGACGGAGTCGAGGTTAACAACACCTTCTCGCACAACCTCGCCGCGGCCGGCTACCCAGCCAAGGTCCTGATTCCCCCCCAGTTCACCGATCCGCCGAATACGGACAACACCCCCGGACTGTTCTGGATGGCGAACGCAAACAACACGCTGGTGAATAATGCCGCAGGCGGCTCGAGCGGCTCCGGCTTTTGGTGAGAAGCCAAGAGCTCGTTGACTGTTCTCTAGGCGACTTTTATGATTTGCGGAGCTTCTCGGATTCTTGTGAGATCCTGAATTCCCCCAGAAAGGCGAATAAGACCCCGGGGAATAGCCGCGGGGGGCTGGATCGGCTCCGGTGTTTGGTGAGTCGCCAAGATAGTCGACTGTTGTGGGATAATCTGCGGCGCCTCTGAGCTTTCTTTTACTTAGAGTTCCAAAGGGAGTCCTGAAATGCAAAGAACTGGCAAGTGTCGCCACGGGGGCCTCGATTGGCTCCGCCTTTTGATCAGTCGCCAAGGCAGAGACTGCTAGCCGATCTCGGATTGACTTTCATTACCTAAGTCCCAGCGTGCTTTTCAACCGGTATGTTGAGCGTTTCTAAGCGTTTTGGTTCCCAAGAGCCGTACAGAGGTTACATTCGTCAGCAGGCCGGGACACAAGGTAGGGCCTCTGCAAGGCGGGTGACGTCAGCACTTTCACCGCAGTACACTTTCTTTTGAGCCAGGCACCAAGTTGATCAAAGGGTCTGTGCTATTGGCAGGGCTCGCAGAAGATGGATGACGTCAGCACTTGCGGACTTAAATTGCACCTTCTCCGTCCAGAATATAATATCACTGGCAGTCGTGAGGGTCATACACGCATTGCTTGAGAGGAATGACGTCAGCATTATCATCAAAACTACCTTCCCTGTCTGACCAGGTACCAGTTGGAGCGCAGAGTCCGGAGGATCAGAGCGGGCTTGCCCAGGGCGGGTGACGTCAGCATTTCAGTCATGTTTGCACTTCTTAGACCAGGTCATGAAAGTTCGTTCGAACATCTGGAGGACCATACAGGCATTGCTTGAGACGAGTTACGTCAGCAACACCACCAAGCGCCACGTTCTCCGTTCGATTAGGTACCAATTGGAGCGACGCGTCCGGGGCATTAGTGTGGGCTTGCCCGGGGCGAGTGACGTCAGCCCCCGGTACATACCGATCAAGCTCTTCGAGAACAACACGGCGCATTCCTGCTCGCAAGGCGTGACGACCTACGAGCGGGGCTTTAACCCAACCGTAGTAACCCACCCCGTGCCTGGGGTTAACCTCACCACCCCGGTGCCCACGTGGCTAACCGGGGTGAATTCGTACAAGAACTATATTGGGTAAGGCGACGGGTGGAATTTCACTGGCACTCCTTTATGTTTTCTATTCTGGTGTGAAAGTCGAGGCGGAATTAATGCTAGGGTGTCAGTAATGGCGTGGGTACGCTTCCACTCCATTTTCATTGCGAGCTCCGGTTGCTCAGGCCGGTCTTGATCAGAAGCTAGAAGAAAGCTGCTCTCTTGTCAGTCGGCTTGCGAACAGGCGCCACGTTGCTTGTCTCGGATCGAGATGCATTGCTCAAACCTTGTCATCATGACTAAGAAGTCAGGTGTAATCATTCTCGAGCGACCGGACGACCAGAAGGGAAACAGACAAGACTGGTAAAGTCGTACCTTCACTAAGGTCGCCGTCTTTGTTCTGATTTCAGCTTCCTGCCACAGAACGTTAGTATTGTCATACTCTGCCGGCTTTGCTTTCGGTTTGTAAGGAGCGGCAACGTCGGGACGTGAAGGTCCTGCTTAGGCATCACGACATACTCCTCGATATTATTACAGATTGAAGTTTTGAAAGCGCTCTGTCAGCATGTCGACCGGACATTCAGAAGCCCCGTCGCAATGTAATCCCACTCTGAACAGCGGCTTCTGCATAACTCCAAAGTTTACCTACCTGCAACCCAAAATGCTCGGAAGTCCCAGCCGACCGCTTCTCTAACATACAAAAGCCCTGACCTTTGGGCGGTCGATTATCACCGATTGGTTTCGTCTTGCTTAATCTGCAGGAACGTGGCATAAACATTCTATCTTCGTGCTCAGATGTTCTATTTGACCTCCACAGCGTCTTCTCGCAACAACTCGCAGTGGGTCTCCTTCCGAAAAGCCACTTTGCAAACCATTTTGAGACTCGTAAGTCAGGATCTCTTCTGTCGCCTCCGCGTCTTTCCGCACAATTTCCAGTCGGTCTCCTTTCGAAACGCCACGTTCGCAGACAGTATTGCGACTCGATCCTTTTTCACCTTCAGAGTCTTCCCGCACAACTCACAATGGGTCTCCTTGCGAAACGCCACATTCGCAGGCAGTGTTGAGACTCGTAACTGAAACATCCTTTTTTCATACCTTCAGAGTCTTTCCGCACAACTCGCAAGGGTCTCCTTCCGAAACGTTACCTTCGCAGACAAAGTTCAGAATCGTAAGTGGTATTAGTTCTCTTTCCACCTTCAGTCTTCCCGCACAACTCTATAAAACCGCCACGGTTCCCAACAATATTGAGATCGTAAGTGACACAATTCCTTCCCACCTTCAGAGTCTTCCCGCACAACTCGCAATGGGTCTCCTTCCGAAACGCCACGATCGCCGACAACGCTTACGGCGTCCACGCAACCGGGTGGAACCTCCAGATCCTAGACTCGTTGGTCGTGGCCGAGAGCCAGAACCTCGGGACGCCTGTGTTGTGTACCAACATAACGGCCTACCCGGATTGCATTCCTCTGGATACTTGCACGCTGCCGGCTCCCGGCGCGCTTGACCCGGCTTTCCGGGTGCGCACGATTCCCAATCCTGGTGAGTTGGAGGCGCTTCGCGTGAACCCCTGATCTATGTCGTCCTCTTACAAACGACCCCGGATGTGTTAGAGTCGCCTTAAGAGAGCTCCTGATTCTCCTTCCTCCTCGCACTATCTCAGTGAGCTGCTCCCCTGTCTCTCGTTCCACCTCTTCCATCTGTTTCCTGTCTTTTAAGTGTTTTCTCGAACATTCCACTCCACGGAGAAGCAATAAGGGTACTGGAGATTCAATCCGTATTCGCAAGGCTACGCGTAAGGAAAATGACTCCTAGTGCTCTAAGAAACCCAATCCAAACAACATCAGCGTGGTTGGTTTTGTTGTTAGGCGCCGGTTGAGATTTGCAGTCGCTATGTACGAATTGCGAATTTGGTGCATACCTTTTGTTTTGACGCTTCTTCCAAGGGCCGCGATTGCAGCCGAAGCCTCCGCTCCCACACAAGCTGCCTTAAAGACGTGCTTTGAACGCTTTCTTGGCCAGGTTTTTTTTTTTTTTTCGACACTTATATTCAAGCGCTACATCCTTTCACTCTTTCTGAAAGGTGAGAATGGAAGGCGTCGGGTCATTGGGCTCCAACTGAAAGAGGAAGGCTACCCGCTTCCCCTTCCGGGCCAGGGCCTACTCAGAGGCCCTGTTCTCGTGTCGGGAGTTACCTTTATTGGGTTCTCACCCCGCTGCGACGTCGACTATTCCGTGACCAGCGTAAGTCCTCTCCAGCACACTTCTTTTGAGATGAAAACCCAAAGCAGAGCTGCCGTCTTGCAAGCTTGAATTCCAAGAAGATCAGATCATCGGGTTAGGGCGCGCGTCGCCCGAAGTCGACCACGTTAGTGTGGCAGTTTGAACTCAGGTTAAGCATCGAATCACGAAGGCAGTATGCTTTTATGGGCTTGGATCTTAAGCTTTTTTTGCAACTCATAATCTTTCAAAAGAATTGAATAAAAGGGATTACGAAGCAAAAGACAGAAGTTTTTCAAAATCACTTTCCTCTTAAAGAAGAGTGAAGTCTTGTAAACCAAAAACAAATAAGTAAGTAAGATGCAAGTCCTTTAAGATGGTTATGGCAAGCATTATGGTCTTAAGCTGGTTGAGCAATGCTGCGCTAACGTGGTCAGAGTTTCAAGCACTCAGCCATTCTCTGGTTGATGCGGACTTTTAGCTTTCCTGGTTGCCAATCATGCATCAGACTACTCGGGCCGTACTTGCGTTGGGCAGGGGCTTCTTTGCCATTGATTACTTGGTGGCGTCGTTACCTAAAGCTCGAGCTTCGATCGTAGAAGATCACAATCGAGCTGCTTTTTCGCTCGCTTGATGGACGTTTCCTTTCAATAGAACGTCTGCAGCGACTGCTGTTTAGCCTTGCCAAGGTTGGTTTGCCCTGTTGCCAATAGCATCTCCGGAAACAAGCTGTCGAGAAAAGGCCTGTTTGGATAGTAAATAACCTGGCTCCTTTACGAGTGACCTTAATCAAAAGGATGCTAAAGCCCTGTAGAGTCTATATTGAACACGTGTGTTTTGCTCGTTTTTTGAGCCCAAGTGGGTAGTCATGTGCCCCTGTACAATGCTTGAGCTTTGGTACAAAAGCTGACCTTCTGGATTCATTATTTTTGCTTAGTATCCTTGGTGGTCACCGAGTCATCAGGCTTCCACGTTCTTCAGCAGATTACGTTCACTCTCAAGCGCCTGATCTACACCTTTCCGGTGTTGTGTAGACCAGCGCCGAGCCATCAGGCTTCCACTTACAAATTACGTTTACCGTCAAGCCCCTCCGCGCATTTTTCAGCCGAATGCCGAGCCATTAGGTTTCCACTCTCTCATCGAATCACGACAACTGTCATGCGCCTGATACACATCTTCCGGGCTCTGTGCAGACGAACGCCGACTTCGGAGCGGGCACCGCTTTCAACCCGGGGCATACTTTCCAAAACATCACTCTGATCAACTGCTCGCGCCCAGTGTTCTACAACCCAGCAGAAACCTGGAACGCCACCGCGAACAATTTCCTCGGTTACACATACGCCGACGCGGGGTGGATGCACGCCATACGAGATGCCGACGGCTCCCTCATCGGGCCCTCCCCGCTGTCCTCCAACTCCACCAGCCTAGTTCTGACCAAGTCCGCGGGAACCGTTACCGCCACCGTTACCGCGGCAGACATGTTTGTGGGCGTAGCTTCCACCGCCGGGAACACGAACGAGAGCGGGTCGGACCAATGGGGGGTCGGCTTTGTGGTGTCGAACAGTTCGCACATGCTGCCGCTGAAAAGCGATACGAGAGCCGTATGCGCTCCGGAGCCAACTTGGAATGCGTACCGATGTTGGGGGGTGTGCTATCGCACGCTTTGGGTCTACTACTACGAGCCGGGCTTCGACGGGAAGGATACCTCCGTTCGAAGCTCGTTGCGCGTAACACGGGTAGGTCGCCCTGGAAGACTCTTGTCTGGTTTCGAACTTCTTGCTGACTTTTCGTTTATGGAAGCGATCGGCGGTGGATTTGCGGTGGATACTGGTTGTGAGCCGCCCATAGACCTCACAAACAAAAATGCATGCGTATTCTGAGTGCAGTTTGTTGGCACAGTTGTCGTCCAAGGAGTCCTTTCTAAGATAAATCATTCTGCTTTTCAAGGTTGAGAATCGATTCTGAGTCCAGTCCGTTCGAGCTTCGACGCCCAGAGCGGACGACAGATCATAACAGAGAGTGGTCAAGTCGAACGATTGTGAGCAGATGCGCCGTTCAGAGTCGGCGTCTGGTCCTCCGTAACGCCTCGGCAATCCATTTTGAGCACGAACACTGGGTTTCAGATTGCTTGCTCTGGAGTCACGTAACAAACCCTGGGGGACAGTATAAACAACGGCAAATTAGGCGGCCTTGCTGATTGTGAAAATCATATGAATCCAGCTCATTACGTTGTTGAATACAACAGATTTTGCTTCAGGCCGCAAAGGAGTGTCAGGTTTGCTCAAGGACACATTGATCATTTGTCAGGTTGATTTCGATGCCGGAACCCCACGTCCGGACCCGCAATACCTTCAAAATTTTGGACTTAACAAGCTTTCGTCTGGGACATCAAACGGCTTTTCGGGCCGCGTTTAAGATATTTTGGGGCTCTTGTAACTGTACACCCTTCCATATGCTCTTCTGACGGTTTGAAATCATCTCTTCAGGTTGCAGACCGAGTGTCAATCAAGCTCACGGGAACAACGGCTAATTGTCATTTCAATATCATTGCCGGATCCAACTTCCGGACCTTCAAAACCAATCTGGGGCTCCCGTGTCGGTAATTCCCTGCAGGTAAAGGCCGTGAAACACGTCCGTAAAACACGTCGTTGAAACTTCCAAGTCTTCTGTTCAGGCTGCAAACGGAGTGTGAATCGATCTCAAGGAGTCATCGGCCACCTTTCATCTCGATGTCGTCGCTGAACCTAATTTCCGGACCCGCAGAATCAAAACTCGGGCTATCATCTTGGCGCTTTTCTGCCTGGAAAGTCCCCGTAACGCTCTCCTGACAATACTAAATGTTCTCTGGCAGGTTGCAGACGGAGTGTCAATCACACTCACGGGGACGTCAGCCTCGGCCTCTGGCACCCTAATTTCTGGACCCAACTTTTGGCGCGCGTTTTCGGCGAACCTCATCGTTGGGCCGGCATACACGTACACCGTTCAGAAGGTAAGGGGAGGTCCTTTTCAATCACAGGCTCGTCAATCAAAGCACGGGCTACGCTTCTGTTATCGTATTTCGTGCACGGGGGCGAAAGCTCGGATTGAGCTGATCGGAACCTGCTCGAATCTGGGCTGGGCCTTGAAATGACGAGCGTGGCAAATGCTTCTTTTTGAAGTCCCGGCTGATTATTGGCGATCAGTGCTTGCGCATAGAGTCCAAGGAACAAAATCTCGCTAAAGGAGACGCTCGTTGAATCTTTGGAGTCCTTGCAAGCCGGTTTTTCTATCAGACAATCACGTTAGAGTGAGCATACCGAGATGAGCATGCTGAAAGGACCAATCATTGATCCCAGATCCTGACACGTATGAGTTGCTCATTGAAACGGAGTTTGACTTGCAAACCCATTGAATAAAAGCAGTTGGATGATATAAACATCCTCGTTTTCAAGGATGGGTTGTGCAAAGTCAGCTTCCTAGAGAGCAAACATGGGACCTTCACTTGTGTGGTGCAAGGGAATTCAGGTCGATAGCAAAACCGCCGCTGTTACTGTCTAGTAATTGGAACAACTTTGAACATTGTTTTACCGTCTTGCTGTCAGTGGATGTGCACAGGAATTGGAAACGGTGTATCCTGGCTGCGTGTCAGGATGTTTGTTTCGGGTCTCTTACCAATCAGGCCGGAATGCATAGCGTCAACTAGACTCTGGACCGAGAGGGGTTCCATCCAGATTTCTGCGGAGGGCGGGGACTCCTACGGGCAATGACCAAACAAGGCCTTTCCAAAGAAACAGGCCACGGCGGGAGAAAACAAACCAAACACCGAAAGGCTCTCGTTCGCAGCTCACCTTTATAAAACTGTCTCGCCAAACACAATCTGCTCCCCCGAGGGGTTTGGATTTTCTGTATCTCTTTCAGGGTGGGAGCATGTAAACAGCCTCATTTCTTCTGTGAAGGTAGCATCTTCACGCGCCGTCTGTCCAGTCTGCATATCTCCAAAGATAAGCTCACGAAGAAGAGATTCCTCCTTTGCAGATTGGCGGCAAGAAGCCTTTCGTAGACCCGTCTTGGATCTGGTTCGGCTTCCAAGACGACAGCGCAAACTGCGGGCTGTCGTCGAAAGTGCGCATTCTCACCAACTCGACGAGCACCGTCTATCAAGTACCGGGCACCGGAGCGGCCTTTCCGTTTTACAAGTGAGCGTTTCCGTGCAACTTTCCTGCATCTTTGCGACATAGTCCGTGCAGACATACTTGCAGATTGTGCTTTTGAGTTGAGGGGAAGAGGTCAAGTGCCGGGCAGATTCAAAGCCCGCTTGTTGTTGGAGTATTGTCGAGCACCGCCTTAAGTAGCGGGCACCGGGGCAGCCTTTCCGGTTGCTCGCTTTCATGCAACCCTCTTGATCTAACCGGGTATGCAAGTTGTATCGCACATCTCACGGAAAACGGTAATGTCGATCATGCAGTTCATTCGCTTTCTGAATTAATTTGCAAGTTGTATTGCAACATCACGCAGGAATGCAGTCGATCTGCCCCCGAGTTGACTCTCTCACCACATCCATCCCCGCTTGCGACTCCTAGTGGTTTAGGGAACAATCGTATCGTCCTGAATAGAAACTCCCCAAAATGGGGCCGTTATATCTTTAGACGGTTCCTCATTCGAAGGGAGCCTGCCGAAGACTGAATCTTCGTTTTCTTTGGTTGCGTTCTTTAGAGGTTCCATATACCTTCATGGAGAAGCCGTTCAAGCATGCAGCTTGCTCAAGGCGGGCTTTTCTGCCCAGGTACTGCGAGCTTCCGACCGATTCCACCAAGAGCACGTTCCTTGTGAACTATTGCGACTTGGGGAACAGCTTGGTTCGGAAGGCGACTGTGCGTGTATGAAGGGAGGTCTATTGAGAAGGGTTGGCAAATGTCGAACGCTGAGGTCATATTTAACCGCGTCGCTCACTCTTCCAGGTACTGCGAGCTTCCGACCGATTCCACCAAGAGCACGTTCGTCGTATACTACTGCGACTCGGGAAACAACTCGGTTCTAAAGGCGACTGTGGGTGTATAATGGGGAAATCTAACGAGAAGGGGTTGGCAAATGTTGGATGCTGAGGTCATACTTCTCCTTGTTCCCAGGTACTGCGAGCTTCCGACCGACTCCGTCAAGGGCACGTTCCTTTCAACTTACTGCGACGCGGGAAACAACTCGGTTCTGGAGGCGAACCTCGGCATCTTGAGACCGCTGAACGAACTCCCGCTGATCAACGCGACGCTCCAGACGACCAAACCCGGCACGTGTGCTCAGAACGCCACGTGTGGGCTCGTCGCGTCTGGGGACACGTGGCAGTACGTGCCTCGCGCCCCGGTGGCGCCATACCCGCAAAGTGTCGCGGGAGTGGACGGTGAGATTCCTTAGTGCGTGTAGAATGCTTTTAGCTGTAGATGGAGCGTTCCAAAAGCTTTCTTTTGCACGGATGTCTGATGCTTCGGTCTTTTTGTGTGCATCTGGTCGTTTCTCGCTCGCGCTCTGGCGGGGACTGCCTATGTTTTGGATGCCTGAAATTCCGGTTTGTTTCTCGCATCGCGCTTTGGCGGTATTGTGTCTTGGGGCCACTGTGCGCTTTTCCATTCAGGGTTTCAAAAGATCTGGTAAGTGCTTTCCATGCTTTCGTAGCCTTCTGGCTCAGCTCCTTTCTTGATTGCTCCCGCACTAAGTTGAATTAGAAGATACTTTGCGGACCTCTTTTCTACAAGCTCTCAGTGAGTGACGTCCAAGCATCTTGTACCTTTTTGGCTTAGCTCCTTCCTCAATCAATTTGAAACTAAGTTGAATCAGAAGACGCTCCACGGATCTTGTTAACAATCCCGTTGCAACTCGGACATGCGCTTCGTTCGCGCAGAGAATGCTCCCGGCGGCCTTTTCTCGGTCAGCTGGTCTGCTCCTGAATAGCTACACAAAATAAAAACCTCTTCAAATCATCGGAGATTGCCTCGCAACCAACACGTGTTTATTCACTTCGCAGGCAGACACCAGATTTCCTGATCAACACAGGAATTACCTTACAATCAAGACGTGCTCCATTCCTCTCACAGAATCCTCTTCTTCAGAACGGAGATAACTTCCAATCAAAACGTGTTTCCGTTCCCTTCGCAGGGACAAGAACCTCTTATTTGGACGGAAACTACCTGGCAATCAAGATGTGTTCCGTTCCCTTGCAAAAAAGAAAATAGCTGATTCTAAAAATCGAGAAAATCTTGCAATTAAGACGACGTCCGACTCCGTCGCAGAAGCTTCGTATTTGAAAATGGAAATTACCCCGCGATCAAGACGTGTTCCGTTTCCGTCGCAGGCGCTCTTTCCGGGCAGACCCCCCTCGCGACCGGCTACGTCCAAATCAACGACGCACATTACAGCGTCGTCCCGCACGACGATCTGGCACCGTCCACCATAATTGCCGGCCAGCCCGACACGCTGTACCTCTGGACAAGCTTCACCGTTACCGATGCCAGCTGTTACCGCAACCTGACGGTCGGCGTCAAAGCGAAGTACGGGTACCGGGTGTACCTGAACGGAATTCCGGCGGTGACGCAGTGGCTGGCGGTAAACGGAACGGGCCTGCTTTACAGCATCCAGGTGAGGGCTGCTCCGCCTCCGGGGTTCCGGTGAAGACAACGTGGCAGAATCTGGTAAAGCAGCGAAGCCCAAAAAAGTAGCGGAGGCATCTCGATAGATCAGTCAGTGATCGTATTCGCCGGCAGGTTGTGCATGGACAGACAGCTTGCTGGCAGAGACGACTTGCTCGTTCAACAAGACGTGGCGAATAAAGAAGACTGGCGTTCGAACTCCGTAAAATTGATCAGCAGAATGAACAGAAAGTACGGGGGTCAAGTCAAGTCTGCAAGTCTTATCTTTCCTGCGCACTGTAATGCATACGGAAGTTTTGCCGCTGATTGGGCCAGAGACCCAGGCACAAACATCGGCCGGAATCAATCTCTCGCACAGCGACTCGTTCCTTCTCTGTACTGCGCCCGCTCAGCGGGTTCGTTCAGTTGATCCGTCACCCCGGGTCCTATCCGCTTACTCCGTTCCACGGAATTCCGGGCTGCTCACTCGTTCCGCTGAGTTCAAAATCCCCTTGGGTCCCCTGCTCTTGGTTCTGGCGTTCTTCTTTGAAAAGTTCCACTCTTGGCCACGAGAGTGCTTCGTTAGTTGATCGTCCTTGCTCTGTCCCGTTTTAGCCTTTGAAGTTTGAACGGTTCTGATTTCAGCGTCGGCAGATCAAACAGATTCCTCTCGAGTATTACTTCTTACGAACATTGACTTCCCCCTCTCCGGCGATAGATATGTTTGAGTCCTTGAGGGCCTTCTGGCAGACCGCCCGTCGCGCATCGTTAAGGGAAACCACTGCATTCTCTACAAGCAGGTTTCGGCTTCGCTGACAAATATATCCTGGAAAACGGAGGATAGCAGTGGTGCTTTTTTCCCTTTCGAAGATCTCTCTTCGTTTGGCACCGAAGCGGAGGCGAATGTTTATTTATTGGATACAGATGAGAACGATACTACAACAAAAAATTTGCAGTTTAGAATCCGTCTTCTGATAATGTCCCCGCTCGAAGCCCCTTCACCGGGGACAGCTGTCACATCATCGACTCATCCTTAGAAAAGGGCAGATCGCTTCTTCTTTCTTACGGGCACGCGTTGCTTGCCCGTAAAGGGGTTTCGCATTAGCCACTGACTTCGACGGCCTCCAGCTCTCCGCCCAGTAACCCTGTTGACGTCGCCCGTTTTGTGATGACGTCATCATCAGAAGTGTCCACACCTCTGTCTGCACCTTCCGCCACGCCGCCTCCGTGAGAGCCATCCCCTGTCTCGAAACCGACCGCCAGATGTCGCCAGGTTTGTGTTGACGTCATCCTGACACGTGTCCACCTCTGCTTGCAGGCTCCTTACGCCCCGCCGGCTTCGTGGGAGCAGTCCCCGGTTCCGCAATCGACCGCCGGCGCGGATGTGAAGAACCAGACGGGTCTCGTGACCGGTACAAACATCGTGGCGGTGGAAGTCTACCGGTCTGCCCCGAACACTGTTCCCAACCAGATCTACTTTGACTTCTGGATGGCTGCTGCTAATATGTGAGCACTAATCTCTCTTTTATCTTTGTTGTCTTCTCTTACTTTCCTCCTGTTTGTTTCTTGGACTGTTTGCTTGTTGCAAGGATCGCAATGCGGTCACCGCTCTATAAAGTGAGTCTGCTTTGTGGCGCCGACCTTGCGACCGTGAGTATCGTTTTCCGCTCGTCGCGTCTTACGAGATTCTGACGTACAATTCCTGTGTCTCCGTGTTCCTTTGTTCTACGTGGTTCAATGGTTTCCGTCCCTATATTTGAAATCCAGTCGCCTACGTGTGCGAGACCTGTTGGTCCTCAGAAGTGCAAATCGTCAGCTCATTCGCTCGCTGGTTGGTTTGCTTGTCTTGGGACGTAAGATCGTGTAAACCCTTCTGATTCGTATTCGGGTTGCCTTCCCTCGGAAAGCTACCTATCTGAAATGGATTTTTGGTAATTGGGCTCTCGCGGCAGTTTGATAGGCAGCTTGTGGGCAGTATGGGTAGTCTCTTGGTTCTGTTCCTTCTGAAGGTCTACTTGCAAGCCAGCAGAAAACGCGACGAATTTCACAAAACTGTGTGAAAAGATAAGATGCCAGCGCGAACAAGCTGTGGCTTCCCTCCTTTGCAGATGTACCTGACTTGGAAGACAAGTCCATCAGCACTACAGTCGTGGAACGACTTCGCGCTTCAATCTGGCCGGAGGCAATGTATATGTACGATAGCTAACCCTTTGTTGTCATCGCGACACACCGCTCGAGTTGAAAGGACGTGTGCAGTCGAGTTGGCCGCTTGACATGCTGAAGAATTGTCCCTACGTTGAGTAAGAAAATTGATTGCAGACCCATCATTTTGCCGAATATTTATTTGTATGGCTGCGCTTTGACTACAATGATACTAAGAGTCCAAGTATAGAGCTCTTTGCAACCGAAACTTGAAAGGGGATATCATCGTTTGGATTTGACGCTACAGTAACGTGTTAGCTTTATGGCCGGTGTGTCCTGCGCACTCTTTTGAAAAACTTCAGTCTCTGTCTAGCAAACATCATTCCATGCCATCCGCATCAGACCGTCAACTAGCATTCCTTCCAGCGAATTGCATCGAAGGAGCGGCGGCCATTCATGGTATCATGATCAATCAACGAAGCATGTTACTAAGTTGCTGCAACGTGCAGTAAGAATCCGGAAGAGTCTTTTGATTCATCATTGGGCTCGGGGCAAGCACTTACGCGGTGCCATGAACAGCCGGGCCATATGAGCTAGATCATGACGTCCAGTTGTTGGATATATTACTTAACAGTGACTTCAGCGAGCATGCATTACCATGTACGTTAAGGTCATTCAACATTGCATGATCTGCTGGGATTGCAAATTCCTGACATGATCAACTTGACTCACAAAAGTTCTTTTCGAGACCCGGTCTGAGACCAAACCGATCGAAAGGAGTTGATCCGGAATGATCTAGAATTGTACCTATGAGATAACCTCGATCAGGACTGTGATTTATGAACATACGATAGTCAGTGCACAATTTTACGCATTGTGCACATTTTTTAACTGTCTCTCTGGCCAAGGCGTAATTAGACTGCCTCTAGCTCCAACAAAAGTGGCCGACAATCAGCAAGTAATGTTCGACGCGATATTCATGTATCTTCGCATTAGTGTTCTGTAACCTTAATGATACGTAGGTGTAACTTGCATGAACCACCGCGGGTACTTGCCAGACTTGAGAAGTCGGAGTGCCCCAGGATACTCATAATTGGTAGCGCTCTCATTGGTAGCGCTGTACAAGTCGCTAGCCACTTCTTTGACAAGCTCCGACATGTCGACACCGTTTGGCCAACGTGCTGGTATGCCCTCACTTCCGAGGAGCGCTCCAAGAATGTTCCCCGCAATGGCCCCTGTGCTATCTGAGTCACCGGTGTGATTCACCGACCAGATAAGGCCGGCTTCAAAGTCCCTGCCAGCAAGAATACAACAATAGAGAGCGATTCCAAGGGCCTCCTCGCCAACCCAGCCGCCACCAATGCTCTCAATCTCCTCTGCAATCAGCTTCTCCACTCCAGAACCTTTACTCTTCTCTTCCTTGGGAGCCGCCTCAAGCTTGGCCTTCCTGTCGATTCCCAGCCTCACAGAGAGGCGGATGCAGTCAAGTGTCTCAGTGCCATTCTTCTCCTTCCCGAGAATCTCGCAGGACAGCTCGACAGCCCGAAGCAGCTCCTCTCCCGAAAGTACGTACGAGATGATAGCGGCTAGCATACCGCCAGAATGATAACCCGCCGGATGCGAGTGCGTGATCGCGGCGGCGGCACACCCAATCTCGTAAGCGAGCGCCGCTTTACGGTCCGCAGTCTCCTCCGGCCACGCACCGTGCACGATCAGCGCCGCCGGAGCCACCCGCATGACACCTCCACAACCTTTGCTGTTGTTGAGAGTTTCAGTCCTGGACCCAATTCTCCCGCTTGCGAGGGCGCTCAGGCAAGTCTTCCCGGGTGCTTCTCTGCGATGAAGCTCCTTGTGACTCACAAGCCAGCCCGAAGACTTGAGGATTGAGAACATCTCATATTTGCTTTCCATCTGCTGAGTGGCAAGCCAGCGGAGGTAGGACTGGTGAAGCATAGAGATTGCTTCCTTTGTAATCTTAGGGGAGCTGCCCTGGGGGGGCATCTGGAGATATTGATGGCCGACGGCTGAGATCAGGCCTTCTGCCGTGAAGAGAGTCATCTGCGTGTCATCTGTAAAGGTGCCAGGCTGCGGCAAGTCTGTGATGCCTGCAAGCAGGGGGCATCTGGTGTCAGATTGGCAATCGCAAAACAGCTGGAAAAGGAGAAAGTAATGATTCTGTGTTTTGTTTTCAGGCGCCTTGCATCAGGTCACTGCTTCCAGATTGTCAAAGCACCAAACAGGGTACACAGGGATCCCCGTCAGATTTCTGCAGTCTACGACTTCTAGCATCGCTGACTACCGTCTAGCTGAATACAGTTCATTCATGCAGTCAACCCTGAAAAAGCTGAAACATTGTGTTTGCAGCTTGAATACCTAAGCATAAGTTTCAATGTTCAGCGGAGCAAAGCACATCTGGGCACGGTGTATAATGGAGCAACATAAGAGTGCACCCCTGAGTGTGCCGACAGAGACTCAATGGACCGGAGGCTTAAAGCTCAGGCGTAGCTGCAGAAGTTACAAGACTCTCAAACTACCCTCAAAACTTCTCATCACAAGCTTTTGGCTTCGCTGCGGCCCACCTTTTGGCCCATAAGTTGCAAAGATTGTGTGTGCATTCTGGAACTCCACCGGCGCCCCCAGCGCATCCCCAATAGCGCCCCCCAACAGGCAGCCCTCGAACCTGCTCTGAAGGCTGGGAAGCGCCATCTCGCTGTGCTCCTTCAATCTGAGGCCGCTTTCGTGCTAAATGATGCAATGCATGAGTGGGACCTGTGCAGGAGACGAAGCTAGGTAGCAATGAAGGGGGTCCCCCTGTTTAGTCTGTTTCCTCTGGGCTTCGTCCTGCGCCGATGTCAACATGGGAATTCCCGTTCTGCGTGTGGTTAGCGAAGGGTTTCCGTCTACGGTCTACCTATTCTCGGCCCTAGGAAGAGCTTGACGTAGGTTACGGTTAAGGAAACCGTCAATCCCAGTCGAGATTCTCATCCTGCACAGTCACCCATACGCACCCTTGTATGCATTGACACCAACTAACAAGTTGCTATAGAAGCGGAACTTTTGATGTAGGAGCTGGTGTCATGGCAGCAAAATCATAAGGCGCGGACTCATCCGACGCGCTGAGGTCGCCTCAGTAATTAAAGGGTCCCGACTCCCAAATCGGGTGTTCCAGGGGGCAATTATGGGGTTATCATCGGACGATTGAATGTGTCTCGATAGGGGCTGGCGTGACCATCGACGGTTCTGAACAGCGGGCCCGCCGTCCCACTCCTTGCTTTCAGATGAGAACGCAGACTGATAGCTAGTACCGTATCATCTGCATGGATCATGATGCAGACTTGACGTAGAAGAATTTTGGGCAGGGATTTCTTTGCTTTCCTGTTCAGTGACAGAAGATCTTGGTGAAGCGCAGCAATCTTTTGGGAGGGAGGGTTGGTCATAAGGTAGCCTGGGAAGGAGATGGTGGATAATCCACAGCCCGAGAGGGCCACCAGCAGTCGTGAGTGCAGCACAAGCAGCGCAGAGAGACAGTGGCGGCTGAGTCCTCAGTTTGCAACGCAGCAGTATTCTTCACAGATCTGGGACGATCTCATAAGTCGAGTGCTTCAGAGGAATAGGGTAGTGATGGGGTTGGCGGCTGGGGTCCATCCCGCCCTCGCTGCAAACGAGTCTTTGGCTGGTAGAGACCCCATCAGCGTTGTGAATCCCCCTCCTCTGAGGTCTTTAGGGGCGTCCCACCAACCCCTGGATCCTCTCCACTTACCTTTGAGGAAAAATATTCCCCGCACAACAGATGCGGACGACGAGTTGAGCGAGGATGGGACGCTGGGGACTGCAGAGAAAGTTGAGGATGAGGTTGAAGCGATCGAGTTGGTAAACCGGAATGTTGGGGGCCGGCAATTGTACCTGAGCACGATCTCGCAGCTCATGGCAGGGGGGATTGCGGGGGCGGTCAGTAAGAGCTGTACAGCACCCCTTGCAAGGCTGACTATTCTCTTCCAGGTGAGGCTTGACTCAGGTTTTAATAAATAAAGTTGAGGGTCTGCGCCGAGTGGAAATTGCTGAGGCGCAGAAACACTTGAGATCAGATCTTTCACAGATGAAGGCTGGTTTCAGATCGATTTTTAGCAGTTGCTGTAAATCTTTACCACCATAGGCTTAGCAGGTCACAAACTTCTGCAATGAAGCGAGTTTTGTTCCTTACACCAAATCCTTCTGTGGCAGGAGACGTGTTGCGTTGCTTGTCCTATCAGGTGTGTTGATGTAGTTACCGCTCTTCTTTTGGAGAGGGGGAGTCATGCGTTCGCTTATACGGTTTCAATCTGCACATCTGGAAGGTTTCTAGGTAATGGTCAGCTACGTCGAGTCAAGGTCTACCTTTTTAGTGCGGGTTTGTTCAAGGGTTTTGGATGGGGTCACTTTAAGGGATTAGTGAGGTCTGTTCTTGGTTCTATGTCGGAAGTTTGGAATGGCTTGTGTTCATTGTTGAAAAATGCTGAAAAGAGTCTGTGTTTGGAGATCGTTTGGTTGTACTATCATGGCCAGGTGCCATCAATCATCCAGCGTCCAGGGAGAGCTTATATCACGGTGTTTTGCTTTATCACCTTTTTGATAGTTGCGCCGCTGTTTGATATTGTCCCTTTTCTGCCACCATTGCACTCCTGCTTGAAATCAGTTGTATCAACATCAAGTCTTGCTTCTCGACCTGCTCATGATGTGCTAAGATGTATTTGGGTCAAGACTTTCCTTTCGAACCCGGCTCGTATGTCTGTGGCCCAAAAGCGACCTAATCTCCTTGTCCAACTTATTCATCTTGCTATCGGTCTTACTTGAAGAAGATTAAGAGAATTGCAAGGTCGAAGTGCTCCGCAGTTTTGTTTGAAAGCAGATGCTCGCTGCAGCTATGCTGCGCTCTGGCTCTCATACAGCATGCTTAGAGCTTTCAGTAAATGCATCACTTTAGGGCCACTTAATTCGTTGTCGTGGAATTAGGGTTTTAAGGTTTCTGCACTGTCTCTACCATGGGCTTGGCATACTCGTTGCCCCTTTGCTAGGCACTGGGGCAACTATTTCATTCACTGCAAAGCCTTTGTCCACTAGAACACGGATTGCACCGCTCAACCAGCAAGGTTTGAGCTGCTTTCGCTAACACTTGCAAAGTAACACTCGCAACTTTCATTCAACCAGTTACAAGGGATGCACGGCCCCACAAGCAAGGGTCAGCCAAGCCTTTCCAAGGAGATGATGCGCATCTACAGGGAAGAAGGCCTCCGAGCATTTTGGAAGGGGAATGCAGTCACAATTGTGCATCGGCTACCCTATTCGGCGCTCAACTTTTTCTCCTATGAAAAGTACAAGTCGGTGAGCCCTGCTGTTCCGTCTCTCCTCATCCCCAGTGATCTTCTATTTTCAATGGGAGTTGGCAACAAGTTTCCTAAACTTGGGGATCTGCTCATTTCTTGTTCAAGTCCATTCTCATTTGGTTTCATGAAAGTACTCCCTTCGATCCGCTGCACCTGGTGCTCAAAGAAGCTTACATCTCGTTAGGATTAGTTAGAATTCCGGCCAAGGACCCTTTCGTCTGCCAGCGGTCGGCTTCCCATGTTTGCAAAACGACATGCAGTCATTCAGGCTTTCTGTTTGCTATCAGAGAATGGGATCCCTGAGCCTTCTTGTGGAGGATGAGGAGCTGAACAGCTTTTCTCAAAGTGATTACAAAAGTTTGGCGTCAGGACATGGTCCGAAATTGCAGTGTTGATCTGCGCACTAGAATCATGGTGCGGCACTTGATCGAAAAAGCAACGACTTCCTGGATCAGGGGCTACTGAGAAACGAGGTGCTCGAAGTTTGCCCCGCGTTTTTGAGTCTGATGGTTTCTTTGTTACCTGATGGGTTATATTTCACCTGAATGTATTGAACGTTGTTTTCTGCAGCTTTTGCGAAACACCCTGCACATAGAAGATAACCAGAGCCCCGTTCTCAGCATGGGAACGAGGTTGGTGGCCGGGGGGGGAGCTGGTGTGACGGCCGCCAGTCTGACATACCCCCTGGACCTGGTCAGGACGAGATTAGCGGCTCAGGTAAGATACAGGAGATTTCTTGCAGCAAATGGTTTGTGGAATGACCAAATGTCATTCCACATACCATCGAAGTTGTGGTTGTGAAGTTTCTCTCTAGTTCTGTGGCAAGATTGCGGTAGTCACTGCTTCCTTAGTGCGGGTCACATAAGAAGTTGATCTAGAACATGTGTCTTAGGGTACAACCGTGCGGGCACCTTGCTTCTCAACGTTGTAGCACACCCTCTCTCTGTCACGGGTCCTTCTCGAAGAGAAACAGGGCCCCCTAGACGTTGCACAATGCAGATTCAGTTACATCCATAGTTCGCGCCTGGTTTGAGCAGATGCTTCCTTCCGACTTTCTTTTTGCTGACGCACCTTGCAAGTATCTCATGTCCCTGTCCTCTGTCTTCGCAAGTATCTCATGTCTGTTCTCTTTCTGTTTTCTCCTAAGGGACAGTCAGAAGTCCAACTCTTGTCGTTTTTCCTTGTTGCTGCCTCTAAAGTGGGTGCTCTGTGTCTGCAGACAAATGTGATGTACTATAAGGGCATTGGCCATGCTTTGGCAACCATCGCTCGGGACGAGGGCCTCCGGGGCCTGTACAAAGGAATGGGTGCTACCCTGATGGTAAGTCGTATGCTATTCGGTTTGTTTACTCATCTTCACTACTCACTCCGTTGCTACGTTTTGAGTTTATGCTGCTTTTGTGGAGCATCCAGTAACGATCTGGGAAGAGGAAGAATGAGGGGTGGCTTTTGGGAGAGGGGGAGAGGGAAAGAAGGAGGGAAGGGTAAATGTAGATGCACTGGGTGAGGAAGCAGAAGAAAAGACCTGGAGTTTGCCCTTTGGTGGTGTAGAAATGTGTTTTTGGATACAAACATGCTAACAGAGCCGGGAGTTGAAAGGGTGGAGGAAAAGCACTGCCTGACTGTTCGCCTGTGCCACTGGCGCACTTTTGAACCTGGCGCTGGTTCTCGTTTTTACTCGTGCAACAGCAGAGGATTCCGCAACTGATCGTCAAGGAGTTATATACTGATCGCTATGTGGTTTGGTTTACGTCAGGCTTTGTCTGTCTAATGGAGGTCACGTTGATTGGTCGCAACGTCTCGGAAATGCATTGAAGCAGGAAGGCAGTTTAGCGTAGATCAGTAGTGCACGTGGGCGTTTTTGAGAGAAGTGGTGTTTGCTGCGCGCCGTCAGAATCAGCCAGAGGCTTGAGCCCCGTTTGCTTAAGCAGGAAATCCTGACCTGGACTCGACTTTGCGTGCACTTCCTTATAGAAGAAGTTGTCAGATTTTCAGCCATTAAGCGTGGTTAGGCTAAGATTGTTTTTTGTGTATCGGGTTGCGGGATGGACGACCCCACCTCAGAATCACTAGCAGCCCCTCCAAGAGTCGTCTGCCTGCTGTTGAGATTGCTTCGGGGGTCGAGATACAAGCTGCTGGTTGCATAGATTCGAAAAAGGTCTGCTTTTCCTGACTGATCAGCTCTTTGTTTTCTGGGACAGGGCGTTGGCCCGAATATCGCGATCAACTTCTGCGCATACGAGACGATGAAGAACTGGATTGAGGCCACACAGTGAGTTATCATACTTGTCACGGCTTCGTTGTTTGGAGATGCCTCTTCCGCTTTCAGATCTTTGTTGAATATTGTCAAGCATTTTTCGTCAGTACTTGCCACCCCAGTATTCAATCTTTGAGTTGTGGTCCGCGATCTTGAGCCGTCGGATGCCATTCCATGGTCGACCATACGGAAGAACAGAAATCATGCTCTCAGTATTTATTAGGAAACCCAATGGCAGGCTCGATTCAGAACAGCTGTACTTTCTGTTGTTACACTGCCAGGGGACGGCCTCTACTTCGAAGTTTGTTCTCATCCCATTTGAGAAGAATTCTGTAACAGTTGAGCAGACCGACAAGCTGCCTGATTACTTGCAGAGTGCTGTGGTTTGCGTGACTCTTTCCTATCGACTTTGAATTCATCAGCTAAAACTGTGTGCAAGGGAAAGATGGCGTACAATGGTAGACTATTGTCACTCCAGTTCGGACGTGACTGGGGAGTTCAAAGTTCGGAAGTTACACAGGTTGCCCATGTTGTGAGTAGACCCATGTTGTGAGTAAGGATTTGGAACCTCAAAATAACCCATCGGACCGACGCATCCTCTTCTGGTTTTCTTCGCTTATCAGTGCCAAGAGGAAAGAGAACTTTCTAGTTAGAGCGCTTGGTACAGCGATGATAAATTCAAAACAGGTTTGGATCCTTGACACAGGCCAGAGCGGACTATGAAGCCGAAAGTTTTCACCTGCAGGCCCCAGGCTTCTCCAGTGGCAGTCAGTCTCGGGTGCGGCAGCATTGCCGGCATCTGTTCCTCCACCTTCACCTTTCCCATTGACCTCGTGCGGCGCCGGATGCAACTAGAGGGGGCTCGAGGAGCGGAGCGCGTGTACAAGGACGGAATACCGGGCATGTTTCGGAGTATAATACGGACGGAGGGCTGGATGGGTCTGTACAAGGGCATCATACCAGAGTACTATAAGGTGGTTCCGGGGGTCGGTATCGCGTTCATGACGTACGAGTTTTTGAAACGTTTCTTCAGGACTGCTATATCATAGTTTCAGAGGGCTTGGCGTGGGGGTTTTGGAAGGGCCGGACCCGTGTCGTCGTTCGTTTCTAACTCATAGCTGGCATTCGGTGGTTGCTTTTTATATGGAGAAAATTGCTAGCTTGCTGCCAGTAGGCCAACACTGGGCCTACCCGACATGCGTTAGGAAGTCGCTCCCCTTAGAGCACTCTAGCGTAGGACAATTGCCTAGCTGATTGAGTTGTAATCTAAACATAACAACGATGGCAATCGGGCAGCCGGTCTGAGCGTGTTGCAACTCAAGGCCACATTGAGTAGGTTGGCTGCTTTTCAATCGGAGGTGCATGCAGTGAACCACGATAGATGGGCTATTCTGAAGCCTGAATTCTGCATGCCATGATGCAAGTCCGCCCCAGACTAAGCTGCAACGGAATTGAGCTCAGGCTATAGTGCACTGGTATACGAACGCTGGCTCCATGTCGGAGTCTGCTTCCAACAGATCCTCACTAGAAGCTATTCTCTGGCGGCCAGTACAAGATCGTCGTTCGCCGCCGGGCCATGGCGCCTGTAGACGTATGCCTTAATCCTCGACTCTGAAGAGAGGATCGCGGGGGCCGCAAATTGAACAGATGAAATCAAGAGCTCTTCGACATCCTAAGCATGCATGTCATATGTGCATATGCCGACCACAGTAGTTCGATGTCGCACATCATGCATGACAGGCCAGGCTCATGCTGGAATCGAGAACCACTATCGTTGTTGATCAAGGAAGCCTACCTCAGCCCTAGTGTAGGACTGGCAGCGCTTCTGCATAGTATATCATCGAACTTTAAATTGGCCGATGTTGTTGCCTGGCGCCCTAGCCTCGCCCAACATGCCTAATCGATGCTACCGTGGTGCTTGATCTCGTTCCAGCTTGCGTTCAAGGACCAACGTGATCTCCCCGTCTGACACTTTGACAGCCCCAAAGGCGCCCATTATCTCCCCCCAACGTCGGTTCTTTGTGTCGAAGTAGACGGACGCTCGTCGGGGCGCTCGCACCCCGAACAGGTCTACGATGCATTGGGTCTGCAGGAAAATCCGTTGTTTAGAGCTTTCAGAGTCCAGTTTTGCCTCTCCTTCAGAGCTCGCTCCAATTTTCTCATGCTTGACGCTAGATAGTTCAGGACTTTTCAGTAAGTGGCATGTCTGATAAGTTGGCATGAACGAGCCCAATAGAATGCGCCTGCTTGTGCTACCAATGAACATAACGATGCTGTAGAGTCGATCGCAAATCGGTTTCGGCGACTGTCATGCTCCTGACATGGCAGCGAGGGACTATCAAACCGGATGAACCAGTAAGATCTTCACAAATTGCCATTTCTGAGGTAGGCATACCAACAAAAACCAAACGTAAACGGGAAACTTGAGGGCAGCTACTCACAGTTGTCAATCCCCTAAGAACGTCCCCTTTTTGCACCGCCGCCCCCGTTCGCGCTGAGGCCCCGTCTCGACCTGATGTCCTGACGGTCCCAAACATTTGCACGACTCTCGCTGCCTGCTCTGCGTTTCCCCCCGGGATCAGATCAGCCACAACAACGCGCTTGCGAATCCGCGACTCCTCGAAAACGATTCCGAGAGGCTTGGGCAACGTCACCTGGGGACATCACATAAGGTACTTGAATCAGGCAGAAGGACGACCAGGGAAAATGACTTGAGACAAACAGACGCGTTCAAAAACGGGTCACTTTGGGAAAGAATGGTATTTTGAGTGGATTCCTGAAAAATGTGCAAGGTGTTTGTACCACTATCTTCTGAGGGGCAGTTAGAATCTTTGAAGAGGTGAGGGGGCTTTGGGCAGAGTTTGTGGAAGAGGAGAAAGGCATATAGGTAGGAATATCTGCAGTGGCCAGACTGCTTTGAAACTAACTTTGGAAGAGCAATTCCCGGCCACTCACTGTGACAAGGACGCTCGGAGCCGGCAGCAGCTTTCGGACTGAAAATACAGTGTCCGAAGTCTCTCCAACAAACCCCACCGGAACCTTCACATCCACAGGTTCCTCCTCTTCTGGCTGTGGGGCCGCGGGGCTCAGATCTTCCACACGCACAGCGCGCAAACTTCTCCTTCTTGGCCCGCTGCTTTTTCTCCCCATACCTGGTTCACAGCCCCTTCGTCTAGGTGCTACTAGGCTGGTTGTAGACAGACGAAGTCTGCAGGGCGTTGATCGTGTAGGGGAGACTGGTTGGTTGACAGAAGTGTCCTGTGAGTTTGACCCTATGCAAGTGTAGGCTTGAGATGGAACGAAGGGCCCCTTTCCCCTCTTCTCACAGGATTTGCAGAAGTTTCTGGCTGATGCAGACTGATTGGAGTATAGAGCTGAAGAATGTGGAGAAATGGAATGGTCGAAAGCTGTGTGGACTGGGCGCTTCTGTCTAGCTCGTAACCTGCTGCTGCCTGCTTGCATTGACGAAAGACAGGGAACCCACTTGGAGCGAGGCCAATCACGATAATTCCAGCACAACCCACTGGAGCAGAGAGAACCTGACTTTGAGCTTTGCGGAGGTTGGAAGCTTCTGGATACAGGTCCATTGGCAGTCCTCTTTCCAAACTGCGCCTTCAAAGTTGTATTGCTTCCAGCAATCAGCTTGACAGCACTATGGAATCCGATGTGCTGCCGCTGGGAAACTGTAGAATACCGCAAGGAGCCTGGGCGAACAGCAGGAGTGTGGATTGCTAGTGCCATTTTATCCCAGATTCTTTTCCGGAAAGAAAGCGTCCTTGATTCTCAGAGTCAGAGTCAAGGGGGCGCCCTTCACAGTTTTCTGTCCAGAGATCTGACAGTGACAGCAAAAGGAAGCAACTCGTGAAAGTGGGTCGTTCTAAGTAGATAAAGCAATTTTGTAATCGCAAATTCTAGCTTGCAAACATTTTGTCTTCCGGGAGCAGTCATGAAGAACCGGCAAAGCACTTGCATTCGACAAGAAGCATGCGGCCGAGTGTATTCCGCATGAGTTGCTCCCAGTGTCGACTTCCAGGCTGTGACGTTTCGTCCAACGCCTTGGTCACGGCAGTATATACCAACAGAGCTGCGAATGTATTTTGTGCTCTCTGTGCTCGTGAACGAGCGTCTTCCTGAGGACGTGCAGTGCCAGCAGCTGCGGATTGATCAGAATTCTACTTCGATAAGCAACCAAGAGAGGAGGAAGGTGCGCACTAGTGTGTCAAGCATTCCCAGGGGTGGAGCTTCCTGTTCCCATTTCCACCAATTGGGCAAGGTTGATCAAGCAGCATGAAGCCAGATGCTCCCTTCCCCTGCTGGGACGCCCCCTCCGTCTCGCCTTCCTGTGCGCCGCAGTTGCAAGATGATGTCAGCAGTCCGTCAGCAAACAATGCCAGCTCAGCGAGGAGCCAAGCTGGGAAAGATAAGCGGGCGTTAGAATCAGGTCCACAAGAGGATCAATCAAACAGGCAAAACAGGCTATTGTTGCGGGGCGGCCGTGAAGAGACTTTGCGAGGTGGCCCTCAGTCTAGTTTGGAGCACCAGATGAAAAACACTGACACTTTCAACAAAGGGTTTGATCAGGCCCCTTCTGTAGGCTCCACTCGGTGTCAAAGCGTAAAACGCTTTCCCACCCGCTCAACGCCTGACACTGGGAACCATCATCGCTTCCAAACTTTCTGCTCCACCGAAAGTAACAGCGATGCTGACCATAGAGAAAATGTAAGGACAAGTTTCTCTCCAAAACAATTCAATCCAGCATTCGCTTTTCCTCAGCTGCTATTGATTTCCTCCACACCCAGCAGCCCAGCCAAACTAGAGTTGGGGACTTTTCCGGACGTCCCAAAAGGGCTGGGGGTGTCAAATCTGTCCGCAGTCACAGGTGCTTCTGAGCTGCAAAGAGCGAGTGAAGCACAGAAGCAGTGGCAGTTGCATGAGCACTTGCCGACCTTTGCAAAGGAGATGATTGCGGGGGGCGTCGCGGGGGCTGTGGCCAAGACCGCAGTGGCCCCCCTGGAGCGGGTCAAGATCCTTTTCCAGGCAAGCCACTTTGGCCCATGGATTAATCTCTGGTTCTGCACGGAGGGTTCAACAGTCAGTAATTTGATCGAAAAGGGCCCGTTTGAGGAGGTAGAAGAGGACCCATAGGATCTGAGTGTCTCTATTATCTGCTTGGCTTTGAGTAGCTGGTGGTTGTGACAGAGATTTACTTAGTCTACCGCATCCGGCGATTCCACACATCCAACTTTTTCTTGATAACCACAATTTAAGCTTACTTACCTTACTGCTTGCTGATTTGCATCCTCAACCCTCTGTTCAGACCAACCTGGGCGACTTTGCCCGCGCCGGCGTCGGGGGATCCCTCCGCCGCATCTGGCGCACCGAGGGCCCCCTCGGGTTCCTCAAAGGAAACGGCGCCACCGTTCTGCGCGTCGTCCCTTACGCTGCGTTGCACTTTATGACGTATGAGCAGTATCGGCGGTGGCTGGTGGAAGCTACCGGGCACTCTTCTCCGCCCGTCGATCTGGTGGCCGGATCGCTTTCGGGGGCGACGGCGGTGTATTTTACGTACCCGCTGGACCTCATACGGACGCGGCTCGCGTGGCATGTGAGACTGCTACGGCCGCTTCTAGTTTCGGACTGGAATTGTTCGAAAATGATCTTGGACGCTAAGACCGTGCTTTTGCTCAGTAGCTTTTGGGAGTGTTTGAAACTAGTCTACTCCCAAATGAAAGGCCGGCCGTGTCATCATTCCAACCTTCCGGACGCTTCTTCAAGTGTCTCCAGATCTGTTGAATTGCTTCCGACGCTTCGTCCGGCTCCCGTAATCCGCGATGCCGCGATGCTGCTCCGCCCATAGCACCTCTGATTGTCCGTTCAATATGAAACGTTGCGGAGGCTCAGAACGCTTCGTTTGCTGTTCAGAACGCTTGTAACGCGCCTTCGGACATGGTCGTGACCTCTTTCGGACGTCCGCAGGTTTCGGGGCCGTCGAGCGCGGGCTCTGCCGCGAAGGGCGCAGCGTCGGTCGACAACATCCGGGGCGTGTTTCTGGAGATCGTGCAGAAGGAAGGCGGGCTGCGGGGTTTGTACAAAGGGATCGGTGGGTAAAGCCGGCCCTTGAAAGCTTGATTTGTTTCGTTACGGTACAGCGTAGAAGACTTTGCAGTCAGAGGTCTGAAATCTCTAAGGGTCCTTGATGGTCCGTGCAGGAGTCTCTTTGCTGACTTCCAAGGCTTCTGTTTGTTTTCTATTTTTCCCGGCTGCATGCCGTTGGTTTTCAACGGCAAAGCTTTGAACCCCTCGGTTCCAGGACTACACGTACTATCAGTGGTATGCTAGAGTCGTTATCTGCCTTGCTTCGAGCGCGAAAGAGTCGATTGTTGCTACTCGAAGATCTCAGAGTCGTCCCGCGACTCGCACTCATCTCAGATTTGCGCATTGCGCTTCTCTCCATTTCCAAATTTGTCATTCAGCTGCTTCGCTTCTCGATTCCAACAAAGTCACTGTTTCTAACAGAAAGTGATACGCCAGTGCCATGAACAAAGAAGTTTAAAGAGACATCTTCAACCGCAGCCCCTACTTCTAACGGGGCCCGTTTCATATACCGACCCGATGAGACTATGAGCACGCCAACCGCCTCCGAAAAGCACTTTGACCAATTCCACTGCCTTTCCTTTCGACTTGATTTGACTCCTTTCGTTTCCCTTCTTCGCAGGTCCGACTCTGTACGGCATCTTACCATACGCCGGCCTCAAGTTCTACATATACGAGATGATGAAGCTCGCGATCGTACGCGCCACGGACGAGCAGCCCAGCCTAGTTACCAAGCTGGGCTGCGGCGGAGTTGCGGGGATCATCGGGCAAACGCTGACGTACCCATTGGACGTGGTCCGACGTCAGATGCAGGTACGGCACTTTGTACCCCTAAGTTTCTGATCATGTGTCTGGTTGACTTTGATCTGTTTTCAAGTCGCTTTCTTGAGTATGTTCTTCGCGAACGACTTCCTTACATTCTATGAGATGCTTTAATCTAGACGTACCATTCGGCTATGATTGTCAGGCGAACTTTATAACTGACAGGGAATGCTCAGGTAGTTGGCTGCTTTGCCGAACTTCCGCAACAGCAAAATCTTTCGGGCTTGTTTGGATCGCAGACGAGAAACATGATATGTCTGTGCGGTTGTCAAAAGAGTCTTGCTAAAAGGATTTTCCAAAGCTGTGGAAATTGCATCGACGTTATACTTGTGATCGATTTGATGCGTGATCGAGGAATTGTAGTCGAAGTCGATTGAGAAGGAAAGAGGGTCAAAGGAAAAGTCCAAACAGAGAAGAAGAGCACGCGGGGGAAGGGGCCATAAAACGAGACCCCATCTCTACCGCCAGGTGCAAGGCGCGCCTGCTGACGTGGCGCCCCGGGGGCTCCCCAGCGGGCTGCCAGCTCAGCAGTATAAAGACACGTGGGACGGGCTTCGGACGATTGTACGGAAGCAGGGGTGGCGACACCTGTACGCGGGGCTCAGTATTAACTACCTTAAGGTGCGTCCAGTCACATTCTTGCAATATTAGCGTGCAGCGGTTTAAGCACCCGGTGGGTTTAGGTTGGGAATGGGAGTAAGCTTGGGACCGGAGCGCCTGGTTGTCCTGGTTGGATTTCCTCGTTTATATGCCGCCCGCCTCAAGTCTGCTGCGAAGATCTGACAGTGCAGACCAGAGTAGTAAGTATACGGGTGCCTTAATCAGCAGTCTCGGGCAGTTTAAGTACCCGAAAGCGCGGTATACAGTAGTTTGGTGTATCTCGAGCAGCGTTTGTAAGACCAACATGATGAAGAGCAAGCCATTCTGATTTGACTAAGGGAACAAGGGCCCGTTGGGCAGAACGGGTAAGACGATTGCCAGATCGACGCAGGGCATATGCACTTCTCTCGATCAGCCATATCTTTGGATATTCGATTGAGCTGTAGATCGCTCCGTTGCGTCGCAAAACTTGGACTTTTGTTCCCATGAGCTTCGTTCTAGCCGCTTCCGCCGCTTCCGTCAGACCGCAAGGTTCTTAGCGCGAAGTCGAAACCGAGTTCAATACTTGATTATGGGACGTCAAGCCTCTTTGGTTCCCATGCCCTGCTATATTCAAGCCGATACTTGATTATCGTCTTCCGGAAACGTCCCGGCAACTTCAAAGCCTTACCTTTTGCTTTTACAGATGGTCCCCTCCGTGGCCATCGGTTTCACCGTCTACGAAGCCATGAAGGCCTGGCTGCACGTGCCGCCACGAGAAAAGGGTTCGAGAACAGCTGTAGCGGTGACATAACCGTAGAAGTTAAGGCGAGGGGATTAGGCGGAAGTTAAGGAGTCGTGAGATTGTGAATAGCCCTCGACGCAATTGGGTTCAGTCCGCAAATTGCAGTGCTTGCCAGCATTAGTTCGCCATGCGCGCTTTGTAACGCAAACGCTAGCATCGATCGACATGCGCGCTTTGTAACGCACAGATTCTACAAGGTCTGATTCATCTTCAAATGACAGTTCAATGGTAGTGTCTCTCCTCTTAGGGCGGCCAAAAGCACTCAGTAGCGGCCCCGGGCGGGCTTCAATCTGAAGTCGACCAATATGAAGATCTGCATGCGAAGGGTTTCTTCCGACATCAACGTAGACGTCTTGGCTTGCTAGGGAGATCCATATAGAATGACGCGCATGCATAGTATCATTGTGCAAGATCGTACTTGCCTTGCCGCTAGCTCCGCAGGCGGCCCTGTCACCGTACGGTCCGGCCGGCGTCTCGTATGCATGACCCATGCATCATGTTGCGTCAATGATTAATGCATCCGAGAAGACTGACGTACAATTACTGAACTTTTAGGCCGGCCATGGCGGCCCGGCCTAAAAAAGTTCAGTGATTGTAAACTTGTTAGTAGGCATACTAATGCGTTTGATATAAGTGGCGATGACTGTGACTCTCGTGACTTGTGCACAATAGACAAGCCAGACTCAAGAAAAAACTCAAGTTTGAAAGTTGCGAGCGCTGCGTCCACACCACACGTCCTTTACCTTTAAACGCCTGCAAATGGTATGCTGTCAAGTTCCTTCGAGTTCAATCAAACCCACGTTAATTCCTCCCTAGTGGCAACGACCTGCACATATACGTCTCCTTAGCGTCCCGACTCGACGACGTGAATATCGAAGCATACACCGATCGATCCGCATGTTTCGGCTTTAGCTCCTCGACTGCCTTGAACCTTTTCCTTTGGCTAACTAGATCGGAGCCCTTTGGTCGGGGGTTGACCGCCAAACCCGCAGCCGCTGCCGCAGGTGCGCTCATGCCAGCTGGCAAGCTACCATTCGTCGGAGGCCCTTTTCGCTTTACACCATTCGCTGCAGCCTCGGAGGGAGCGCTGCTCTCTTCTGGGCTTATGCTGCGGCCGTCCTCGTGCGCTGCCGATGCTACTTTGCTGGACCTTTTGTCCTTCTTCGCCTGCCAAAAGTACAGATGTAGGTCAGTTTCCGCAGAGCAAAAGCGTGCATGTTCTCTTTGCCATGTAAAGGATGTTACCCAGAAGGATGCAAAGAGAGGCGAACTACCGGTGGGAGGAAGCCAGCGTTCCTGGTCAAATCTTGCTAAACCTATTGTCCTCCTTTGCCTACCAATGTCGGCAAGGCAAGGCAACGCTGACACATGCGCCTTTCTTTTACTCCGTAAAAGGCGAAGACAACTACCGATCGCTGAGGAGAGTGCAGAGAGAGGCGAACATCGAACGAAGAAAAGCCAGCATTTCATCTAGGCCGAACATGCAAAATTCTGTAGATCGTCTTTACTCGGCGTAAAGGTCTGGGTTTCAGAAATGGGTGGGTCGGATCAACGAGACTGCCAGCAAGATTTTTTCCCGAAGAGCAACAACTGCAAGCAAACGCCTCTGTGCATTTATTGAACTATCAAAGGACAAAGCTACAGGGATATAAGGGCTACATCCTCCAAAGTCGTTTGTTTCAGGTGGACCAAGGGACAAAGTGCAGAGCTTGAGAAGTCCCGGGACACGAAACAGAATAGAGTCCGAATGTTGGTATCAGGAACCTGTTTGCTTCAAACTGACTAAGCTGATCCTTGACCGACTATCCCTCGCTCTTCCAATGTACAGCTGGGCATGGACCAGGTGACATCAGGCTGACATCAGGCTGACATCATCTCCTCTCGCAGTCAAACCAGAAAAGAGAAGGCCCTCACCTGCTTTGACAGCGCCCGCGCCTGCTCCATCTTTTTCTTCAAATCAGCCACCTCCTCCTCCGTCCCGTTGATCACCACCTTGTCTTCCTCCACGAACCCCTTATGACAAACCAGACACGTCGTCGACTTCACTTCCTTGAAAGCCCTGGCGCTCAGCACATGGCCGCACGACTTGAGTGCGTAGAAGCGGTTCAGGCCGTTGAACTCTTGCCCAGTGATCGGGCACTGGAACCGGTTGGTTGCGCTTTCGCTCTTTTGATCGGCGGCGGGGTTTTCTGTCAGGTGGATCTCGAAGATGTCCTGCGGATGAGGGAGGAAAGTGCGAGACTGGTCAGTAAACAACTCTCCAACTAATAATGATCCCGGTACTTCATCCGAATCGAACCAGCGTACTGCCTGCATAAACTCTCGGTACCTAGGAGGACATAATTCTAAGAAGTGCACTACTGTTAATTTGCTGTTAGGCGGAGAATCCCTGGCTTTGGTCAGCGCTCTGACTTCGAAAAAGGGGCTTATTGCGCGAACGAGTCTACCAAAGCGAAGACCCGTGAGTCTCCAATTCCCTATCTTCAAAAACTGCCTTCAAATGCTCGTTGCTTGTCTTCGCATTGAAGGAAAATTCTACCAACGAAAGTCAATTTCCAGTAACTGCCGCAAAGAGGTTACTGTCCAGAATCACCACACAACTTCGGTGGATTCTGACTCGAGCAGCGGCCCAAAATAGAGTCTCCTGCAAAGAAATCCTTGATTCCCAAAGCTTTCTTCGCGTCATTGACTGCCCCTAACGTGCGAAAAGTGACTTTCCAGATACCCAACACAAACAAACAATAGAAAGAAAGTCACAAACTCTGATGAGATGGCCCAATAAAAGCTCAGCAATCGCACTGTTCTCAACCATTCAGCAACTGCCCCAACATTCTTTCCATGCCCAGGAACAAGCAATTCCCGTAAGATGTCAGAGTTGCTCTTGTAGACGACCGCCTTAAACGAGGGCTCAATAACAGCGATTTGGAAGAAAGTTGCACCTGGTGTTGAAATGCAATTGTAGTCCAAGCCTTAAGTTCAGCAATTCGCACACGCTTCTTTTGAGACAGAGCTCATTCGAGGTCTTCAAACTGTACCAAGGAGATGGAGTGCAGAACTGCAAGAGCTCACAAACCCTAAAATCATCTGGTCAGAGCTTAACCAAGTCCACAAGACAACTTAACCAGCTTGGATAAGGACAAAACACGTCTCCTGAGTGCTCACCTTCAGGCTCTTGATGTGGCTTAGAGAAGCTGGGATCTTCTTCAGCACCAAGTGATGAACCACTGCCTCCTTATTATACAGGTTCCCAAGCATGTCCATTGCACACGGCGCGTTCAACAATTCCCCCGACAACCTACACCGCGTCCACTTTGCAACCCGCGCCTCGTTCGGGTCAACCTTATCCGGCTTTTTGTCCATGTACATCTCCAGGTAACAAGAACGCGACTCTGCTCCCGTGGCGCCCCCGTCTCCCCCTCCCCCCCTGAATGGAACCTGCACCTGTAGGGTTGCATAGTTCCTGATGGGATAATCCTCAACCCGATTCTCCTCGCGCAAGTGCACACCTCCGTGTGCCAGCCTGATGCCAGCGCTGGCGTCAGGACCCAGCGCCGCCACCTTTAAGCTGCCTATGAGGTCGCTGGGTGTACATGTCAGAGCGACAACGTGCGCACCGCCGCCCTGCACGAAGAGTTGCATAGCTACAGAATGCTTTCTCTGAGCAAAGTCCTGATTGTCGTCTATAAACCTTGCCTTCTATAATTCGCAGCGAGATATGCACTTGCGGCCTTCGCACCAACTCAAGACAGGTCTTCCCTAAAACCAGACCCTTCCGAGCTTTCCATTGGCATAAATTGCGCCCGCTTCAAAAGCTGAAATTGGGGTTTCCTCTCAAATGCCCGCCGGAAACGTCCGGCGGAACTCCGCTGGTAAGGAGCACGGGGGAGTGCTCCATTCAGGCAAGCCCCCGGCCGGGGCCCATGGCCCGTGGGCCCTGCCACCGGCTGCCACCCTTACGGTCCGCCCGGTAGGTAGTTGTTTTAATGTTCCCATGCAGATCCGGGGAAGGCGGAACATGTGTCGACAGAACTTTGGCCTTGTGCAAGTGTTTCGGAGCGGAATGGGCCGGAAAAGGGGCATTTCAATTTTCAAGTCTCTGATAAACATGACTCGTCAGTCATGACTCAAGAATGATGAAGACGCTCTGCAGCTTTCTTTGACCTGATCAAGAGTTCAAGCGTCAGTCTTTGGAGCATCAACTGGCCAACTACAAGGACGTCTGCGCGTCGTGTTGCGCGCCAGAAGGAATATGCTTGGGCCTTAATAGGGTTCTTCTGTCTAGGCAAAAGAGATTATAACAGCAGACTTTGCGCTTGCCGTGGTTCGGTTGGAAGCAAAGAGCTCGGCGGAGTTTTGGATTGGGGACTGTCTTAGTGTCATGCTTCCAACTTCATCAATCCAATGGTTGAGGATTGGAGGACATAGAGATTCCGTTTGTGAGCCTAGGTTTGAGGGGACAAAGTTGCAGTGCGATTCTGTCGATGTAACCAGATTTCGTTGCTCTTGATGATTTCAGCACCCCAATAATGTACGTTAGATTGTGAGCAGCAGTTGCAGCACAGGCAGCGGTTATGCTTTCCCATCGAGGGTTTCACCAAGAGGCAGCCTTTGCAAGTAATTTCTTAGTCAACAAGCTTGTTCTTGAATAGACATCCCTGATCAAGCTTTGAGCTGCTTGGTCCTCTTCTGAACCACTTTCACTGAAATACAGCTTATCTTAGTTGCGGTGGAGCACCTATGTGAACAGGAGCCTGTCGCCAGAGCAAGTAGAAAGAGGGGTCTATTTGGGCCCCAGGCATGGCGTCGGGGGACGTGGAGCTGAAGTTTCGGATGACGGATGGGTCTGACATTGGTCCAAATAAGTACTCGTCGTCCGAAACGGTGCAGGCTCTCAAGGAAGCTATCATTGAGAACTGGCCGCAAGGTGTGTACCCCCTCTCTGTGTCGGTGCATCCGATAAGAGTCGTCCTGCTAGCACAGGGTGCTTTGTGAGTTCCGGCTGTTGAAATTTCAGAGGGGTGAAAAAGCCAAGCTCTTGTACATTCATCAATCAGCCCTGATCTTTATGTTAGGGTTCTGTTGGGGCTTGGTTGGACGGGGGAGTTTTGCAGAGCTGGTGTGTTTGAATCAGATTAAGAGTCTCTACTCGTAATCTGCAACGAGTGGGAAAGTGATTTTCATGGATTGCTGACATCATCAACGGCATCATTCTGTCAACTTTACTCCAAGGTTTGGCCGTACAGGCTGACAGCAAGCGGAAGCATTGAAAGGAGCATCTGCTTAGCGCTCCCTTCAACTTTTGCATCAGGCACACTTAGGATGCAGTTTCTAGCCGTCATCTTTCGATCATCCACAATGTGTCTCTGGGGTCACTTGAAGCGAGGCTTCTTGCATAGCTGCTGCTTTGCTAACCAGTTTCAGCTTTCAAGTACTCTCATCGTCTGGTCAAAACGCTTTCTGTGTTCATATCCGCTGCACCTGAATTGACTGCAATCCTTTCAAGCCCTCTCATTGTCTGCTCAAAGGGCTTTCTGTGTTCCTCCCCGCTGCACCTGAACTGACTGCAAGTTTTGTAAAGGGGTTTCCTCCCTCATTTTGATTCAACCTCCATTTCCATCTGTTCCTGTCCTGTTGCTCGACCCTGCATTGGCCGACTGTGTCGCACTGACTGCATTTTGATCCTTCTGGAACTGGCATCTTCTTGCATCTTCTTGGCTCCCATCATTTTGGCTTCTGTCAACTTTCTTGGAGAACACCTCAAAGCCGTCTGTAGACAAATCCCCCTCGCCATTGACTCCCTGACTGAGTGTGTGGGACCGTAGGCTTACTCAGATGCCAAGTTGCTAGATTTGTGAGAGATCATAGACAACCGTGACAAAATGCAGTAAACAAGGCTCATCTATCGCAATCACAGCCCCCTTTTGACTGCTGTCAGCCGGTGCCTCCGGAACTGATCGTTTGGCACCCGCAAAGGGGGCTACTTTTGCAGCATGCACCCTTCCCAACACTAGCGTTTTGGCAGTCGCCGCCCCCCCCCCCCCGGATTTTCTGCTGAAGAGTTGGATTGTCACCCCCCCCCGAAATGTTTGTGCAGGCAAAGAAGGCTGCCCCAAGAGCGTACAGGATGTGAAGCTGATACACGCCGGCAAGGTGCTCGACAACGCTCGGACCCTGGGGGAGTCTCGAGTGCCGGTTGCCGAGACGGGGAATCTGATAACTATGCACGTAGTCATTCGGCCACAGGTTGCGGAGCCAAAAGCTGGTGAGCCGTCATGATTTTCCCCTGTTCTCAGCTTCTCCGCTCGTAATGACATGTGAGCGGATTCAAGGAGTTTTTCGGGGGATCCAGGAGTGTGATCTTTTGGACGATTATTGTTTTCAGGCCGTTTACAGAGATGCCCACCTGGTTAACAGGAGCTTATGGTATGTATTTAGCAGCGGAAGGGTCAATGTTCCACTTGCGGGTTTCCAATGCTGTGTCAAGCAACCGAGTAGAGAGTCAGAGCCTCCCTCAGAGCGAGCAGATTACTAGCTTACTAAATTTCGGCTTACTATATTACTGGCTGAAAGACAGCAGAATGGTGAAGGCTGTCGTTTTAAGATTAGTAGGAAACGTACAGAGACGCCATAAAGGTACAGGCTGTATGCGCGAACACTCTTTCTTGTTAAGAGCACGCTGTGCTGCAGGAAGGCGCACAGGGTTCTTGAAAGGAAGTTTGTCTGCTTTTTCTTCCGTCCTTCTTTTGTCTTCCGTTCCATAATGTTGTGTATATACACACCACTTCTACGTAGAACGTGCTCACTGGCAACGAATGAGTCGATCCAGATTAAGAACTTGCACTGGCAAGCGGAGTTCGAGGGCGGGCGAGGTTTCGTTGAGAGCTGGCAAGGTCTGAAACACTGATTTAAACGTCACTCAGGAGCAAGGGCAAATTTGCAGACTGCTCGCTTTTAGAGCAACAGGAGTACAGGCTGTCCCATTCTCCTCCAAGCCACCGAGTGGCATCGTCCCGTGCCTTGATTCGAACTTGAGGGACAATTGTGAATCTGATATGTACTATGTCCTGATTTGCTCCTGTTGTCTCGCAGCAGCGAAAGAGGGGCAGGAGCCGAAGAAGGGCGGATGCGGGGGCTGCTGCATCTTGTAAAGAACGAAGGGTTTCAACAGAGTTGCGGGGGATGACCATACGGTATGGTTAAGAGGGGTTTGGTCAAACCTGGCCTCATTCGGGTTGGCTCCGGTTAGGACGACTCTCAAATATGCAAGGGTGCCGGCCTGGGGGCCAATATAGCCGTGCTCGAGAACGTCCTTTCTCGCGGGAAAGGGTTTGAGGCAAGGGGAGAGTCGGCCGTCGGGTAACATGGCGCTGATGTCATACCAGCGAAGATGACGTTTTCGGGGGGTTAGCGGAGAGCAGCAACTGGGGCTGTTGGGGGCAGGCTTAGTAGTGCTACGGAGGTAACTCGGTGAGCGGGATGTGAGAGGCGAGGCCACCACTGATTGGCGGGTGGAGATGATGTCGGATTGATGCGTGCATTTGGATGCTCACTGTGTGGATGGGTCAAGAGGCGGCCTGCCATTGTCGAAGCATCCATGCGCGTCTCTTGGGCGAGGGCGAGCGGATTGCCACTTTGAGCCCAACTAGAATGTAATTGAACAAGTGGAGCTTGTTCCGGTCGTTTCTCGCCTTCAAATCATCGTACATACTGGAAATAACGTTGCAGCAAGTATAGGTTCCAAGTCGGGTATAAGGAGTATAGGATTTGTTAGATTGTTATTAACGTGTTTTGTAAATCGGGATTGTCATCCATGTAAGCTCCGAGTCAGTGGGCCCACAAGCGAACTTTCAAGACCATGCTAAAATAGAGAACAAACGAGGCTTGCAATCGTGGTTGAACAAATTTGAATGGCGGCCCTGCCGCGGCTTGGCTGCTCATAGTTCTAGCTCTTTGCCAGGCTTCAGCTCCATGCATCCGACCCACACTGATGTGTCGTGACTCACAGCATTAGATAAAAGTACTGGTCTACAGCGGTATCAAGCGTGCCCCAATCAACGTTGACCGACAGTGCATGGGTTTGTATGTGAATTGTGTTTTCAATCTTGAAGCATCTAATTGGACATTTCAAGCTATGTGAGATCACAAGCTAATGCATGAAGGTCATAGATTGCAGTCTATAACACTCCGATATTCCAGCTGCGCGGATGCACTGAGCCTCCTGTTAGTACGCCATGATCATTAGAAAGATCGCCGGCCATGCACTGCCAAGCATGCCAAGTGCCGCAATCAGGTTATAGACGGACAGTGGAGGTATATGGTAGGCATGGCCCTGCGGTTCGCTCTGATGCTACAGACGGCTGCACCCTACACGGAGTTTCTTTCTATCAAGGGCGGATCATTCTAAGCTCTAAAACCTACTCTCTGCATACTCGGCCGTGAAGCTCTGGCGGCTTGCAAGAATACGTAGACATGGCCAAGAACTTTTCATCCTAGCTCGGCCGGCCGGGCTGGCCGGGGTCGGGGCATGCTGAGCTAGAGGTCTAGCTGATGTAAAGCTCACCATTGCTTCGAAGTAACGACCCTGGCTTTCATGAAAGGAAACGTATCACCACGCAGCAGCGGGAGCCGTAATCAACCATTGCTGATTTCAAGTGCTGCGCGGAGTGCAAGGACCGTTGCCTTCAAGGCCCAACTCGGTACATCGGTGGTTGCATAAGCCGTTGCAACTTCTACAATGTGCACGCTGATATGCTCCGCGCCCAGGCAACCCTGTCAACTGGGTTCTTCCTCAAACTGGGTGCGCACTGAAGGCCAAAAAGCAGGGACCAACACAATGTAGATTAAGACCGGCATTGCCCTCGTTCCGGACCGTACACGGCAGAAAACGACCTGATCCGACAGTCCACAAAGCAAGTCACCAAGACTTGGTACCCACCGATTTTGGCAGCGGAAATATACATGTTGTACGAAAGTGTGCAAAGCACAGCGCATCCGACTTTCGCTACTGCTCCTCTTTCAGCCCGAACGACTTGGCCAGCCGCCGGGCCTTGTCCCGCGCCTCTAGTTCCACGAACAATCTCCTCAACCGCTCTGCCTGCGTCAACGTGTCCTCAAACGCGGCCCCCGCGGCTTTCCGCCCCTCCAGCGCCCTCCCCATGACGTCCAAAAACTCCACCAGGGGGGCCAATTTGGCAGCGAAACCCTCCCCCCGTTTTGTGAACGCGCCCGCAAGCGCGGACACCAGCCGGCCCGTCCGCAAGAGAGCGTCCGAAGGCGTCGTCAGGAGCGTCCTGAGGTGGGGGAGCAGTTTTGCGGCGACCAGCTGGTCGAGCGCCAGGGTTTCGAGGTCGCCGGGAGGCAAGATGTCGCGCCAGAGAACGATGTTGCGGAGGACGCGCACTGCGGCGCCAAAGTGTTCGGCAGAAACCGCAACGGCCTGAGAAGGCAAAAAGGTGGCTCAAGAAGTCGTTCGATCCTAACGGCGTTCACATCTACATCAGTAATCAAAGAGACCCAAAATTCGATCGGGGGTGGTTGTTATAACAAAAAAGTGCTTTCTCTTTACTCATAAGTGCAATTGCCCGCTCTTCCGCTTTTCGTAATGCTCGCGTTCTTTGTTATCAACACCTTCTCTGCTTGCTATGATCTATAAGGTAGGCTTTCGAAAGCGAACATGGGCTGCCTTTAATCTACACTTACCAGGGCAGCAATTCACAAGCAAGCAAACGCTCGTACAGGCGTCAAAAAGCCCTCACGACCGCACTCTTTTCACACCTGCAAAGCTCGCCCTGTTAACTCAAAACATGTGCAACCAAAAAGAGGGTATTCACACCTGGGGTGCGGCTGCCAAAAGCGCTGGTGTCCACGCGGGCACGACCAGCTTCTCGACCACGTCAGCAATCCGGGATCGGACGGCGGAGAGTAAATCTCGGACGGGTTCGGACTCGGGGGGCACGTAGATCTGGACTTCGGACACGGCAGCGGCAATTTGGACGGTCCGTTTCGTGCTTTGGGGATCCCAGCAGTAAGTGATCAGGTGGAGTAAGATGGGGAGCGCGACCTGTAATAGAAAAAGAGGGAACTTTTTAGAGGGGATTTTGGACGGCGGCCGCGATTCGGACGGTCCGTTGGGCGCTTTGGGGGTCCCAGCAGTAGGTGATCAGGTGCAGTAAGACGGGAAGCGCGACCTGTAAAGAAAAAAGGAGTTTTTGGAAACAATTTCGGACACGGCGGAGGCGAATCGGACGGTTCGTTTCGTGCATTGCGGGTCCTGGCAGTAGGTAATCAGGCGGAGTAGGATGGGAAGCGCGACCTGTAGGAGAAAGAAGAGGGTTTTCAGAACGGATCTCGGACATGGCAGCGACGATTCGGACGGTCCGTTTCGTGCTTTGGGGGTCCTAGCAGGAGGTAATCGGGTGGGGTAAGACAGGGAGCGCGACCTGAAGAGAGACAGCGGCAAAGAGACGAATCAGAATGAATCAGAATGTTTGCGGGTTCGGAATTCGGACATAGCAGCGGAGATGCGGAGGGTCGGTTTTGTGCTTTGAGGGTCTTGGCGGCAAGCGATCGGCAGTACGATGGAAAACATGACCTGACGGATCCTTGAAAGGAAAACGTGGACTCCAATCTCAGATTTTGGATCTCCAGCAGGCTAGGGATGGCACGCGTAACTCATGGAACCCCGCAGTACCGTAACCTCAGAACCAGTTAAATCTGAAACAAGGGTTAAGATCGTCTTGCGCAGACCAGGGACTGTGACCAGTTATCAACGAAAGCACTCGGTTGACCCGTCACGTTAACCACTCAAATTTGAGCTCTGCGCACACAGAGTACGAAACGGAGTGAAGGTCCAGAATGGAGATTGGAAGCCACGGTCTCCTTTTCGCGGGTTCTGACAGAGAAAGCGGGGAAGTGAGTAGCGGGAGACTGAGAACTCCGAGCAGATTTTTGCCTTTCGGACACGGCAGCGAGAGATTCGACGGTCCGTTTTCTGCTTGGAGTATCAGCAGTTGGTGGTTAGGTGGAGTAAGATAGGGAATGCAACTTGTGAGAAAGAAGGGGAAAAGTTGCATGTTGTCGTCAAGAGAAAGACATGCGACCTGTCAGCGAGCGCTACGAGAAAAATGGAAAACGACCAGAGATCAAGAATCAGCTGCAAGAAACACGCACCTTCTCGATCAGCGTCGGCACCATGTTTGCGTCCGCATCATCCGGATCCGGCTCCGCTCCGTTCGAGTTTCCCATTCCGTACTCGAACAACTCCTGATACCACCGCACGCCGTCAAACCCTGCCTCCCCATGTAACGGATCCCACTTCAGTAGCTCCAGCTTCACATACGGCGCAAAGAGGGCCGGCGCGCTGAGCGACACGTACGCGTCTCGATACGCGGCGGGGTATTTCCGCTTCCACTCCTCGAGCCGCTCTTTCACTTTGGCAAGCGTTCGGAACTCTTCGTCGGCATCCCGGAACACGGCTTCGGCCGCCAGGACGAGCTCCCCGCGCCCCTTCTCAAACGCCGAGACTTCGTCCTCGCTCTCCGAAGAGGACGTCTCGCCGTCCAACCGGTCCCCCTCCGAAGGAGAGGAAGCTCTCCCGTTCCCGTTCGCATGCGCCCCCCGCCCGGGAGTTCGCTCCGCGCGCCTCGCCTGCGCGCGCGCCCGCCGGCGCGCCCGCGCTTCTGCTCTTCTCCGCGCCTCCATCCGTTTCTGCAGATTGACATCACGCCCAAACTCGTCCACCTGAGAAGTTAGCTCTAACCCGTCCCTAACCCGGGCAGCAGCCTCAGCGGCCGCGACGCTCGCGGCCAGGGCCCCCGCCCCGCGCCCCAGAGCGGCCATCGCCGCTGACGTGGCGGCCTCGGACTCCGCCACCTCAGCGCTGACGTCAGCGGCCCGTCGCTCGGCTAACGCTGACGCGCGCTCCTCCTGGAGTCTCTGCATCTGCTCCTCAAGTTCTTCGATCAGTGCGCCCTTGTCGCGAAGACAGTCGCACAGTTCCGCGACGTAGTCCCGCAGCTTCTGGACGTAGACGTACCGCTCGGACGACTCGGTCATTCCCCGCTCTAGTTCCCGGACGCTCTCCTCCGCGCTTTGGACCCGCTCCTCGTTCTGCCGCAGCGCGGCGCGCGCGCGCGCCTCGCTCTCCTTCATCTTGAACAGCGTCTCTCGCAAGCTTTTCACCGCCGATTCACCCTGGTTGGAGATCGAGAGAATGTTCCGCTTCTGCAACAGATCGCCCCACCCGGATCCCCCCCCCTGCGCCTTCTTCTCGTCCTTCGACTTGACGGCCTTCACCGCTTTTCTCATCTGTTCCATCTCCCACCGATCCTCTTCTTCGTCATCATGATCCATCTGCTGCTCCCCCCCCCCAAAAACGCCCTTCTCAGCCACCCCCCCTAGTTTTTTTACGTCCCCCAAAAACGACATTCGCGTGCGCACTTCCCCCTCGTCCTCACTGCTCTCGGCGTCCTCTTTCCTTTCCGGGGGGTCAGCGCCCGTGTACTTGTCCAGCCTGTCGCTGGGCGCCCCTGAAGCGAGCGGAACATAATCGGGGGCAGCCTGCGCCTGCCTCAGCTTCTCCCGCTTCAGTTTCGCTGCACGGATCATGTCTTCGTCGGGGATGTACGACAAACCCTTGCCTAACCCGCTGGTTAAATCCTCCAGACCGCTGGGTCTGACTCCCGCCGCATCTGGATTACTCCTCTCTTTCAGGGGGGCTTCTTTCTCTGCCAAGTCCGCAGGTTTAAATCCCCCCTTGAGCACCATTATCGGCTCGGGCTCCTTCGCAAACCCCCCGGGTATCGTCCTCAACCCGCTTTTCAACTCTGCCAGCCGTTCCGCCGTGTACTCGCCCGCCGCAGGCTGCAGCCCACTCGCCGGCTTTTCACCCCCCCCTCTAGTTGCACTCCCGAGGGCTTTGTGACTAGGCACCATGCTTTTCTTCTTTTCCTTTTTCAGCTTCACCCCCGCCCCCGATGCATCCCCGTCCTCCTCTGCATCCCCCCCAAAGCTGAGCAAACTCGGCGCCCGCGGTTTGCTCTCCTTAACCTTGGTTTTCTCCTTAACCCTGACGCCCTGGTCATTATCTCCGCCCGCCCCATCCTCCTGCTCACTGTCCGAGACTTTGCGCCGGAAGTTTTTCTTTTTGTTGAACATGATGCTAGCTGAACAAAATCACAAGTTTTGCTGGTGAAGGAAGCGAAAAGTTTGTTGCAATTGTTTGCTATCTATGCGACCACCTCGAAGAGTGCTTCTCACATGAAGGATTCAATAAGGATACTTTTACTTTTGTGGACAAACTGCAATGCCTGTGATGGCGCTACTAGTACAACGTCCAAGTTCAAGTCAAAGCTACAAAACCTACCCTTCAATTTCCAAAGCACTTCTGCCCTTCTTCTTGTTGAAGTTCTTCCATGAAGGCCCAAAATTAAATTATAATTTATGACCCTTCTCCTTCCTGTTTCTGCCCGCTTGCAAGTTGCAGCTGCTCGTTAATTTCATGGCTCCTTCTAAACCGTCCGTATCCTGGTTTGTGTCTAACGATACGGGTTTAGCGTAGATTAGCCGTAGCAAAAGCGGGCTCCTACAACTCGGTTTGGCTTGACCAGTTAAGGAATTTCAAGGCTTAGAAACGAGCTACGGCATACGAATCAACTCTTTCACCCTAAGGATATTTGAGCCAAGACAAGCTTCAATCTCGATTGCAGCATGCAGGGAGTCGGAAAATCACTTGTACATGAGAAGTCAGGACGCCCTAAGGCTTCAAATCAGCTCGCATCTGCTTGTTGCCCGTTGTGAGGCACTCTTGAGAGCAGGATTTAAGCTCGAAGATTAGTCGGCACATATTTTTAGTTGGCCAAGAAGAGTCCTCGCTGCTGACATGAAATCCAGTCTTTTATTGTTTTTGAACAGCGACACTTGCTTGTTGTAAAACGTTCTGGGAAAGTAAAGTCTGCTGCTACCAGGCCATGCAAGCAGCACCTCACCCTGTAGGTTTGAAAGGCCGTCGCGGGAATTGAAACCGAGTGTGCCTCGTAGAAGGTCGTCCTATTAGCAAAGAAGCAAGAATTGTCACGACCGTTCCATCAGTTTGAAAGATAGAAGCCATAATACCGGAGTATACGCTTGTTCTGAGTCCAGAGTTTGCGGAAGAAAGATCCAAAACTCACTACTCAAATCACTGAACTTCTAATCTCCGAGCTTCAGAAGGGCAGCATGCCTATCTTGTACTCCCTTGTGGCACGGGGCACTGTGGTGCTCGCAGAGTTCAGCGCCTCGGCCGGCAATGCGAGCTCCATTGCTCGGCGCATTCTCGAGAAGTTTCCTGAGGGTGGGGACACGCGGGCCTCCTACTCCCAGGTATGTTAGTCAGGTTCAAAACAGGGGGGGAGGTCCAGTTGCACAAGATGAACATCTCCTGGGCTCCCTTTAACATGGAGAAATGGTCACCCCTACTGGTGACGTCAATAGAAATGTGGCATCCTGCAGAGATTTGCGCTTTTTCTATGAACGAGTTGAGACTTCTCAAAGTCGTGCTGTTTTGATTGGAAAACATCACCCACAAATGAGAATGCCTCTCGTGCCTCTTCTTCCAAGCCTTCTGCTTACCCATGTCGGCATCAAAGTATTGCAGTTCCCTTTGAGCCCCTTTTCGCCCACGAGCCGGGTTTTTCCGTTGCGGGCGTGCCTGTTGTGCACCGTTGAGGGGGCAAAGTGGGCTTTTGACTGTATTGATTGAAAGTCTCCCACCAAACAGCACATCTCAGACCTGACGCCCTAATTCTATCTTGATTTGCATTGCTGGTGGATGAAAGATGGGCCGGTAATTTGTCGGGCAACTCAACGAATTTGAGAGGGTCAAATCCACCCTGCAATGCTTGACTTGCGCAATTATGTGTAGAAAGTCATTGGCGGCTCTCTTTCCAAAACTTAAATCATCTGTCCTTGGTTCGTAACTGCTTGACAGGAAGAAGAGGTATACGTCAGCTCGTCAGCTTGTCGCTTTGCTTGTTCTCGTTTGTCATTTGCTGCTCATTGCTAGGAAAGAACAAAGTTCCTAGGTCTTCAGCAGCTGCACCAATTTTGTCTGACAAACGATCAAATGGGCCTTGCAGGAACGACATATCTTCCACATCTTGCGATCAGGAGGGATCATCTACCTCTGCATGGTCAACGACGCCTTTGGAAGTAAGCTTCCTGCCTCGTCGTCTTCCATCATATATCCAGCTGTCAGAGCGGGATGAAGGATACTTAGTAATCTCGGGACTGACACCGAGGGGCTGTTGGAATAAGTGACATGGCGAGGTTTGTGTGGAAACCCTGGTCTGGGATTCTTTTGCCCCATCAAGTCTAGCCTTCCTAGCAGCCTACGCTCTTCACACCTTTTTGGAAATACTAAAGCTGACCTCACTTTCTTCCCTATAGCCATTGGGCGAGGGCCTCCTCCACCGCCTTTTCTGAACCCCTCTAGTCAGCCACCCCTCTTGCTATCCAAATATGGATGAAGTCGACCCCCTCAAAATCCCAAACCTCATTCCAGAAGTGACTGAGCGCCCTTGATTCCGCTTTGTCATCAGCAGACCGTTTTGGTATTCTGAAGGCATTGAAAAGCTGGTATGACTGCCTCGAACGTTTTTGCCAAGCCACGAGGAAATTCTAGACGCCCTCCATAAGGATTGTTTGTGAGAGACGATTTAGACAGGGTCACAAGTGTGATGTATTGCACAGCAAATTGTGGTTTTTCTTTCTGGAGCACTGCCGTGCGCTTTTGCATCGGTAAGAAGCCCTAAGAGTGAAGGGAAGGGGAGTACAGAACTTGTGGAAGAAAGGTCACCACGAACCCTTTTCGTGAGGGCGGATATCGTTCGTTTTCTTGGCGGAGAACTCCTTATCTGCCACGAGGAGGATCTAGGGTCGTTACCTTCGACTTCGAAAAGCAGAACGCAAGATGGCTGAAGCAATCTCTTCCCTGCAGGGCGGATACCGTTTGCGTTTCTGGAGGAGATCAGCACGCGCTTCTCCAAGACGTACGGCCGCGTCGCGCAGACCGCGCTCGCGTACGCGATGAACGACGAGTTCTCGCGCGTGCTCTCGCAGCAGATGGAGTACTTCTCGACTAACCCGAATGCCGACACCATCAATCGGGTGCGGGGGGAGATTGCTGAGGTAAGAGGAACTAGGGGCGGCAGCGTTTTGGTTGGCTCGTTTGATCGTACAGAAGGAGCCAGATCCCGTCAACCAGAGGATTGCAGAGGTGAGAGAAACTACACGCGGCAGCAAACCCGTTCTGCTTTTTGATGCCAACACCATCAACCGGGTTCGAAGGGAGATTGCAGAGCTGAGAGGAGCTAGGCGTGACAGCAAATCCATTTTGCTGTTTTGAACTGTTGGGATTGAAGGCTATGCGAACGCCATTAATTGGGTACGTGGGAAGATTGCAGAGGAAGTGAGCATGGCAGCAATGCGTTTCGTTCTTGCGAGATCTTGAGAAGGAAAGCCACTTCCGACGTGACTGACCGGGTGCGGGGGAAGGTTGCAGAAGCAAGAGGACTAAGCTCGGCCGCGACTTGTTTTGCTCTTCAATGTGACGGAAGAAGTTTCAGGCCGACACCATCAATCGGGTGCGGGGGGAGATTGCATAGTTAAGGAACTAGGCGTGATAGAATTTCTTTTCGCTCTTTTATATCGTCATAACCGAATCCAAATGCCCACACCATGAACAGGGTGCAGGGACGAATTGCGGAGGTGAGAGGAATTAGGCCCCGCAGCAATCCATTTTACTCTTGTAAGATTGTAGAACACAATCCCAATGCTGACACTTTCAAGTGGGCGCGGGGGGTAGATTGCTGGGGTGAGGAACCAGGCACGCAGTGTCATCGAGCGTTGCTCTTGTCATTCAATCGTCGAATTCTCCCACGTGCGAAACGAATTGAATTGCTAATGTCGACCAGGATTGAAAAGGCGGAGGGGTCCAGATTGTCCGTGATAATCAGAGGAGACGTTCTTTAAGGTCCGGTAAGATGGAAGGTTTAGCTTCAGAACTGGATTCCGAGTAAGTCTCTCAAGGCAAAAACCATGCTGTGGGTTCCGTTCGTAGGTTAGCCTTTCTCTTGAACCAGGTCAAGAGGGTGCTGGTGGAGATTGTAAACAACGACCTGGAGTGGGGCGGGAAAATGTTGCTGCTGATCAACCAGACGGACTTTCCTACTCTGTCAGTTTTGGTCTGATTGACTAACTTCAATCCTTCCCTCGATTCAGGTCAAGAGCGTAATGGTTGAGAACATAGACAAGGTCCTGGAGCGGGGCGAGAAGATTGAGCTGCTGGTCGACAAGACGGACTCCCTGCAAGGCGACGCGTTCCGGTTCAAGAAGCAGTCGCGGCGCCTCAAGCAGGCCATGTGGCTCAAGAACGCCAAGCTGACGTGAGCTGACGAGAACGTACTTTCGTATGATGTTGAAACGTGTTTGTCTTTCTGTTGACCTGCCTCCGAGCTTCGGTAGGATCACGAGCTGTATCAGATGTTCGATTCGCAAGGCAAAAAGATGCTTACCTTTTAGGGCCTGAAGTGCGTTGAACTGATAGATATGGCGGCTCGGAGTGCGGAGTCCATTCCGCGTTATTCTTCAAGCAGAGGTTCCGGATACTCGAGGGTTTCTTTGTCTGTTCAAGCATCCGATTAGGCGAAGGTCGAGTCCAACTTTCCTTGGATCCGGAACCCTCCTTGCGCTAAGGCACGATCCGTTTTCGTTGACTTGCGCAAGTTACACTGGTGTTCTACTATCCTCAAGCTTTCTTCAGAATCTGAAGACATCCGCTGACCAGCAAAATCATCGTTCCTGCAGGGCTGTGTTGACGGCAGTGATCCTATTGGTGCTGTACATTTTCATCTCTCTAATATGCGGCGGCCTGTCTCTGAGTAGCTGCAGATAAGCTTTTGCAGGAAGGCATGTCCTGAACCATTTTGTACATAGATGAATCAAGGAAAAGGGGGACGATATAAGCAAACGGCCGCCATGATTTACAAACAAGTTTTTCCATTGACGAGAGCGAGTGCTATCCGACAAAGTGAGCAAGTTGCTGATTCTGCGGATCGAGCATAACGTGTACGTAGGTAAATAGGGCGGGGCTTGATCTTATATGTGTTTCAACACGGCAGACGCGAAAATTGCTCTAGCAGAAGGTCCTTCCGGGCCCAAGTCGCTTAGACCTGGACGTGTTGCCAGAGTCCACGATTGACCTGATTGCAACTAAGTGAATCCGAAGTGCTGGTGCTTACTTTGACAACTTCGATTCATTCGATATCGTGCATGGGATACTGCTAGCTTAATTAACATGTGCTTGACGTGGGAACGTCGCATGGACTTTGGCCGCCTGCATGTGGCCAACTCAATCGTCATGGATGCGGTGCTATGGTGATCATGCTTGATTGAAAGATCCTGACCAGACGTGCCAGCATGATGTGGCAGCCTGCGGGCCGTCGCAGCGTGGCGCCGTTCCAGCGGTACCTATACGGTCAAGTACATGCTTGGATGGATCATAGGACGATCTGGATTCGCGGAGTCAGACTGTATATACTCGCAATGAAAGTCCAACCAACCGCTTGCCAGGCCCTGAGTGCAATTCTTCTGCCCTCAGCTTTCCATAATCATCGCACCCAACGCGCATTACTTTATAATACTGCATGGCTATTCGTACGGCAACGAGCATGGACCTCGCATCTGCACTGCATGACGGGTGCCCTCGAGCGTCTCTGATTGCTAGCCTGGCAGCTAGGAGCACACGGCGCCTTCACACACGAAGAGCATATCTGTAACAGAGCGAGTCGCTGAATTATGTCGACGGGACAATGAAGCAATCCAAGATCCGTCCTCAGCAATAAACTTGAACAGCCACAGAGAGAACTGCCCCGTTCATACAGAGGTGACGGGGTCCACCGTTCAATCATCAACGGATGGCCTTCGCACACATCTTAATGGACGTAGCGATCTGCACTGGTACTCACAGGAGGCATGCGACTCTTGGCTTGCTACGATGAGACTATAGATTGGATGGACAAGCGGATGCCGCAGTGGCTATCTACGAACTGGGACAGTCGCATGGCACGGTCAAAGCACGTGCGGCTTTTGACTTCATTTGTAGATTCTAATCTCAACCTGGACATTCGGGCAAGGGGCCAGTCTCTGTTTCACCGCTGTGAAAATAATCATTTTGTCATAGGAAGTTTCAGTTCGCTCTGAAACGGCCATTCGAACTCTGATCTTGAAAGACACGGCGCAGTAGATGAGGCGGGTAGAGAGTTTTTATGACAGATCAAGCGTACGTAATCTGAAGTCTGCCAGTGCCATAAAGATCTTACTACTTAGGATTCAATATAAAGCACGCCTAATTAGATAAACGTTCTGATGTCCGTGAGGTGAAATTAGCAAGTCTGGTCACATCAATCAAAGGTTGTTCCGCTGACAGTTGGAAGAGGATAGAGTACTTCGCAAACTGAAGCCAAAGATTCACAGGAGCATGAAGGCTAGTCAATCACTCTGAGACTCCTAGCTCCCGTGTCTACTCTAGCTTTTCGGATCTTAAGACCTTTCAGTTGATCGCGCGCTTCTGCCAGTTGTTCACAGAAAGACAGAACCAATCGTCTGAAAAGGAATCGTGTAGATATCACAACTAGGAGCGCACCTTTTAAGCGAGCCAAACCGTCAAAACAACCTCTTTTTAGCTCCTTCCATGACCAGACCTTGTCACGTCATCTGACGTGTGGACACGTCCGCACAATCACCACACTTGTCACAGCATGGCAAAACTAGTCACAGCATGACAAAACTAGTCACAGCATGAAACGTATTTTTCTCCATGCTGGCATGCCGTTGAAGACGCTTAACCTTATGCGACGACGGTCACCGCGCATCCAGGCTGTGATCAGCTTGGAAAGATTTACGCTGACGTCTTCTAACCGCTGTGTTCCTTAGGTTAAGCATTGATGCAACACAAGGAGGATCGATGCGAGAGGAATCCGTGAATCAGGGAGGTGACAGGAGCAATCAATGACAGGACAGGATGTCAGGAAGTTTCCTTCTTGACGTGACAGCTTTCTCTTGATTCATGGCCTTCAGGAAAAGGTCTTCTATATATCTTGAGTGTTGACAAGCATGCTACTTGTTGACGCAACAGGAGAGCCTTTCAGCGCAGCCACAGTTCGTGAAAGAAGGAGACCAGGGCTCCCTGCATCCTTTCCTGGCGATTGAGCAGAGATCTGGAGGCAGAGCGATGAGAGATGGGGACATGCTCTCTCGTCACATCTTACAAAACCTGAACGATGGCAAGGGAATCCAGAATCCTTGCTAGCTTCCAACTAGCGAAAGGCGGGTGTCACGTCAGAGTTGCGATTGAGAGGGTTCTCTTTGATAGAGAACGCTGAGCTCATGAAGAGATCTTGCCTAATATTAGGGATATCTGTTGTCCTGCAGAATCCTTCTGCTTTGGTTTGGCCAGATAACCAATCAACTTAGCTTGTCACGCCGCTCAAACAAAGAAAAGAGAACTCGCGTCTTTCAATCAGAAAACAAAGAGAAAGTAACACGTGTCCCATCTGCATCGACCTTTGCAAGATCGTTCTGGACCTGTCAGGTGAGTTTTGCCTGGTGATTGGTTCTCACCTCAAAGATCACAGCTTCACTTTGGTTCTTCTTATGCATGAATCAAACGTCCAGCACTCCTGTGATCAATCAAAGAGATTCGTGGCCTTACTTTTTGAGGCGGGCAAGCATGAGCTGTATGTTTATGGCATGGAGATCCTTTTTCAACATTGGGCCCTTCGCTTTGGAACTCTCAATAATTCTTTGAAGTGGGATCTAGATAATCGCAAATTGATAGCTTCAGAAGGCAGTGGAGCACTTGAAAACCGGAGAAAAGGGCACTTTGGCTGTATTGGCAGGTCATCTAATCACATAGAGCAAGGGTTGGACTGACCAATCCTGTCGCGTTCCACGTCAGAATCACAGTTGCGTGTTTAGACAGCATCTTGACAAGTTCAATTTGCTGGTCGGAATGTTAGCGTGGTCACCAGGCTGAATCTAGCTTCCATCATTGCCTCGAGTGCTTGATGCAGAGATCAGGATGGGTCTCTTCATCGCAGATCAGTGGTTTCCTGGAATTGCTCAATCGTGCACATGCTCACGCATTCTGTTCTTAGGCACTCCATAAGATTGGGGTAATAAGACCGAGCTTTGTAGTCTCCACGTGTCGAAGGGTATGAAGGGTGTACGATAAATCATTCCTTTTTAGCGCAGAACGTCAGTCATAAGACTCAAACCTCTTGTGGAAACAGTCATAAGAGGATCTTGTGGATCCATTTTTAGAGCTATGAGGCACTGATCAACCCGGAAATCTGCACTAACCAATTGTGAGGTCAAAGCAAACGTTTGATTGACGCCCGCTCTAATCATGAGGCGAATCGGAAAGAGAAAGAAGGCTGATCAATTGAAAGTGCTTCGAATATGTCAAGGATGCGTTTTTTACAGGCCCCAGACCCTGCGAATTTGAGAAAGGTTCTGAGTCTTTCGTGGGGACGCCTGCGGAATATGACGATTCCTGCGGGAGGAAACGGCAGCCCTCACGAGGCGCTTCCTACAAGCGCTCAAAACGGAGATCGAGCGAATCCTCAGCCAAGCTCAGGATTCCGCCGGGCTGAGGCTACTGACCAAGTCCGCATTCCACCGCGTATTCTGGGGTGACTCCTCAAGTTTCGACGTTGGCAATAAACATATCAGGGGGTGGGGCTCCGCAGGGCTCCCTTCTCGGAGCTTAAGGTCTGGCGAGCCCGCTGCATTCGCATTATAAGATACCGCGTCCGGCCCAGCCGTCACCTTCAGAGAAAAGTCCACAGGCAGAGAGGCGAGCAATGCAGCCTGGGGGATTTCAGGGTTTGGATCTGGAAGCTGTGCCAGACAACGCCGTTTGGAACGCCAGACTGGACGAGTTCCTCCGCAGTAGACGCCTTGCGGACCCGCCAGCAGATCTCACTCCATCCGTACTCCGCAGAAACACGGTGGTCCAGAGTATTGCGGCCAACGCGATGGATAGAAGGGCGGATGCTCAACCTTCTCCTCTCGTTCAAGCCGGCGACGTACGTATGCAAGGTACGATTGGAAACTGGGGTTAAGACAAGATGATTCATACACCTAGGTCCCTTTGACATCTCTTTGATTCTTCTTTTTCTCAGATTCGTAGCGTTCCTTCTGAAAAACATGAGGGAGAATTTTGACGTCGAGAGGCTACGTACTCTAGTTTGCAGATTCAATTCACTCTTATGCCCATTTTTATGCCTTTTTTTGCCGATGTTTATTTTCGTTCTAGTAATCAAATATCCAATTCGGATCCTGTTTTCGAGATTTTCTACACCTTTGGCAGCAGTTTCTGACGGACGAAGCTTTAAGCTTTGGAAAGTTTCAATTTGATCAGAGCTCTGGAGTAGGCCCTTGAGACGCGAAACAGATTCCGAAACAGAACAGACACAAAATACTCAAAATAGCTAAGTTTTCTCATACTTCAGCCCTTATGTTACCGGTCTGCGACCACCCTGTAATTTTGAGAGATTTACCTGCTATTTGTCAGGCCTTCCACCGTCGCCAATCAGCCGTCCTGTCGGCACCAGAACGCCGCCACTGCTCGACTTCGACGGCTTCTCGTGGCACCGCAATTCAAACACGTCCGGGGCATCGCTCTCCGCCGCAATGGCACACCCCTTCGTGGGAGCGCTTCGAGACTTGCAGAGCCTCGCCAACGGTCAAGAAGCTGCCAACCATTCCATCGTTTCTGCGCCAACTTTCCCCGGAAACACCGGTTCCTGGGAACCAGTACCCGGTACGGACCAGCTGCGAGTCTCCCCGGGGCATTCCCCCCGGTCACCCCGTGTGGGCCCCGACTTCCTGATTGAAGCCGCAGCCGAGTATCTAAGAGAGGACCGGGCAGAGAGGGACGAGAGTGCGGTTCATACCGACCCTGGACCAGGCACCGGGCTCTCGCTCTTATCGCCGTTCCCTTCAACCGACTTCCCAGGAAAGCAAACCACGGCGCGCGGCGGAGACGGAAAGACGGCGAAAGCAAAGCCCCTTCCGGCGACAGAGTCGCCTCGAGTCTCCAGCCTTACGTCCCTATACCCAGTTACGCCCCCTGGAGGTGAAAACACGCCCCGAGACTCTCCAACCGACCGCGCTCCCCCAAATCCGCTTCAGCATATTGATCCACCGAGCGCGCAGAGCCCGAGTCTCCTCGACTACTACCGACTCCTCGCGATGCGGCTGCCGAGCGACGCGCCCGCGCGGCTCGCGGCGGAGCTCCAGGAGCTAAACCCTCAAACCCTGCACTTCGCGAGCGACTTCTGGGCGCAGCTCGCCGCGGTGCGCGCGCTGCAGGCGCACGATCCGCTCAGCGCGGTGGCGAGCTCGCAGTTCTCGGAGCCGTCGCTGCTCGCGCTGAGGAGCCTCCTCAACTTTCCGTACGGCCCGCCGGCGTATGGACACGTGGCACACGACAAAGCGGCGTTGCGTCAGCAGCTCGCGCACCAGGAAGCCCTGGAGCGGCACCGTTTGGATCTGAGAGCCTTCGAGCTGCAGAACCAAGAGAGAAGGTGAGGGGGCCGGACAGAAAATTAAGAATCCCGATGAGCAGCAAAGCACAATCTGTTTTCGGTTTACCATCGATTAACTTTCTCTTCGCTTCGAGCCTCATTTGATAGCGAACTAGAATGTGCGAGAACTCGGTGCACTCGAAATGCCTTTACCGATTTGTTTGGGCTTGCCCTCGGGGTGTGGTTCGTATTACAACATTTGAAAAGCTGTATCACGTCGCTGCTACTTTCATTCGCTCTCGCTGTTTTCATTTCACCAGATATACACGAGGAAATAATCTGGGAATGTCTTGACTAGACTTGCTGAAGTGGACCTTTCAAAAGGTTTGATGAAGGAACCACTATCGAAGGTGCGCCTTTACCAGGTTGGCGGAGTTCTACATCCCGCCCAGCTCTCCATACGCCGGAATAGGCCCCGGTGATCTCGCTCCGTCCACCGAACGCGCGTTCTTTACCGACCGTCGAGCGGGACTCGCGCCCGAATCGGAGAGCTTCGCCGGGCGGAAAGCCAACAAGCTGGCCCCACGAAAGGCCTCGTTTTCGCCGCGGCGCACTGACACCGACGCCGAAAGAGCGGGCCCCCAGCAGAGGAGTCCAGGTCAACCGTCGCCTTTGAGCGCCTCCTCACCAACCGGTGACGCATTCCTCCATAACCTGCTGACGTCACCGCCCCACTCGCCCCTGGGCCTAACGGGCGTCGCGCGCGCCGCCGAGTACGCGAGCCCCGTCGGTCGGGATGCCGAGCACTTGCGATACGCGTTAGCCGATCCGGGCCGTTGGTTGGAGGAAGAGGCGGTCGAGAGGCCGACACGTGGCGGAAGGGAGGGCCCAAAGGCGTCCGCCGTGATTGACCTGGGCGGGCGACGGAAGTCGAAGAGGGGCCACACGGAAGCGGAAGAGGAAGCGGAACAGACTGGGGTACCTCAGAGGGAAAGGCCAAGGAGGAAGTCCGCACGACTCTCTAAGAGCAGAACTGACGTTGAAGAGGTAAGATAACGTTTTGGGTGCTCAAGAGACTCATTGTTTTTGGTGAGAGCGGTGCTGCGCTGCGTCGATCAGTCTGATCTGCTTGCACAACATGGCCGATTTCGCCGAGCGGCTGATGAGGAAGTCAAAAGGAAGCCTTGTCAACCATCGTAGAAGGTTTCAAGGTGCTCGGAGATTGTGAATCAGCGTCTAATTGCATCTTCTTCCTCAGATTCCCCTTGTTTGATGAGACTCTACGAATCTGGTCGCATAGCGATGCAAATGACATGTTACAGGCTTACTATAATCGTAAAATCTGGACCACAGTCAATGATTATATACTGCTGTTAGACGGGTATCTTTATCTGTTCATGGCATCTTTCAGCGGATCAAAAAATATCAAAAACGTTTCTGAGTACTCTAAAAGCAACCCTCGCCACTCCTTCAGCAGCTGGGCTTGCCCTCCCGCTCCCGTTCCGCTGGCCCGGACCGGCTTCCGGTCCCCGCTCCGCTCCCAGCTTTTGACGCGCCTGCTGGGACTGAGTGGGTCGCGGGCAAAAGCAAGTACATGCCTGCGCTTCTGCACATCCTGGAGGAGATCAATCAGCTGGCTCTCGTCAGTCCGGAGAGAGCGGAAGCGGAACGGGCGGGTGAGAGGAGAAGAAACGGCAGGTTCAGCCCATGGATGAGGAGGCTCAGAACAAGGAGAATTGTCTGGCAGCACTCATTCTGTTTTACCCAATGGTGGTTCGTTGTTTGGCGCATCAAGATCCAATCAATTTCAATCGTCCTTAAGCTGGTCGAAAAGCAGTCAGAGCGTCGATTTCTATGTAGCTTGCTGATGGGGGGAGGGTTCTTCTGAAAAGTTGCGCAGATTGAAGCTCTTTGATCTTGTGTTCTCAAGCTTCAAGAAAGGGCTCTCGTTCTTGTCAAGTCTTAACAAAAGACCTCTCAGTATGTAAGCTGCACACATTGAAGTTCCCCACTCTCGTCATTGACAGGTTTGAACAGGGAACTAGTAATCAGGCGGAACGAACTTGAGAGTGAGCTTGAAGTGAGCGGGGCTGATCGCCAGACGCTGGCATCAGAGGCGGAAGATCTGGAGGCTCTTCTGGTAGAGGTAAAATTGCGCACCGGATCTGTAATGTGTCTGCACGGCAGGTTTCTTTGCTCAGTTCCAAGAGTAATTTCATTCTGGCTTCTGCGGTACATTTCTTCAAGGGGATGAAAGGGGTGCAGAGAGTCAGATTGATTTGGCTGGTGTTTGTGTCAGCTCGTTTGATTGGCGGGCACAAAGAAGGTCGACGCCACAGGCCGAGGATAAAAGGGCAAACATCTTTCAGATTCTCTGCTTCTTAATGTGAAACTTGGACTTATGCTTCTTGCGCATACTGGGAAACCCTCCCCCGCTTACCCATGAGAGCCCGCGTTCGTTGTTCTTGAATTGACCCAGCAGTGGTATTCGTCGAGTGTGTTTGACGCACTTCAGAGCCTTGGGGCTCCGCTCCTGATGAAACCCTAGCTGCGCTTCAATCCGAAGCAGTCTTTTCTGTCAGAGAAAAGGAGGTTAGAGACGGGAATCTCATCTTTCGTCAATTTATCCACAGAATTCTTGATGGCCTGACCGACTATTCAAGGCCGCTTGCGAGCCCGCACCTTTTGCAGCGCACCAGTGGTAAAACATTCGACTTAACACACTCCTGCGAATGCCGCAGGTCCAGACAAAGAAGATGGAGTACCTGCATGAGAACGATGTCCTGGGTGCCCAGTTCTCCGCGTCGCTCGGTGTCGCGCCCCATGTGGCCGAGTCCTATATGAAAGGCCCCCGGGAGATAGTCGCCGGGCGCTTTGAGGAGGTCGAGAGGTCACTCAGGTAAGCAAATGTGCCCCAGATTTTCGGCGGTTTGGATCGTGCAAAAGCGGACTACTATTCGATTTGTTACGTGTGTTACTTCGCTCTGAGTTGATCTCTCCACTGAAGGGGGCGCTTCTCGCTTCTGCCGGAGGCTCGACACGTACAGGACATCATGTGGTTTTATACTACGTACCTCAAAGTATTAAAGCCCCCTTGCTAAGGTTGTAAATGTGTGTTAATCCCTTAGCTTCATTTTGCAACCCCTCTTACGTTCGACATAGCTATTTTAATCTCCCTCTTTGCTTTCGACGGCACGTTTTTGGAGATTTTGGGCATGAGCTTTGACTACCTTTGGGCGTCAGCTTTTAGGCGCATACGAAGACATCTTCCGGTCCACTGTCGCTGTCGTGAACACCATTTTCCGTCTGCCAAAATCTCTTCCAGCACAAGATGAAAATATTATGTTTCGTCGACCCGGATGCTGACGTAGTAGAGTGACGGCCGAAGGTAATCATTTGCAGTGCCGACCTGGAGCGCGCCAGACGTCAGCTTGGCGTCATGGCGAGGAGCCGTAGACCGGAGCGCAACGGGCCGAACAAGCTTGATCTGAGACCACCCCTCGCGATCGGCGCATCTGGACCGGCAAAAGGAGGGAGAGAGGTGAGAGGAAGCGTTTGGAAGCTCTTTGTCTCTCCGATGTTTCCAAAGTTTGTAAGTCATACATGGACAGGTTGAGTCTTTTAGGAACAGCATTCGCGTCTATTTTGAAAGATTCCCTATTCGGTGCAAAAGGTTTGTAAATGGACTGTTCAGCAATCTATGGAGCCCCAAATACTGTGCTTGGTAAGCAAGCAGAGTTTCACCGATAGTGGGATATTGTGGCATCTGCTGGTTGATTGATTCTTTTCCGCGCGCTTAATCCAAGTTTTTATCCCTTTCTCGCCAGTTCAGAAGTTAGACCACGACTATTCAAAGCTCCCTCTAAATCCCTCTTCTCAACCTTGAAACCTCAAAATGCACGGATGCTGTTGCCGAAAATCTCGATTCTGCTCGCGCCAAGAACGAGAGACTTATCGAGGATTCGGAAGTGGTGTTTCTTCTTCCAGATCTTAGCCTTCAAACATTGGCTCTAACCGTCGACCTCACGTGTTTTCTCAGATGGCCCTCGCCGGCCCGGCGCGCCACATGTCGGTGCGCGAGCTCAAGGAGCGCGCACGCGCCTTCGAGCGCGGTGGCGCGCGCGTGGGCAGCGGAGCGCGCGGCCTGTCGCGCACTGCCGTCTCCATTTTGAGAGGCTGGCTGTTCGACCACTTTTTGCACCCCTACCCCAGCGACCAGGAAAAAGAGGCGCTCGCGGAAGCGACGAATCTTCAGAGGGGACAGGTCAGACGCTCTAGCGGCACTCTCCGCCTGTATCGGTCCTGTTTATCTTCAGCACTTTGACAAGAGATGCGCTTGTGAGTCACCCACTCTACGAAAGAGATAAATCGGTGGCTCGGTCGTTTGCCGCTCTCTCTACCGAGACGTTATTTGCAGTAACGAAGGGATTCGCTGATGCAATTTGCGTGAAATTCTTTGAAAAGTACGTGTAAAGCTCAATCAACTCTCCTGCAAGTGGACTATTAGCGCGTATGGAGATCCTGAAGGTCCAAGACTCCGGCACTCATGCGTCTAAGTGCGAATCTCTGCTCGGAATGTTGTTGCCTCTGATCACGCGCTTCTTGTGCGCGCCCAGATCGCCAACTGGTTCATCAACGCGCGCGTGCGCGTGTGGAAGCCGATGATCGAGCAGATGTACAAGGAGCAGAAAGAGAAAGAGGCCGCCGAACAGACTGGCGCAGGCCCCGACCAAGGTCCTGATTCTGAAGAACAGCTGAGGCTGTTGGACGTGGGGCAAAGGATGCGGAGCGAGGACGAGGACTTTCAGGAGAGCGGAGAGGAAGAAGGTCAGTGAAACTGCTGCAAATCGCGACCCTCTTTGGCCCTGTAGTTGCCAGGATCAGGGTGAAGAAGGACGGAGAAAAGCGAATTGCCTTTTGAGCAGCATAAAACCGCTCTTTGTTCGTTAAGATTACCCTTCTAGAATCTTACATTGAAGCGATGACTTGTACTTCCCCAAGTTCTTAAAGACCACCTTAACCCTACTTTCTGAGGCATAGTTTCGAAGCTGGGATCTTCCAATCTGTTTTTCAGCCTTGCTTGCAATGGAGGTCGGCTCATCCTGCTTCCCAGATCCTCGTCACTTCTGGCTGGTCACCCCAGAATCCTATTTGCGGCTTCCAGATTCTTTCGGGTCACCGGACGAGCTCGCGCACCCCCGCCGTAGGACAAATTCCCCCGACGTATCTGCTGGGCGACCAATTACCCGAGCGGCCAGGCGGAAGGACCGCCGCCCAAGCGACCCAAGCGAGTTTCCGGGAGGTCCCTTCCCTGGGATCTCTGAGCTTGAAGGGCCCGGTAATGAGATTCCGAGTACCAACGCGCCCTCGGGGTTAGCAGCAAAGCAGGCCTGGCCGGTCGAAGGACGGGGAGGAGAGTCGGAGTTCGCGGAATCCGGTCAGGAGGCAGCGGAACCGGCACAGGAGAATGCCGGGCACGGCTTCCTTGGGGAGTACGGAGGCGACGAACTCCTGGGGGACATCCTGGAGCAGGTTCCAGCGGAAGCGGAAGACGCGCCAGCATATCCCGGAGGTGCGGAAACGGAACATCTCCTGGAAGGAGGGCAGCACGACAGTGCGCGAGAGAAGCTCCCGGGTGAAGCGCCTAGAAGGGGGCGCGGGAAGGAGGGCGACCAAGGAGCTGGAAAGAAGGGAAGTGGTCGCCAGATGGTCGGCTCCGTTGAGGAATGTGAATACGCACCTGGCGATAGCGGCGTGAATACTTTGAGTGAAGGTGGCGACCGGAGGGGCTTTGTAGGTGTCTGGGATGAGGAACGCGGAGAAAGACATATGGAAATAGAGGGCTCAGGGTCGCCCGCTGAACAACGGGGGACGTTCGGACGTCACGGTCATTCACCGGAGTTCGTTGCGTGCCAAGATCTGGACATGGAGAAGGAGGCGCCGGAGCTGCCCCGCCTTAGCGAAAAGAGAGGGAGATTTGCGTAAATGTATGCGAAAATATTGAGAGGTTGACAGTGTGTGTTATTACAACGGATGTACTGTTGCTTATCTGGTCGAATTGGTTGATAGTATGGTTGATAGTATAATCTAGTGGACCGTTTGAAACCATTGTGGCTGTTTAGGCTCAGTGTTGGTCCCTCTTTCCTTGCCTACGAATTTTTGGCATCGTTTACAGAGGTGTCCTGAGTATTTATGCGCCAAAGAACAATGCATGTCAATGATTGCTGCTCACAAATTTGATACAAGACATATCTTCGTGACATACATGAGCTCTGAAAGGGCACGTACCAAAGTCATTACGAAGCAACCAGAAAAATTTGGACGAGGTCCATGAGTTTGATTCGCAAGCTGAAGTCTCCAAAGTCATGCAACATATTTAGTCGATTGCAGAGTATTAGTGAGCGTCACCTCAAGACCACCTTTCAGACCTAGGGCGGTCTCGAGACCAGAATAGATTTTGGTTTTTAGAGCAACATACAACAGCATTATCACGCCTTTTTGGGACTCGCCTGATCTCGTAACGGTCTGGCTGGACCTTTCACGAGCCACACGGTCTAAACAGAAAAGAGACCCTATGACACTTCCGAGGTCTTGAAATGATGACTTGGATGGAAGTGGGCTCGACTACCTGTTGCAAGGCGGTCATTGAAACTTTTCAGGTACCACCGATCTCAAAAGCTGAGCTATCAGATAACCTACTTGGCTCAATAGCACCATTATAGTGCGGTTAGCTATGCGGTAGCCCGACCCCAATCACGCGGCAACGGCGCTTCGCCATCGATACCTCTTTCTCTTTGAATGTTTCCGAGACGCACATCTCGCTCGTTTCGGCTTCTTCATTTGAATCTACTTCTCGCTTGGACGTGCGCTGGCACAGGTGTGCGTGTATATCCAATCAGTTCCGGCTGCCCTTAGCGCCTGTCAAATACGGAGTTTCACGATTGACAGTACGCTCGCCTTGAAGTAAACAAGAACATTAAGTTCTGCGTGTGTGCTCACCTTATCGTACCGTATCAAATGACATTCGAGTTCATTGACGCTGGTGAAGCGAGGAGAGCGCATGCTTCCAAACCAAATTAGCTCTGGCCTCGATAGCTAGGAGTGTGTCTGAGACAATTTTCGATGTTTTCGAGGAACGCCAAGCGGGGGCCAAACGAGCAATTGCCTCTCGATTTTGTTCTAACACCTGCTATTAGCCCTCCGTCTTCCGCAAAGAAGCAGCATGTTCTAAGAAGGACCCTACTGACCTTTACCGAGAAAGCCCTTCACTTTTGGCCGATGTCTGGTCGGGTCTCCGAGTGCGTTCAGAGGACTGAAGGGGGCGCTGACTTGGACTGACGCAGGAATGAAAGGTCTTCCTGCAGTCTACCTTGAAGATGTTCAGGCCCTTCTGCAGGAGAAAGGGAATAGATTTTGCTGCTCGATTCAGAGATTTCGCGAGAATGATGAGGCAAACAGGAGCGAAGCTGAGTCATCTTGCGGCGCAGGGAAAAAGGAATGATCATGCGGGAAATCATGTGCTCCTCAGCACCTATCGTGACCCAGACTTCTACGGCGAGTCACGGACTTCTTTCTCCATAGATTCTCCTCCTTCTTACTTTTAAACAGAAACAGATATCCCTTGCAGTCATTTGCTGAGCCTGAAGGCTCAGGGCATTTGAGTTTTTTCCTACAGTTCAGAGGGAGCAGTGTTCGAAAGTTGTGTTATTAGGCAAGCCCAAGCAAGCCCTCTTCCGTCCTTCCGCTTGCCATGCATAACGCGGGTTCCTACGACTGGGTCCCAAACGGAACGGATGGCGCCGGCTCTCCTACCGTCGCCGGGTTGTTCTCCTCTCAACCGGTCGTTTCAACCGGCAGGCGCAGGGTTAAGCCCGGCCCCGGGGTAACCCACCGGTTACTTCACATGGGTTCCACGCTAACCCTGGTTCTCTCGGTTGGCGCGATGATGTTTCTGTTTTATCAGAGGTGGGCTGTGATTGCCAGCTGGGGGGAGGTGGATAACAAAGCGGCGCTTGAGATCAATTCCGGTTTGGGAGGAGTGGGTTCTGAGGAGCGTCTCAGGAGAGACCCTGTTCTAGATCAGGGTTCTGAGGAATGGTTTGAGAATCAGTCTCAGGGTCGGGCGTTGGCGGCAGGCCGAAACGGAGGTTCCAGGAATGATGATACTTCTGGCAGCATAGACGACGATCTGAGTGAAGGGGAGCGGATTCCGCGCGACGAAGCGGAGTGGCGGAAGAATTTGGGGAGCGGAACCAATTCCGCAAAAGAAGCTTCCGGAATGGAAGTGGGAGCTAGTGCGGACGATCCGGAGGCTTCCGCGGACCAGGTTTCCGCCGGAAGGGTCAGTGGAAGCGGGGAAGTGTTGTCGAAGGAGGAAGCGAAAGTGGGCGCTGACGTAATTGGTGGTTCAGCGGGGCGGAATTCCGGCGAAAAAAGAGCGAGGGGGGAGAAGCTGATGCTGGTGACGGGCGTCGAGGCGCGGCCGTGCACGACGCGGCGCGGTTCCGAGATTGCGCTCAAGGGTTTGAAGAATAAGATTGATTACGCCAGGTAAGACTTGGTTTAAGCTCAAGGTTAAGCTTAAGGTTAAGCTCCAGGCGAAGCTCCTTGATTTCAAGCCTTGCCTTTGCTTGGCACTCTTTGCGATATTGCGTAGAAGGGGCTCAACAACAAGATCGATTAAGCCAGTTAAGGCGCACGAACTATGTACATCCTTCTTCCAGCTTAGATATACGGCTTGTGCTCCAATGAGCTGCATGCTTCGCTTACCGGTTCTTGGGCCTTTCGTTTCTACATGCAACTTTTGAAATCTGTTGAACGAGCTGAAGACGCGCGTCCGTTTGTTTTCTTCGTTTACTCTCTCTCTCATTGCCGAAGATCTTGACGGCGATCATGCCCCTCCCTTCGCTCTTCCAAGGCTGTTCCCCGTCTCTCTTACAAGCATGGAAGAGTTTCTCTTTCTCGAATGATCTCATTCTCCGCTTTTTATCTCTATGTAGAAACGTTGTTGGAATCTGAGTGACTGCAAAGAGGGCCCTGTTAAGCAACTGTTTCATCTTCTAGGCTGCACAAGTGGCCCCTGTGGTACAGCATGGAGCTTCTCGACGAGGCCTACGATCTGTACTGGATGAAGTACCCGCTGCTCAAGTCGCTCATGCGGGCGCACGCCGACGTCGAGTGGTTCATGGTGCGCGCGCGCAGCCGCGTTGCTCTCGGACACGTGTCTGGATTCTACAGGCTCCACAGCGCTGTAGTCTGCGGTCCGCTTTTGCAACCGCTATATTTTTCTTAACACGTCCTCTATGAACTGAAAGACCTCACAATGTCCCACTTCCGCGGGATTCAGAGGTTGGAAATGACATCTCTCCCATTAAAGTTTCTGCAGTCTGATTTGAATCGACCCTAAATCCAGCAGTACAACACTACCTTGCGCCGGCTCGAGTAGCTATGGATCACCGTCACATCTTCTTCCTACTCGTTTTCATCCTTCACAGGGCGAATTTTCTTTTGACCATCATGCCACGAAGTCAGAATATAGCAGATACGTTAACGATGATCGGACTAATCAGGATTAGAAGTAACATCAGCTTGTTGTTCCTGCGTTTGCAGTGGGTGGACAGTGATGCCTTCTTCACCGACATGGCGTTCGAGGTTCCGCTGGACAAGTACAAAGAGCACAACCTGGTCCTCACCGGAAAGCGGAAAGACGTGAGTGCTTTCTGTTGCTGAATGCTGCTTTTTGAAATGTTAGAAGCTTTGACAGCAGATTAACCTGTTCTTAAAGCAGAAACTCAATCAGACGGCCTGCGTCAGTGATTCAGAATCTTCAAAAGCGCCACCGTTACAAAATGTCCTGACAAACTCTTACGGATCCACAAGCGGCGATTGTCTCAGAAATGTAGGCTTTCGCATTATAGGATGAAAGCATCAAATGTCCGTTAACTCTGTCTCGAAACAACGTGGAGCGAGAACTCTGGCCCCCTGAATAAGCGTTCAACATTCCTAACAACCCACATTGAGGTTCGTTCCTCCTCCTTTGATGGACGTGATAAGAATCCTTTTCGGGAAACACACTGTGATATCTTTTCACGGCTTCCACACCAAACTTCCAGTGCTTCCAATGTAGTAAGTTGTTTCATTGACAGATCGAGATCGGGCATAAACATTCGTGCCTAGTAAACGAGCAATATTCGAAATTACATCCCAGCCGCTCGCGGAAATCACTAGCGAGCCAACAATTAATGAGCCGCTATGCCTACGCTAAATATTACGAAACAAAAAAGGATCTGCTTGCACTCTGCAATTAGCTCCGTGGTTTGATTCAGAGAATGTTTGATGCACCTTGGGGGTTTCTTTTTGACAGTCTAACCTAGTGATTTCCGCGAGCGGCTGGTGCTTCTTTGCCCGGGGTCTGCCCCTTTTAGATTTCAAAAGAAATAAACTTTGACTGTCCCTCAACGCTTCAATTTCCTGTTCAAACAGGATAGAGTTTGCAACCACTTCACATTTTTCCAATCGCAGGTCGTCGAAAATCCCCACTGGCTAGGTCTCAACGCCGGCATTTTCCTGATGCGCAATTGCGACTGGTCGGTTCGTCTGATGGACGCTTTGATGGCGATCGGCGAGAAGGGGATCGTCCGCAACTCGAGCGCCTTTCTGTTGAACGACGTCGTCGCGGGGAGAGCGGAAGCAAGCGATGGTAAGAACGGAATCCTCGGATACTCAATTAGTTCCTTGTGTTTAGTCCCTCAAAACCGAAAAGAGAGTCTTGTCGATCAGGGACGGCGGGAAGAAAGGCCTCTTCAGGACGGAAGTTTTGTTTTGAAGTGCCGGCATTTGATTGTAGGGAATGTGGTAAAAGGGAAATGATGGACTGGAGTTAGAACTGAAGTCCCTTGGAAAGGGCGGGCGCTAGCACTTATGCATTGTAACTTATGCACCCAGTTTTCGGTACAGTAAAGCCAAGATGTATACGTGAACTGACAAAGTAGTGGACTTGTAGAGATTGTGATAGCGTTCTGATTTTGACGCCACTTTTGAACTTTTCAAATCTGTTTCAAGAGGTGGCATTGACGGCGCTTCTGGCTTTGGGATGCAGCTAAATGGGCGCACACGTTTCAAGGAACTGGTAAGAACTCCGTAGCAGCCAATTGAGTCGCAGTTGATTACATGAAAGCGAGTTGCGCGGTTCCCCTCGAGCGGAATATGACTCGAGGCAATCGTAGCAACGTAGAAGAAGAGCAAGTACTTCGAGCAGCCTACTTTCTCAGCCTTTTCGAATGATTTCTCATACCTGGTACCTCAGCGTTTCTGTGAATCTTTCGTTTTGTGCAGACTGGCCCGCGGACGATCAGTGCACGCTGATCTACCTGCTGTCGACGCAAGCGCACTTGTGGGGGGACATGACATTCCTGGATGAAGAGATCCATTACCACAGTTGGTGAGACTCCCATGAGACGAGGATTACAGCCCCTCATTGATGACCTACCAAAAAGAAACTCTCAGCACAAATCTTTGTTGGCTTCACAGGATCTTCCAGTCTGCGCAATGCGGTACGAGAAGCCATCGCAAAAAATGTTTGTAACCGGGAGTTTTTTCTGCGACGACCCGCATGACATCTGTGTCTGATCACTCTAGAACCAATTCTGAGAATCTCAAGGAGGATGCTGCCATCATGTTACTGCCAAGATTATAGTTTTCCCCCTTTTCGTGAAGGCTCACTTCTTCTGCGCGCTTCGCTATCGTAGCACGAGAGACTTAACCTGGTAAGAGCTCTTGAAGTTTGCCTTTCGAGTCTCACACGGCATGACTTGATGATCTCGGGCCCATCTCACCAGGTGGGTCGACACTCTGGAGCGCCTCCCGCAGCTGGTACAAGGCAACGGTGTGACCGGCCCCGAAGGAAAGTGGCCGTTCATAAGCCACTTTACAGGGTGCAAATTCTGCCATCAGCAATTCGGGGACGATACGCGATACGACACCTGTCTAGAAAACTTTGACAGGATCTACCACTTCGCAAACGACCAGGTTTTGAAAGGGTATGGTTTGCGGCATACGAGCTTGGGAGATTCTAAAGTCGTACAAGTCTAGTCACAACGCGCACTTGTATGCAGAAAGTGTCGCCCTGATACATGTCTTAGCAACGAGCTCTTCGCATTTTGTTGTAAGAAGGAAGTTGGCAGAACCTCGCGTGTTGACTTCACGACGAGTTCAAGAACATGTGCCTTCAAAAGCCTCAGGCAGATTGCTCGAATGTCTATATGCACGACCTTATGAGCGCTACTCCGATCCTTTAGCTTCCAAAATGAAGACTCAAACACAGAGAATGTCAAACGGGCAGCTAGTCACAGCTAAAGATCCTATGACGGGCTAAACACATGCGGGGGCCCATGGGTTTGAATACTGATAACGATAATCATATGATAGGCAGAAAATAACCCTGACGAAGCAGCTACTTTTCCAGCAGATTACTGCAGCATGTGTCAATGTGTTGGGGTATACTTCGTAGGGTCCGGCCCCCGGGCTAGGCAGCCTGTGCATTCTATTGAAAGACCTCGAGCTTCTCGTAAGACCGTCACTAGCTTTGCAAGGAGCAGACGGTTGTTTCGCACGATGCACATGCTACCACGCACTGATGAGCGAAGCATGTGCGGGCTACATTCTCGGTCAATCATTCGGACGTATGGTGGCGCAACGGGCCCACGATCTAGCTCAAGCGCTGGACAAATGGACTGTACCACGTACCGTACTTCATAGCGACATGCGTTACACTGAGCAGTCGGAAGCTTGCGCTAGAGCCCAGCTCGACAGGATTTGTTTTTAAGGAAGCTAGATGGCGAGGTCGATCTTACGATTATGAGCCACTGTAGTATCCTGTAACGCGTACCCTGCAAAGACTTTTCGTCAAGGATGGAACGCCTAGCTCTTTGAACATCACACGACACTTCTCGGTCCAGGCTTCAACTTAGATCCCAATCAAATGTATCGCGTTAGGCTCACAAGCTGCGTCCTGTTGCTCGTAACCAAGCCTCAACCTCAATCTGCTTCACAGCAGCGATAATTTCTAGGTATTTCGAAAAGAAATATTTGGAGAGACTACTTAGCACGAAATCTACAAATCTAAGTCAACCCACATTCACGTGGTTCTTCACCTGGATTTCACGAGACCCAACCCACTTCAAATACTTACTTTGACGTACGCAGCTCTCTTGACCTACGTTTTTGACTCAGCCTTCTCATGCTAATCAAAGTCGCCTACTTGCGACCGCTGCCGTTGACAGCCCTTTCTACGCACAGATTTCCTTCGTTCACCTTCGCATCGCTGGCCTTTGCAGCACCTGACCCGCCCGCTTGGCCGGAACTAAGTGCAAAGACTACGTGTGAATCTGATAGGTCTCTCTTATTGTGCAAGTAAACAACACCCGTTTTGCATCCCTCCCCTTCTTCTCCTCCACCCTCCACCCCCCTATCGACGGGAGAGAGTATTCCTTCCCCATTTTAACAAAAAAACACCTCCATCTGCGCCCGCTTGATCTCATTGTCCTTCTCTTTCCTCTGATAACCCCCCCCCTATTTTGCCCCTTCTAGGTATCCCCCTCCAAGGCGAACCCAGCTGCAACCGCTTCTCCGTTCTCCGTTTACTTCTTCTGGATCTCGCTTTTTTTTCTCCCTTCTCTATCCACTCCCCCCATCGACAAAGCGTTTCCACCCCCCTCACCGGGAGAGCGTTTTCACCTCCCCTCACCGGAAAAGCGTTTGGAAAGCCGACGCCCCCAGTTGCACCCGCTTCTCCTCCCGGTTACGCAGCTCCACCCGCTGGTTCTGGATCTGAAACCCGAGGATGATCCTCCGGTACAGCTGCCACACCTGCGGCGCCGCGTCGCGGCCGCCTTGCCCTGTGTCGCGGCCGCCCTGGCGCAGCATGGACTGGAGGCCGTCCACTTGGCTTTCCAGGTCCTTGAGCTCGCTGCTCAGGTTGCTCTGCTTCTTCAAAGTGCCCACCTGAGCAGGAATGCCCACCATTCGTTAGTCGGTTGTTAGATATCAACCAACCAGTGACTAAAGCTCTCGAGGACAAAAAGCCCCCAGATAGATTGATATCTCTCGAGGTTTTTGAGCTCGCTGCTCAATTTTCTCTGATTCTTCAAGGTGCCCACCTGAAAAGAAAGACTGATTCGAGTTCGAGGCGTCACTGACAATGGCTGACATGAGCCTTAAGACGCTTGACACTTTCAGACCTACCCGCTGCGCAGGCAAGGAGGTTCGGATGAAACTTCCAGGCGGGTTAGAGCGGGTTTTACTAAGGCTGCTCAGTTGCAATGCTCTGAAGACTACCAGTGACCCATCGGATAAAACCAACGAACATTCTAGTGACCCCAAACTAAAGGAACTGGCACCTTTGGATATTCAATCTTCTGATGAGCTGAAACCATGCACTTCCGAAACCTGGCGAAGAAGCTCTTGAGGTAGCTCGCTGCTACCTCGCTCGCATAGAAAACCTGTCAATCTGCTTAGGGAAAAAGGAGACTCTTGTGACTGCCGAATAATTTTGTAACTGCCCACCGCAGTTCGTAGGAGCTTCGCGTTCGGTTCCTTCCCGTTCCGTTCCGTGGCCGATTTGAACTCCAGTTCCCTATTCTGACAAGATCGGTCGGCAATACGAGGGGAAAATTCGCGAAAGAAATGTTCTGAATGGCGAAACGTCTGACCCTTTTATTAAGGAGCTTCTCACCTGCTCGTGAATCAGCGGAGCGACGGTCTCCCAGCTGTCCCTCAGCAACGCCAGGTCATCGTGCCTGCACTCCTTCCCGATCGCCACGTGTCCCCCGGAGGACACGTGGCGGCTGCAGGCGAGCCCGTGGGCACGTGCCACCTTCTCGAATGACGCCGGCAGGATCCGGCTGCCGGAGTTGGAGTCGAGAAGGGCTTCCCGGAACATGTTCTTGATGGCGCGTTCCGTCACCGTTCCGTCGATCCGCCGGACGATTCCGCTGAACTCGGGGTAGCTCAGCACACCGTCGCCGTTCTCGTCCGCTTCCCTGCGGAAAGAGAAGCGGGCACCCGTGGTTAGCGCCGAGCTGTCACGTAAAGGTCCGCCCAAATCTCACACTGAGCCGTCTTGGGAAGACGAAGCAAAATTGAGATTTGCTTTGGGCCCTCATCAAATTTCTCTGGAGGCAAAACTGGATGCTCATTTCATCCTTAGGATAAGGCGTATTTGTGTATTTGGGGTTCGAATGCACATTCGCTCAGGAGGAGGCAAGCATGACTCGCTTTTGCGGTCGGAAGGAAGCGGAAGAGGGCAACGAGCAGCAACTGGTAGAGCGTTATGAGCAGATGGTTCTTGGGGGGATAGACGCGAAAAGAAAGGCTTAGCTTACGGCCGTCATTTGTGGATGCCTTCACTTTACACCTCCATCTGTTCCAAAGAAGTAAAGTTATGGACGGGCGTTGACGAAACGGAGGTTGAACTGCGCAATCCAAAAGCAGCACAGCGGTTTCTTCTATGCCAGTCCGACACATGCTGCGGTTTTTTGATGAGTCGGCAAAGCAGCCAAAGCTTCATGGTCCAGATAGCGATAGGTGCGAAGTCGCCAGAGTATAGAGCAATCGACAACCGACAGTCACTATAAGACTCACCGGAAGAGATCTCCAATCCGCTGTACCGACTCCTTTTGCTCTTGCCCCCACGTCTCCATCACCAGGCCCATAAGCACGTCGACGTCGATGGCCGGCTCCTGTGCGCGCGCACAGAGCGCGCGAACGCGCGCGAGCAGGCCGTCCGTTACGGAGCCAGGCGTGTCCGGTCCAAAGCAGAAGGCGGTGACGCTGCGAGGATACGAGATGCAGTCAGCATAAGCGATGGGGAGAGAGGTGGTAAGGCATTTTGGCCCAGAGCATTGCGGAAGGAAGGCAAGAACAGATGCCGGAGACGTCGAAAAAGGTGGTGTAATGTTTCCTTACCAATCCACTATTACTGACAATGAGTCTTCGGGTGGAAAGCTACCGATGATGGAAAAGGAAGTGAAGTTGAAGGACCAACCAAATCACTTCGCCAGCGGTCAAGAGACCAGCCAATGCGCATTTAGAGTTCTAAGCGATTCAGCCCTTTACATGGTTAGACTCGATGAAGCAATCTCTACAAAGGGAAGGCCGCAAATCCATTCGACATCAGACATCAAACCTGCACAGTGGTCCGCTCCACTGTCTTGCCTGAGACTCTCACATATCCTCATGTTTAACGGCAACTCAATGCTCAATTGTTTCTCTTCACGGAGCCTTTCGCGTAGAGAAGACTCGTGTTTCCTACTTTCTGTTGACTTGCAAATTCGGACAACCCACCTGGCGGCCGCCGGCAGTGCCACGTCGCTCCGCCCCTCCTCAAATTCCGTCGGTTGCGGACCGTCCGTTTCTCCAAACAGCCGCGAAAGGTACATCAGAAAGAAGTCGAGAGCCTCTGCGAGTGATGGATGTCAAGTGTGTGAAAGCAAAACTTTGCGGCCGCGCCATCACGAGAGAGCAGAGAAGCAGAAGGGGCTGCTTTGTAGACAATGCAACACCGGAGACAAGGTGAGACTTGAAACGGGGTTGTTGTGGCTGTGGCTTGGGAGACTTTCGAGGGGACGGGCTGACGAAGTCGGGAACTCCGTTCCTGAGAACGCCGCTCACTTTGAGCCGACGTGAGTGTAATTTTCCCGACATATTGGCTTAGCATGCCCGCCGGATGGATCATATGCAAGGGCAATCCTTGATCCGCAAACAAGGGCAGTGGCAGCTCGACTTCGAACGCACGGTAAACTTCTCCGCAGCTGTCGGTGCGCATCAGGCAAGCCCACATTCTGTTCAAACTGCTCGAGTTTCTGTATTGTCAGAGCACCCAAGAAGGTCCTCCAAATGCATAGATCTATCGACGATCCCTTCTCTTACAAGACCGTCCCAAGGCCAGAGTGAGTTCCACGACCCGGATGACTATGCACGGCTTGCAAGTTGAAACAAGTTCCAAGTCTAAAGTCGTCGTACAAGCCAGGAAGATCTTGCGAACGAGTATCCTTACCAGCAATTAATTGCACGTGATCAAGGCCAGATCGACCAATTAAATGAAGAGCAGATTTTCATTTCAGTCGGACTCACCTGGGGGCAGCGGGGGCGCCACGTTTGCATGCCCAATGAAGGCTCCGAAAAGCAGCATGCGTTGGCTAGAGCTAGCATACTCCTCCAAGGCTTTCAATACACTGCGAGGGCACCAGAGAGGAGCAGACGCCTTATAACTTTGCCAAATGCAAATGCAGGCCTGGATTGGCGCTTCGGACTTTCAGAAACATGCGGGCACTTTTCATGATGGCAGAACTGACTTGGTATGACAGGATAGGAGAAACCCGATTGACCTCCAGGTCTTGAGAAGGTGGGGAAGATTGGGCTACTATGTGAGTGAGTGGTGGAGGTATGACCGTCGAGTGGAGCTTAAAAATTACGCGCTCATTGCATTGTGCGTCTACTTGATGTTGATAACGAAAGGAAGCGGAGGACCATCTGCTAGTTATATGGTTGTAGGGGGTGCTTCGAATAGACTTGTGGATAATTGTGCGCAACGGACGAGACAACATTAAACTTTAAGCACAGGTGTGGTAGAATGAGGTAGGGTTGACTTGCGCGCGCATGGTAGTCGTAAGCTTGCGGTTAAAAGCCGAAACCAGATCGAGACTTCGTGAAGCGGGTTGGTATGACCGTGGGGTCAAGGTCATTTTCGTGAGCTTTGAGTTGGGTAAAAATGGTTTCGAACTCGAGACAAAATAGCCTGTGGAACTTTGAGTTGAGTGAATTCGGTTAGCGGTTGGGGTTGAGATGCCGCTTTGTGAGAGCGAGGGTCCAAGTTTTTGCAGAGAGTGGGTTGGTGAAGGGTTCCGTCAAGTCTAGAATTGGGCGGTTGGTTTATGATGGGAGGTAATCTCACGGTCGAGTGTGTGAAGGGTTCAGGTCGAAAAGGGAGGATTGGGATTAGCAAGCGGATTGGGTGGTAGGGAGCGACGACGTAGATCGTTGCGGGTCGAGTGGGTTGCAGAGTTCGAGGGGGGGCGGGAGGGTTTGGATGGTGGTTAGGTTGGGTGGGTTGGATTGTGGTTGAGGTGACCCCTTGCGGGGTTTGTGGGCTGAGCGCTGCAAGGAGGTAGTGCAAAACCATGCGCACTCTGGATGACCGAGCAGTGAACTGCCCATTGGTCATCCGCCCCGAAAAATAAGGTTAATCACATCTAACTCAATGAGTTAGAAATTAGCGATTAAACTAATTAGAACAGATACTACACTTGATCTTAGCCAAAAGGCCGAGAAAGGTATGAAAATCAAGGCGCTGGGTTCGCGGTTATATACCCTCCGCTTATTCACGAAAGTTGTGGGTCGTGCCGATCGGCCAAGTTTAATTTGCGCAGAGGACCGTTCGATGAAATTCGACGGTCGCGATTTGTTCGGTGACATCGGTACCGTCACTAAAATGGACCGCGGCCGCGGCGGCAAGTCAGCGCGACGTCGCGTGGTCGGCGCCGTGCGGGCTTAGAGCTAGTGACTAAAGTAGGCGGACAATGACCTTGCCAGTAATGTTAAGGTGGCGTGCAATGCATGACTACAATCTCTGCTGAAAGTGTTAAGGTCTGTAACAAGAACCGCGATGGACTGACTTTGATGCGTGTGATGAAAGGAGGAAGGGATGGTGAACTATAGAGTTCGGTAGATATGAAGAAGATTTGACAAAATCTTTGATGACATCCACGCCCAAAAGTACCTCGGAATTGTCTAAGGTCTCTGGCTACTGGTGCCTTCAAGTCGAGTCCCATATCAACTTTCGTAATGGCGGAAACACTAGAGATTTTCACTCACCTCAGAAGGTGCAGCTCTGCAAAGGCGCGCAGGCCGAACTTGAAGAGGAAGAAGTCGTACACGAACTCCTTCATGTCCTGCCGCTGTCCGCCGGGCTCCTGGTCGTCCGCAATGTCCGCAGCAATCTTGTCGCAGTAGACCTGAGAAGCAGACAAACCTAGCTTCAGAATATGGAATTCTCAAAAAGTTTCTTGGGAGAAGTGTCCGTTGAGCTTGAATACTTTGGTCGTCCGCAATGTCCGCAGCAATCTTTGTCGCCAGTACTTTTTGATAATAGGAAAACTTAGCTTTAAACACGGATTTCCAAAACAGCATTCTACGAAGAGTGTCCACTGAACGAGGATTCTTCAGTCGTCCGCAATGTCCGCAGCGATCTTGTCGCAGCACTAGTTCTGAAAAAGCACGAGACAAGGCCTTCTTCTCGTTCGCGGGGACAGTAACCACCCAATGTCCGCGCTATTGGTCTCAATTCACGACTTCTCCAACGCGATCTCGTCGAAGTGGACCTGAAAAGCAGATGCAAGAAAGGGAGTTGCAAAGAATTGCCTGCGAAAAGAAGGCCTCCAAGACCAGGGTCCCTGAAGTCCTCCGCAATGCCGCAGCAATCCTGTCGCAGTACAATGAGCCACGACGAGAAACTAGCCTATCAAAACGGAGGACCTGTGGAAAGACAAGGCCCCCAGATTTAAGGCCCCCGACTACGGACCTCGCAATGTTTGATCGTCCGCGTTTGTCCGCAGCCAGCGAACAAATCAGGCCTAAAGAAAGCCATATGACGAGCGGTATAAGGAGCCGTATGAAGAGCGGTATGAAGAGCGGTATGAAGAGCCGTATGAAGAGCGGTTTCGTCGTTGTTTAGAAGACGATAGGAACAAGGCCTCAGAAATAGATCCTTATGAAAAGCAGTTTTGTAACACTAATCTGGAGGGCAAGGAAAGAATCAGGCTTCAAACAAGACTGCGGAGGTCTCTGCAACCAAGGCCTCATAGAAGGCCTCCGGAAAGCTCCAGAAAAAGCTCATTGAAGGGCTTGAACTAAAAATCAAATCTAGGACTCAAACAAGGGACTTCAAAAATGTTTACCGTTGACACTAAATATCAAATCTAGGACTCAAAGAAGGGACTTCAAAAATGTTCCTCATTGACACAAAAACCCCTGTCGATTGTAAGTAGCTAGTGTGTATGGAACAGCGCGGTCGAGCTTGTTTGCAGTAAAGTCGGGCAACTCCTCCTAGAAACATTCGTGAAAACGGGTCCGACATTCTTGCTGCAGGCTGTTACCTTTTGAGTAACCTGTTGATCAAAACTACGAGCCACAAGTCCTATTTGACCATTGATTCGAAGCGCTTCGGGACTGTTCAAATTTGAAACTAACCTGCGAGATGAGGACCTTCAACGTCCGGGGGGTGTACTTTACAGTGATGACGGTGCCCCCCGTTTTGGGTACGGTCTGCGTCCACAGATTCATCAGCGACTTCTTCTGCTCGCTCGCGCGCGCGTGGCCCAACTCCTCCTGCGCCTCCGCGGCCGCCTGTACAAATGGGACAGGGTTTGGGATTTCTTCTGAGTTTTTCAGACGCAGAGAATCTCAGAGGGCGGGGTTTGGAGGTAACCACGTTTCGAGCCCAGTAGGAGTCGCTCTGCCGCGCCTCCGCGGCCCTCGGAACCGAACTCAGATCTGAAAATGTGCAAGGCTTAGGTCTTCAGTACTTGTTGTCGGAGAGTATGTACATTTCTCCAGCTCTTGAGAAAAGAGATTTCGAACATGGAGATATACCCGCGCCTCTGCGGCCGCCTGAGTCAGACCCAAGTTTTCTCAAAATTGGAGTAATTTGAGCTTTTCACTTCCTCACCATCTTGAGTCGGAGAGTTTTGTGCTACATTTCCATGCTTTTCCAATCCAATCGCACACATTACGATATGCATGTGCCAATTGAACTTGCAATCGGTCAGAGGGGTTCCTTAAAAAGTCTTGCGGGCCCACAGACTCAAGGCGTCCGCAAACACTCACCTGTTGCGCTTCGAGCGCCTGTGCCTTCGCCTGCTCTAGTTCCGCTTTCCGCTCCTCCAGTTCCGCCTTCTGCTCCTCGATCTGCGCCTTCCGCTCCTCCAGGTCCGTCTGTTCCGCTCTCCGCTCCTCTTGTTCCGCTCGCCGCTGCTCCGCTTCCGCTTGCAGCTGCTCGCGCATTTTGGAGACCTCCACCTGCGCAACTTGGGCACACTCGATCGACAATTGCACGTATTCCATTCAGCAAAGACAAGTGCAAGTAGCCCCATGCACATTTCAGAATGCTTTTCGGTTGTTGCTGTTTACATATCATGGCTCTTGTTCCTTAGTCTCGAAGAGGTGCATATCGATCGCAGCTACATCAGCAATGCTCAAAAAAAAAATCGTCTGCTTACGCAACTTCCAACGCTGACCTAGCTGTCCGCATTACAGATCAATCCTTGTTAGCGAGAAGGCCTCATTCGCAAGTCCCATTGCTAAGACTCGCGGAAACAACAAAGTGCCAAACAAAGGAAAAAAAACTCCTTTGTCAGATTCAAACTCAGGCCAAGGTTCTAGGATATGACACCTTTGTGGCTTCCATTTCCGCTCTGACAGATTCCGCTGCCGCCCGCGCCCTTTCCACGGAACCAGTTCTGTCGCGCACCGTCCCCTCTCCCGTGTCCGGCAGAAACGCGCACAGTTCCGCCTCGATCGACACCACTTCCGCTTCGAGCGCGCTCTTCTCCTCGCGCAAACTCTCGAGCGCGCTCGCCGTTCTTTCCTTCTCCTTCTTGGCAACCGTCGCCTGCTCGACAGCGCTCGCAATGTCGCCCTGCGCGGCCGCGAGAGTCGCGCCCAGCGCGCGCTTTTCTTCCTCCAGGTTTTCGGCCGCGATCGCCAGCGACTGCTCCTTTGCCGAAAGCGCTTCGATTTCCGCGCGCGCGGCTGCGAGCGCGCTTGCCGCGGCTTCATCGCCCGCATCGCGCGCCTCGAGCGCGCGCTGCAACTCTGACGTTAGCGCCGCTACCCGTGCCTCTAGCTCTTCTTTCTCCGCGCGCTGCACTTCCAGTGCGCTCGCGGCCGCTTCCTTCTCGCTAGCAAGACGCTCCACCTCCACTCTGAGGGCTTGCGTTTCCGCTACTGTGGCCGCAACCCGTTCCGCCGGACTGCTCGCGACTCCGTCCGCTTCCGGTGAGGTTCCGTCGTCCGCCACAGATACCCGATGGTCATCCGTTTGTGCGGCCGATGTGCCTGTCTCCAAAGGCCCCTTACCCGAGCGTTCCGGCGCCGGTTCCGGAGGCTTAGGTTTCCGGAGTTCCGCCGCGAGGGTGGCCAATTGGTCTAGTAAAGACTTCCGCTCCGCTTCCCAGACGGCCTTTCCGCCGGAGCTTCCGTCCTCATTCACTAAATCGACCTGTATGGGCGCATCTTCCACCCAGGCCTTCCCGCTCCCCGCGCCCATGCTCGCGCGGTTTGTCCAAACCCCGCCCGCGTCCGGAACCACCATTTCGGACGCCGTCTCGCGCGTGCGCTCCGCGAGCAGCCGCCGCGCGTCGGCAAGCGCGCGCTCCAGCGCACCCGCGCGCGCGACTGCGGCCTCCAGCTCCTCCTGCGCGCGCCGCTCGCGCTTCTTCAGGAGCGCCTCCGCGAAGCGCGTGTTGGCGGCCTTCTCGGTCTGCCGCGAGTTCCCCGCTTTCTGCGCCGCCTCTAGTTGCTCGCGCAGCCGCGAGATCTGGGCCGCAAGATCCTCGTTGATGCCCATGAGCTTCTCAACCTCAGCCGTCAGATTGCCCCGCCAGAGCTCCGCTTTGGAGAGCCGCGCCAGGAATGAAGCCCACTCTTCTTTCGCCTTCTCATAAACAACCCGTCCTGCAGAATCGTCTTCCTGTTGTACTGCCTTAGAACTCGAGGCTGTATCTACTGCCTCTGAAAGCTTGACGTTGCTGTTGGATCTCAACTTAGATGCCGTTCTCTTTATCGTCGGCCGTCTCCCAAGCTTCCCGTGCGCTACTTCATCTTCGACGTCGAAAACGACTCTGTCCACTACTCCGTCGACTGTTGACTCCTCATCGATCGTTAGAACGACGCCACAAATCACGCTGTCGACAGTTTGGTCTCTTTCCCGCGAGCGGGGGGTCTTTCCTGCGGAGGAACTCCGGCGATCCGCCCCTTCGGAGTGGGACTCGTAAAGCATGTCAAGGAGTTTCTGCAAAGTGGTGTAAAGACGCCGTTATCGTAAGGTCATTTGGCGGCCTTTGACTTCTGAAGAGGAAAAGCGAACCCACTTTTATCTTCGGCCACACCTTGTATCCAGATGAGGTGATTAGGCGGAAAAGCCATGCTATTCCGTCGCACAGTTTCTGCCAATTTTCTCGTACTGCATCAAGCTGTAAACGCTCAAAGTCGCGCTCAGTATGGGCCATGCGCTACGTCGAAAGGCCTACTCAGAGCAAACTGTCTATCTAAGGTCATTTGCTGTGCGTTGCACTCAATTAGTGAAGCAGGACTTGACCGGCCAAAAAACTCAGCCCTAACGTCAAGGTGGAAAGGAGTTTTTGGACTGGAGAAGGTTTGTTTCGCGTGCGTTCCGGCCTTCCAAGTACAGCAGTTAGAACATCCTTGTACCAAGAACAAGCATTCTCACCGGAAGACCAAGCTTGAGCAGTCAACACCATGAGTCCTTGACAATAAAACAACGCGGCTTACCTGCATCCACTCAAGCCTGTGCTCCGCCTCTCTTTGAGCCCCCTTTAGCGCCGCCTCTAGTTCCCGTACCCTCTCGCGGCTCTCCTCCCCAAACCTACTGTGCTCTCCTTCGTCCGCGCGCGCGGCCGGCGCGCCTTTGCTCAGCTCACTTTTCTCCGCCTCTAGTTTCTCGAGCATGACGCTCATGCTCGCCTCCAGCTCGATGGCGTCCCGCTGGGCGGCCTGCGCGGGCGCGACGGGGTTTGAGCGGGATTTAGGCGGGGTTTAGGTAGGGTTTGCGTACGGTCAGGTGGGTTTCAGGCAAGAATCAGCGGATTCAGGCGGGATTCAGGCGGGATCAGGCGGGCATAAGGCGGGTTAGGCGGGATCAGGCGGGCATAAGGCGGGTTCAGGCGGGATTAGGCGTTGATATGGCGGGTTTAGGCGGGATTAGGCGGTCATAAGGCGGGTTTTAGGCGGGATTCAGGAGGGCATAAGGCGGGTTCAGGCAGGATTAGGCGGGCATAAGGCGAGGTTCAGGGGGGGGAAATGATCAGGCAACAGGCAGCTGGGGCTGAAGCGGGGATTTTTGTGCGACGCTTCTGGGAAGACAGCCTGAAAACCGACAGAAGACGGGCGTGGCCATGTCTACTTTACTTCAACAAGGAGGATGACCAAGGAGCACTTGAACCAAACTGGAATCCTTCCTGGCTTCTTAATGATCTACTAATCCTATTTCGACAGTTACCGTCTCATTCGTGGCGCCTCTTTCAGCCTCCTCTTCCTACGTATCCACAAGATGTCGTCCATTTCTCCCCGTAAACATGTAAGAAGGAAGGATATACTCCCAAAAACATATCCTTAAGCTCACCTTGAGCTCTTCCTGTCTCTTCTCCAACGCTTCTTCCAAAACGCGCACTCTCTCCTTCAGCCGCCCCACTTCCGCCGCGCCATCACCCTTGGCCTTCACCAACTCCTCCCTTTCCCGCCTGCCTAGTTCTTCTCTCTCCTGCCCCGCTCTTCTCATTTCCTCCAGCTCCGCCCTCGTCTTTTCCAAGCCCTCCGTCGTTTCCGCCAGCCGGCTGGAAACCTCGCCCAATCTAGTTTCCCACGCCTCTTCCCGAGCCTTCTTTTCTTCCTCGAACTGGACCTGCGTCTCCGTCATTTTGCACGCGAGCAGCTCTTTCTCGCGCACCAAGACTTTGGTCGCGTTCTCGTTGCGGCGCAGGTCGCGCTGGAGGCCCTTGATCTGCTCGTCGCGCGACGCGACTTGCTTCTCCAGCGCGCGCGCGCGTGTGTCCAGGATCTGAAGAGAAATGTTAGCATTGTTCTGCCATATTGATCAGATGCGCTCCTCTACGGTTTGTGCGAGCTTCATGCCTGTCGATCCTTCGGAAAACTCCCGAGTTTACTCAACAACGACAAGATTCGAGTCACTGCTTCTTGAACGACTTTGTTCGTTTTCCCAGAATCTGTATACAAATTACAATCAATCTTTTGGAAAAACCGACTCAGTAAGCTGCGAAGCTTCGATTCCTTTATCTTAAGATCGGGGGACCAATCTCAGAAAAGCCAGGTGCGGAGCAGAGTCGGATTTGGAGTCTTGCTTTTAGGTGCGATGACGTAGGTAATATCAGAGCTTCTCAGTCACATCCCATGGCAATAAACCCGCATCAGTCGCACTCCCAGTCTGGGCAATCTTTTTTTCTTCTTTGCAGGAACTTTCGCTTCGCTGGACTGTACTTTGGTGGACTCTATCGTCGGAAGCCATTGCTCTTGTTGTTGTTAGAAACAAACCTTCTTAAACTTTACCTTGATATCCTGCATCGCGGCCGCGTGGTTGTCTTCCGCTTTCCGCGTGTACTCTTCCTTTTCCGCCGCCGCCGTGAGCAGAACCTGCCGCAAGGCCTCGTCGGACCGCTGCTTTTGGAGTTCCAGCTCGTGTTTCCCGTCAGCCACGGCGGCCTCCGCCCTCTGCAAGGCCTCTTCTAGCGCCGCCTTTTCGTCGCAAAGCTGCCAAGAAAAGCGAAGAATGACGACGTCACAGACCGGCTTCGTGGGTGTGGCCAATTGCTCTCAGTGACTGGTCGTACTAACGTACCAGCTTTTCATATCAGCATTAAGTGATTGTTTTGTTCGATGCGAGTCAGAAAGATTATGTTTCTGGAGGCTTGCAAATTGTCGAAATCTCTTTTGGGCAGTTCCATCGCGATCCGTCACTCAAAAGTCCCTTTGAAAAACCCGATATTGATTCGGTCCAAAAGGTTCTTGGCAGTCTGCTTTCAAAATGGATGGATTCAAAAGGAATATTTCTGCATCGAAATCGCTGATCTTCAAAGTTAGTACGGTGATTGCAACCCTCCGCAAGTCGGCTGTCATGTAATGTGCAGGGAAATGCGTCGGCGGGCATATCAAAGATCAATGCTGATGGTAATCTCGTTCATATGCTTCTCTCTCCCCTTCTTTCTGGCCGTTTGCGAAGTTTGTCGCCCGTTTTCCCTCTTGGCGCTGCCCGCCGTGGAGCTCTTCCGCAAGTCATTGCCTCCTTCGCTTCCTCCATCTTTCGTTCATTCCCCGATCAGCTCAATTCATCTTTTCAAGCTCTTCATACTCTTCACTTTGTTGGCTCCTCATCTACTCCCCAAAGACGGCCTCGTTCACCCCTCACAAGCACCGCCACACTTTTCCCTCTCTGAACTCCCAAAGTTCTCAACTCATCATGCTCACGGTATGTCTAATATCGATTCTCCCTCGCCTCTTGTTCCCTGAGCCCCTTCCGCCACCTTCCTCAATTTTCATCCCACCCAAAGTTCCTATGTTTCTATCGGTTCCGGCCTCGATTGGTGATGACGTCAGCATCTCTTTCACCTATTTCTCTCTCAGCGCCGCATCGTCCATCTGTCCTTTGAAGCACCGCCAGCTTCTCCAGTTTGCATCTCTCACCTCCAAAAGAGTTCAAAACCTCTGCATTTTCTTTCCAACTCCAACCAAACTTGCTGACGTCATATTAACGCTCACCTGGTTCTCTCTCAACGCCGCCTCGTCAACCTGTCCCTGGAGCACCGCCACCCTTTTCCCAAGCCTTCATATTAATCTAGTGTTTCTCGTGTTTTCCCCCAGTTTTACTTTGGTGACGTCAGCTTTTCCTCTCACCTGTTTCCCTCTCAGCGCCGCCTCTTTCACCTGTCCCTGGAGCACCGACCCCACCATGATTTGCAGACTTCTTTTGACATGTCTTGAAGTGCTCTGGGGTCTTTCCAGTTCTAGCCAAGATTGAGGAAGTCAGCCTTTCAATGACGTAAGCCTCTCCTCACCTGTTTCTCTCTAAGCGCCGCCTCGTCCACGAGTCCCTGGAGCACCGCCACCTTCTCTAGCACCGCCTGGCCGGCCTGGTACATCTGGTCCGCTGTCGCGATGTCCGCGCGCCACTTGTCCAGCTCCTGCGCTCACACGAAATGCTTTAGACTTCGTAAACCCTGATACATTTATATGCAGTGATACCGCGAAAGCGTATGCTAGAGTGATTACATCTGGTCCGCAGTCGCGATGTCCGCGCGCCACTTTTTCAGATCCTGCACGCGAACGAAAGTGTTGAAGATGTGTCTTGGCGCGAACGTGGCGAAAACCGTACCCGGACCTGAAGGGGCTACTTTGATACATCTCCTTGTGCGCGGGATTTAGGATAAAGTTTGATACATCTGGTCCGCAGTCGCGATGTCCGCGCGCCAAATTTCCAGCTCCTGCGCTTGGACAAAACCGACAGGTGTCTGGCTTCGTTTCGTTGGTTACAACGACATTTTTATGCTGAGGTAGCGCTTCAAAGGCTCCTGTCTTAGGAACAACGTTAGAAGTTGATCATTGTTCTCGTTTTAACAAGATGACTTGTCTTCGAAGAGGAAAGCGCAGAACCGCACAATGGTTGTCGGAAGCAAGATTGTGCAGCTTCGTCCTGGGAGTTTTCGCCTGGCAGCTTCTTCGTCGGAAACGAACGAGAAATCCGAGCACTCCTTGAATGTCAAAGCATCCCATCAGCATCGAAGCATTTTACTCCTTTGCCCCTAGGGATTTGACACTCTCAAATCTGTTCGGTGCCACCATTCTGTCGCACTTGCGTAACGAAAAATCAGTCCAGGAACACTGGCCTCAACACTGCCAGACTTAATAAACCCCGTTCCTTTGTCTCCATTTCCTGTCGCTGTATTTCTTTCAGGTTACCACCTTGTGATCACCTTTTGGCTGAGACAGCAGTCAACAGCTCTAGAACCAAACACAAGGCCGGCTTAGAATCAGTATTGCGCCCTTCATTATCTGGGTCATCTCACCGCCCAGACCTACCTTCTCGGCGTCGACCAGCTTGTTCTTGTACCGTTTCTTCTTGACGCGCTGCGCCATCTCGCACTCCCTGGCAGTCGCCCACTTATCCTCGATCTCCTTCACGGCAGCCTCATGCTCTTTCCGCCTTTCTTCTGTATCTATCTGTGTCCGAAGCAACGCCTGTGCGATGGGGCCAGTAGGGAAACCGATCAGTCACACGTCTTGATGAAGGGCCCTAGAACCACGTTTGATTTAGTACGATCTTTCATTGAGTGGACCCTTCAACTTGTAGCTTTTGCAAAAAGAGTCTGTGTTCATTTGTGTCCTTCCCTCAAGCTCGGCCATGCTTTCTGCAGTAATCGGACGACCGATTCACGGTTTTTGAGAACAAATCAAACATACACAAAGCCTGCGCATGGCAGCTCCTTATTGGCTCGACTCGGTCGTCTCCTCAAGCTTAGCGTCCGATTTTGTAATTTATCAAATCCTCTCTCTTCGGACTTTTAGAACTCGTCTCACAACACACACTGCTTACACGAGGCAGGTTCTGTTTTTGGCTCACCTCCGTCTTCTCCTCGAGCTCCGCGTCCTTGTCCGCAATCTTTCGGACGCTCTCCTCGAGCTTCGTCCGACCGTCCGCAACGCTGGCCCGAAGCTCGTCGATCTGGTGCGCCATGAACCGCAGGTTCTCTTCCGTCACCGCTAGTTGCTGCGCGAGCGCGGCCGCGCGCTCCTTCTCCGCCTCATACTGCTCGCGCTTCGCGAGAAGGTCGCCTGTCAGAGAATCAGAACCAGATTTGATATTCTGTCGCGGCTAGTTGCTGCGCGAGCGCGGCCGCGCGCTCCTTCTCCGCCTCGTACTGCTCGCGTTTCGCCAAAAGGTCGCCTGTCAGAAACTCAGAACCATTTGTGGTTTTTTGTCAACGCTACTTGCTGCCTGAGTGCGGCCGCGCACTCCTATTCTGCCTCGTGATGCTCGCGCTTCGCCTGAAAGTCGGCTGTCAAAGAATTATAAGTAACTTTGGATTTCTGTCACCGCTAGTTGCTGCGCGAGCGCGGCCGCGCGCTCTTTTTCCCCCTCATGCTGCTCGCGCTTTGCCAGAAGGTCGCCTGTTAAACATTCAGAACCAACTTTATCACTCTGTTAGCGCAACCACGTTAGTGCTGAGCTGAAACTGCACAAAGTTCTGGATGATGGCGAAGACGCTGCGGCCCCACCGCACGACCTGCAGAGCAAGCAAAAGCACTAAGTCTGAGGCCACTTGAGGCCGCTGGATGGATTTAGAAACGCGAAGAGTTAGGATTCTGGAACAAGTATGACAAGCCCAGCTCCCGCTAAAACCATGAATCACCGGAAGGAAGTGTCCTTTTTTCAGCAGTAGCTACCGGGGGGTCTCGGTTGAAAATTTGGTCTTTTATTGCACGTCGTATTTAGTCTTCCAGAGCCGCTTCCTGGTTTGCTTTGTAGAATAGCGTACACGGTTCGTGATGTGCTTGTTGCCATCAACACCAGAAACGTCCAAAGGAACGTTGTAGAATGGAAAACGTCAAAGCTATCCCTCGGAGACAAGTACCTTCCGCACTTTCTTCGACATTACAGATAGGAACAAGAAGACCTTTTGCGGTTCGGAAATGAAAACCAGGTTCCTCTAGAGAGGGCACCAAGCGAGCCACAACCTCGATTGGCAATCGATCTTAGCGTCTTAGCGCTGGATGCATAGACTCAGCGACTTTTCTCGAAGAATGCCAAGGGAGACTGCGTCAAAGTAGAGTGCTGTTTTCACTTCTACCTTGCAGCAGCACTTTCGCTCTTTGAAGATCCTTTTCTCTCGCCTCCAGCGCCGGGATGCGCGCGAGCGCCTCCTCCGCGGCCCCCTTGTGCGCGCGCGCCTCCTCCTCGACGCGCGCGCGCTCGTCGTCGGCGGCCCTCGCGGCCGCCTTCAGGTCGGCCTTCTCTGAGGCGAACGCTCTCTCGAGCTCGACCAAAGAGGTGAGACAGAGTTCCTTGTCCTGGATCGCGCGGGCGAAGTCCGCTTCGAGCGACACGATACGCGCGTCCGAAGCAGCTTGGTCGCCGGCCTGAGGAAGAAGGAGAAAAGTTAGGTGAAACGTGTTCGAGAGTAGACTTGCTTGTTCGTGTCTGACAAGCTTCCGGATGAAGTACACCAGCGGAAGTTTCTGCGAGCGTTGATTCAAGAGACGAACACCTGCGACTTCAGCGGGAGATAAGTGAACCTTTCGTGCGCTTCTCGGCGATGTCGCAAGCTTTGTCAAAACACGCCATTGGGACCAAGTTCGTCTTCTGTTCAAGCACATAAGCAAAGCGAAGCTTCATCCTCCGCAGCTTTTTTAGCGAATGTCGATCCGTGCCAATACAACTTCATCTTTATCCATGTCAGCAGGTTCATCCAGATCGTGCAAAAATCTTTGAACAGAGTCTCATAAAGAGTATCTCATACCTTCATCGAGCGCAGTGCGTGTCAAGCAACAGAGCAACTCCTATAGCGTATCCTCACCCGCGCTTCCTGCTCTTCCATCAACGCTGTCAACGCGCTCGTCACCCTGTCCTGGGCCTCGGCTTTTCCTTTCGCCTCGTACAGTGCCCGGGACTCTGCCACTGCGAGCTTGCCACGTGTCTCCTCCGCTTCCAGCATTGCCTCCCTCAGGATCTCGTCAGTCGTACGGCCCTCCATGGCGCGCTGGATCGCTTGCGCCATCAGCTTGCCTTGTGCTTCTTTGAAGACCTTAAGCTCGCTATTGGTCTCCCTGCAAATCACAAGTAGGAAGGTTTGCGCCTACCGCTTCATGTCTGACTGCATGATGGACTGGATCGTCGGCCAGTTCCATTTGCAAGCAGGGTTTCAGCAGCATCCTACAATTCGCTATCCGCTATCCTGTTTCTCGAGGCTGTAGTCAGTGCTGAAAGACTTTTGATTGGATTGAAGAGTACGTCGCTTCACTGCTCCCTCCGACGCCTTTGGCTTGGACTCGGTCTCTGACGGAGTGACAGTTCGTCTACTTCATACATGGCCGGCGCACAATCTGGCGGTATCAGAAACCCTCATCAAATATCCAGACCAGCGAAAGACAGATGCGGGTACTTACTTTAGTTTTTGCTCTAGATCTGTGTTCTGGCCCCGTAACCGGTCCCTTTCATTAGCAATGGATATCTGCAGAAAAATTCCATGTTGCTATCAACGTGGGGAAAATGCATTCTCAACAACGAGGCGTGCAGCGACCAGAACATGTGCATATTGTTCCATTTTGGATCTTTTATTTCTAATGAAGCAGTTTGCAATATGACTAGGGACAGGGCTCCTGTCACATGCAAAACGCTAGCCTCTTTGCCGCTGTCAATCAGGCCGTAGGCCGGAGACGATTGCACATAACGAAATACACCATCCGACTGATGAGAGTATGAACGCACGTGTTGAGATTTCCGAAGACTTGACCCTTCTAGTTGGTATGCAGCAGCACTACGCTTTCAGTTGGGACGGTAGAGAGTCTCACCACTTCACTTTCGAAACGTGTGAACGTCGCCGTATCCCATAGCTTTGCGAAGACCCTGCAAAACGCAACCCGGATGTGAACACCCCCAAGAAGGCCTCTCGCTCTTTCAGGTAGTGACCGTTCTATGTCTTGAAGTACGCTCGCAATCTTCAAAGGCAGTGATGTTCACATCACATGACCTCCGTAACGTATCAGCACCTGAATCTATGTAATCTCAAGCAACATTTTCCAATCAACACTAAGTGAAAGGGCAGCCGATCGCAGGTGCAGTGCCATGCCACTGCCTTTGCGCCAAACACTGGATGTCATTGGTGGACTCGAAATGTGTTCGTTGTGTTCTAATGAATTGACCAGGTTTCCAAGCCAGCATCGACCTTGCCACCTGCCAATACCCCCGGACAAACGTAACACCACTCCGTTCCCACCGACGCTGTCCTCTCACTCTTATGCAACAATACAGAGGACAGCAGCAGAAAGAACGGCGAGAAAGGAGTAAGAAAAGCGAGACAGACAAACTCACACCAAGACTTTCACCATGACTTTTCCCCAGAACCAACAGAAAAGAGAGGCAATGGGATAGACAATTTGGCTCACCGCCAGACGTGCAGCATGACCTCCTTCCGGTCCGCCAAATGCTGCAGCAACTCGAGTACCACCTCTTGAAACCCCAGACTGTACACTCTGAGTGCCCTAAACAGCCGGTAGCACTCATCTTTTCCTAACCCGTACATCTGCAGATTCTCTGGCGCCAGGAACCCTTCCAGCAGATCCTTCTCCAGCGACGAGCTCGCGAGCTTCTCGTCTGCCTCTAGTTTTGACTCGCTCCTCCGCCTCCCAGGCTTCAGGTTTTGAGATTCTGTTTGGTCCGGCGTTCTGCGCTGGGACAGGCGTGGTCGAGGGGCTCCCAGAACGGTTGTTGGCCTCGGCCGTGTTTCCCCACTCAATGCTGTTTCCTCCTTGCTACTGCGAGTGACGTCATTCGCGGACCTCCGACCCGACTTTTGAAGGTCTCCGCCATCGGCATTGGCGTACGCGCCAAGCCGGGAGCTCGCTGATGTCACGTCCAACCAGGTCTCGTTCCTACGGTGAGCGTGCGCGGACGTCGTCAATTCCAAGTCTCTTTCATCCGGCTGATCTGTGTTTGGAAGCTTAGGCCGCGCACCAGCTTCATTGAGCGGAGAGCTCTGGGGCAGAACTGGAAGGAGGCCCTGACTCTTGTAAGCTTTTTGGAGCCACTGGTCTTTGGGGTTAAAGGCTGCCAAAACCGGCGGAGCTGGTTTGCGCGTGATGACCGGAGTGGTGGGGCTTTTGTTGCTGTGGAGGTCTGTGAGCGACCTGCTGGCTTCTAGAGACTGGGGGGAAGCTAGACCGGGAAATGACTTCTCCGAAGCTATCAGTTGTGCCAGATTCGGTGGAGATTGCGCTTCCGTCAGCTGCGCATACCCTTTGGAAACACCGTAAGGTATTGAAAGGTTGGGGAGCAAGGTGGTGTGTGCGGGCGACGCTGCATGATCCGTCTCGAAGTCTTCAGTGAAGTCCAAGACTCTAAGAGGTGGTATTGTCGGTACTGGAGAAGTCTCGGCCCATGCACTTGTGGTGCCTTTTGGTCTTAGCCGAGTTTGCTGGCCTCCAATCGCACGCAGAGCTTGAGTACTACGTGGTTCTTTCCTGATTAGACCAGAATGCTGTGCGAGTTGTGATACAGCCCGGACTGGATCCGCCCTCCCCATCTGCTGGATGTTGCCAATGCTCACGGCTTCCAAGTCCGGCTTGTCAGAGACAGCTCCCCTCATCCTGGCCTTCTTTGTGACTTTCTGCACAGCGTCTTCGTGGCTCATTGCTCCCACCTCTGGTTCTTCTGCAGCCTCTGGCGCAGCCTCCATTTTTGGCTGCAAGATAGAAGAGACTGCAGCTCTCTACATGGAGAATGCTAGAAATGAGAAAGTTACCTCCTGTTGTGGGGGGTTTTTGCCCCAGATGCAGTGAACCCGCTGATTGTGAGCTCTTTTGAAAGAAGCCCATAATGCCATCGACTTATGTCAAAGAAGAGAGCTGTTAGCCAGCTTGTTGCACACCCACAGCTGGCTTCTCTGTGGCAGATGCTTATTGCAGAAAACCACCTATAGCTTTCATATGAGAGTAGAAAATGTAGCTCGAGCTTAGAGGCAAAGGGAAGCATTGGACACTGCGAAGCACCAGTACATGAGCTCCAGTTTATTGCATGCTGGCTCTGATCCAACACCACCGAAAAATGCCTAATGCCAATGGTGGGAGCCAGAGCTCTACACAGCTCTAGCTTTAACCTACAATTCCTATACAAATCACAATTCTACACCAGGAACTCCAAATTATCATTGGTCTGTCAGACAAGTACCTAGGATAGCTTGGTTCTTTGCAAAATGCACACCCTGCGTACCTGCTCTGCCCTGCGACTTTTGCCAGCCATGAGCTGCCCACTGTGGTCCAGCGTCGGCGGTCTGGAAGTCCAATCAGTGGTTGATTCTCTGCATCGAATGTCGATGTTTTTAGACGTTCTTTGGAACCAGCGAAGGCGTTCGATGACGGAAACTCTTGTAATGTGCGCGCGCCGACAAAGAGGGGACCGAGGCTTTGTTGAGTTTGCTGCTGACACCGGACTGTACACGAGACACCAAATGCATGCACAGCGCACAAGCAAAACTCACTTTTTGAAATTCAAGCAACATCGGACTTCGGACCGCACATCTGTACGCCCCAATTGCAAGGGAGCTCACACGGCGACTGGCTTTCTTCATGCATGAAGGAGAGAGCATGAAGGAGAGAGACTGAGCACCGGCTCAGTCATCAGTCTCCAAGTCCCAGCTCCCTTTTGAAGAGGAGCTCATGAGTCCAGCGATATCAATTGATGGTCAACTATGACTGTTACTTGATGTCCAATCCAAGCTGCCTCCAAGCCATGATCAACTGATAAAATTTTTGGATCAGGTTGAAAATGGACGATGGAGGCGTCAGCTCAAGTCTTAGCCGTCAGCAGGAGATCCTCGCCCGGCTCCGGCTCGCCACAGAGAAGCGAGCTGCAGGGATCCAAGCAACTAGAGCGGACACACATGCAGAGGACCATTTTCCACGGCCAGCTCTGCAGCACAGAGGCGCTTCTAGACAGAGGGGGCTGGATTTGGAGGAAGATATTGGCAAAAGGGAAGCTGCATTTGACCTGAGTGGTGCATTTGATGCGTCCTGGGGCGATGTGTTGGAACCTGAGAGTGCAGGCCAGAGTGCTGATGCATCCAGACGCGTCTCCATTGCGCAGTACTCCGATACTGGCGAGGAGAAAAGGCTGACTGTGTCCGGGACTCTACGGTTCGGCCCCTTCGACAATCAGGAAAAGAGTGGTGGTGATGAGCTAGGGAATGTGAACGGGTTGGAAGCGCATGAAGAGAGGAGTAGTTTCTCGAAGCAAGGGCATGCAAAAGCGGAAAGCGGTGGCAAAGATTGGGGAGTTGACTTGCGAGCGAGTAGAAAGAGCGACCTAGCAAAGCTGCTTCAATCAAGGCGGCAAAGTGTTGATGGGACAACAGCCGATGGAGTATGTCAAGCGGACGCAACGACTGCCAATGACTTCTGCGATCAGAAAGCAGTAAGTTTGCACGCTCGAGCAACGAGCTACCGTTTCAAAATAGACCGTAGAGCCTCTGCTTTTGAGCTCCCAGAGGATGATGACACTGCAATCAACGAGCACCTTGAAGAAGCACCAAGAAATGATGAGCCTGTGTCTGTTTCTGGAGCAGTACTCGGCAATGGGACTCTTATGGAGCAATCGTTGGAAAGGAAGTCACCATCTGTTTCCAGAGCTGCTTTTGGTACTGGAGCAGGCTTAAGTATGGGGGACTCTGAAACTAGGGAGGGGAGAATCTACAACGTCACGGGGACGGGTCTGTGGCAAATACCCATGGGGCCGGAGTCAAGTTTTCGGCAGCAGAAAGCGGCCGCGCGGGAAAGCTTCTCCAAAGTGCTCAGCGAGTTTGAGAGAATAGGGGATGACTTTGCCCAAATAGGAGACGGGTTTGCCCAGGACTTGCCACAAACCTCTCCAAGCGCAGCAAAAGAAGCGGAGCAGGCGTTTCAGGATGCGGAAAACTTCTTGTCCAGGGGAGGAAATGCGTCATCCCCATTATTCGCCCGCACTTCTGTGGAGTCCAATCTCGCGTCAAGAACGATGTTTGGCGGGGGGGTGGGGAGGGGCGAACTTCTGACCCCCCAGAGCAGCGCAACCCCGACTACGTTCGGCAGGCTGTCAGAAAGCTACAGCAGACGCGCGCCGGCCAGCCGGTTTGGTTACTCTCCGGGTACCAGCAGCAGGGGAGATGCCGTGATCGATGACGTCAGCAGGGGCGATGACGTGGCTGACGACGTCAGTGGCGGGGCGCCGAGCACTAGCGGGACTCCAGGGCCCGATTGGAGATCGCACGGGGAGATCGAGCGCAATGGACGGCTTTCGGACGCCAGTCTCGCATCCCCGGACTTTGGAAAAGGCGCACAGTCTAGTTCCAGCCGGAGTGTCCGAAGCGGAGGGTCGGAAGGGGTGTACGATCCCGAGGTGTTTTATGCTGCGGACGTTTTGGGCGATGTAGATGCTGGAAATGCTCCAAAAGAGGATATTGAGGATCGAGTTGCATCGCTAGAACGCGCGATCTTGCGCGAATTGGAAGAAGACGACGCATCAGCTTCACAAGGGCACCGGAGAAGAGAGACTGGGAATGCTTCGGATGTGGATGACGAAAAAGATCGGCTGACATCTTCGTTATATCACAATGGAAGAACAAGTGGTCCAGAAGGAAACGGGGAATCGGTAGAAGCTCGGGTGCGACCGCTATCTGATACAGTGAGGGATTCAAAGGAGAAAGGAACAGGAGCGGACGGACGGAACGAAACGGGAGACGGAATCGGAGCAAACGAAAGAGGTCGGGCAGATGGGGAAGAAAGAAAACAAAAGTCCAGCACAGGGGCAAGTGGAAGACCAGGTACTGCCAGGTCCACTGGGAAGGAAAATGGAGTGCCGAAGGGAAAGGTAAGTGAGCAGTCTCCTTTTGGATATTCACCACTGACAGCACTTCTCTAAGGTCGACATGCTTATCTTGGAATCTCAGCATTTTGACACGAGGTATCATCCGCTTTTGAAACAAGAGACTATTGCAGCGAGCCTCGACTGGGCAGTCCGTTTTTGGTTTCGGCCTTTCCGGTATGCCGCACAAGTATCACAGACCGCATGCAAGTTTGATGTGGTTAAATGGTCGCCGTGCTACTTTTGTTTCGACGATGAAAATTCTCAGCTGATGAACCACATATCAATCAAGAGGGCTGCGTCGAAAGCATCTTGTTCGGAGTTCTGCGTGGACGCTAGCGTAGTAGAATTTCCAAGATTCTCAGGGTTACAAGATTCTATGACGAAAGACTTCAAGAGTCGTAGGGCTTTAGCGGGGACTGTAAATCCGAATGGCTTTTCCTGCGCCCTGACAAAGAAAGTTCCTCATTATGTGCCCAGCCGTTTTATGTGATCAAAGTTCTCGCTTTTTGGGCACACTGCTTTCCGAAGAATTCGCGATTCTTAGAGCTTCTTTTGCCACAACCACATCCTCTTGCCGCCCTTGCTTTTTGTCATTTCCTGTTCCCTCTATCCAAGACAAACATGTCCATTGCTGAATCCGCAGGTCACGAAGGTGGAGCCGTTCCGGTTGAGTTCCGGCACAGGAGAGCGGCACCGGAAGGAGACGGTCCGCCGAAGGGTCCAGGAGGAGATGCAAAAGAAGCTGACTTTCAAGCCGCACATTCTGCAGAGCTCGTCCATTCCGGGGGGAACGTTCCGCTTGCACGGGGAGGTGAGCGGAACAAAGCGTTCGTGGTTGAAGCTGTGGATGGAAGTAAAGGGCTGGTGGTCTCGTTATGTCTGCCAGTCATGCCTGGTTCTAGAAGTGATGCCTATAGCGAAGGGTTGACTTAAGGAGAGCTGTTTCTTTTCTTGGCACTGGGTCATTTTGTGAAGCGAAACTACCATATTCGCTTTCCTTTGAACGGGGAAGTGCGCTCAGAACTAGGATGAATGGACAAGTAGCATTGCTGGGCTGAAAGAACGACAGACCAGCGGGATAAAGAGGCATTGCCCGGTCTACAGAAGAAGAATTGACAGATGTCCAGTTCCTGGTCCAAAACCGAACATCGATCTCCGAATCAAATGGACCAAAGAGCCATTTTCGACGCAAGGCAAAGGGTTCTGGAAATGTAAGACGTCAAGGGAGCAACGGAACAGTTTTCCGTTCCTACAGGACCGGATCCGCCAGCTGGCGCGGCCGCGGTCGAGCACCTACGAGAAGTACGCGCAGGTGCGCAAATCTGAAACTTGACACAGCGGAACACGAGAACATCAAAAACAGCGGAACAACGGAATTGATACCTCCGTTTTTGCAGGGACCGGATCCGCCAGCTGGCGCGGCCACGTTCGAGCACCTACTAAAAGTACGTGCAACTGCGCAATCCAACAAACTTTAAACTAATCAACGTAACGGGATATATAAATACCGGAACAACGGAACGACGGAAAGCTTCCGTTCCTGCAGGACCGGATCCGCCAGCTGGCGCGGCCGCGGTCGAGCACCTACGAGAAGTACGCGCAGGTGCGCGAGCAGCGCGAGAACGAGACGATGCAGAGCTGCTCGTTCCGGCCTTCCGTCAGCATCGACAGCGGAATGCTCCACCAGCGGAAAGGCCCCATCGACGAGCGGCTGCACGGCGAGTGGCGGCGGAAAGCTACGGAACGCGAGCGGGTGAGGACCGAAACGGATCCCCACGTTGTATCTTTTATTAGCAAGCTTTCAAACGTAGGGTCACAGGTCCATACGATATTGGTGCGTTCAATTGAAGGCTGTCTGCCCCAGCATAACACGCGAACGTGGCCTTAGCATGCCTGGAGATGTACAATGTCCATTGACCTTAAAGCAATTCAAATAGCTGAGATGATTGTCTCTACTCCGCGAGTATCTCGGCGAATTGACGTGCCCTCTTTTTCGACTGCTTCCACCAGCCAGGACCTGTTGATATTCAGCCTCGACCAATCTCCTTCAACCCCGCTCCAATCCCTCTGCTGAAGATTGGTCGCCCGTTTCCGCTTCCGCTTCCGTTTCCGTTTCCGTTTTGGCTGTCGGTCATCGGGGTCACTTCACGTACCTCATGACTTGGTTCTCCGATGATTCACGCAGATGAAGAGGGCGTTCTAAAATACAGGGATGCACAAATGTTGACATGGGTCTCTAATGTGCAGATCCGGAGGGCAGTCGAGCAGGCCGAATTAGAGAAGTGCACTTTCCGTCCGCACATCTCGGACGTGTCCGAACTCCTCGCGTCAGAGGACCGGCGGCCGATCTACGAGCGTTTTGAGGAAATCCAGGTAGGAATCCCCCTTTCTTCGCCTGTGTCCATATCATATATATCGATTCTGGATTCCTTTTTTCATCTTCCGGCAGAAATGTTTCAGAACTCACGTCGGGTGCTTCCGAAAGCCTGAAGACGTCTGTCAAGGTCGGCTTCGTCCTCTTCCAGCAGTATCCAACGGACAACGGCTTTTGCAGCCCTTATGAGCGCAAAGTGAAAGGAGAGTGCTTCTAGGAGCTTCCCTAAGACGCTAAGATATGAAAGAGACTTTCCTTGCACTCTCGCTTTAGGAGCAAAGTGTCATGATGTGTTGCCAAAGTCTGCCGCTTACAAGATTCGAGGTTGAAGGTTTTTCACGCCCTTTGTACGGACTATCACAGCAAGATGCCTTTCAAAAGCAGTCCGTTATGACTGGAGCTTACGACCTACCTTACTGCAGCGACGAAAGAGCGAGGCATTGGCACGCGCGCGCGAGCAGCTGCAGCGGAACGAAGGCACGTTCCGCCCGAAGATCAACCACCGGAGCGAGCGGATCGCGTTGCGGATGGGCCTAGAGGAGATCGACGTCGCAGACCGGCTGACGACGTTCGCATCGACGGCCAGCCTTGGCCGAAAGCTGCGATGCGTGGTGAGCTTCAGAGGCCTTTTGTACGTTCTGAAGCATAAGTCGCATTGCCTTATGATCTTACAAGATTGGCCCTCCGAAGTAAAAGTTGGTTGACTGGTTCTTTCCTTCTCCAAAACATTTCGATTTTCACTCGTCGTTCGATGTTTCAAGATTTTCAGGTTGAGCTTGTGACAATTTGCTTTTCTCAATTGAATGAAGAACGACTTATTGAAAGTTGGGAGGGAGAGAGAATGAGATGTAAACTACGTTTAGCAAGTTCTCACCGGTATTGACCGAATATTAAACCAAAAGCTGCTCTTAGAAAAGAGCTCAAGGTTGCACGTCCATTCATGATTCTTATAATCAGAGGTGACCCTTTTCGTTCCGCAGGAAGAGCGCGAACTAGAGGAGCAGGAAAAGTGTCCGTTCCGGCCGGAGATCAACCCGAGCACGGAACGGATCCTGAACGAGGCGCTGTACGTTCCGGCGGACGGCGACTTCCTCACGCGGCAGCACTTGTTCAACGAGTTGAGATACCAAAAACAAGTGAGTCAAGGAAAAACAAACAGTAAAAAGGATTCCATTGTTTTTTTTATCACTTTCAGTATCTCAGGGCTTTTTGGGGCTTGAAATCGAGCGGCCTGATCGTGCAGAAAGTGATTTAGAATTGACCAGACTGGAAGTAACTCTGACGAGTGGACTTGGGAAGGTCACGAAACGATGTATGTTCAATAAAACCTTGGACTTAAAGGAAAGGGTAGTGCTCGGGAGGGATTTGCGTTGATAGCCACTTGTCAAGCTGCACCAAATATCAGCATCAAAGTAAGCGGCGATTCTCCTCATGATAAAGATTAGAATTACGCAATCAAGGCTACGTTAAGCCGAGCCTTTGTCTAACAGGATAGAGACAGGATAGATCAAAGGAAAGCATGGAACTCTGATTGTGGTGCTTCTCTTCTACCCCTGACGTCATGCCTATGTCTTCCTCACTGCAGCTTGAGCTACAAAGCCGGCAGTCCGCCGAGTGCCGCTTCCGCCCGGACATCGGTTCCGCCGAGGAGGTTCTCGCCCAGGCGGGGCGGAACGCTGGGGAGTCGCGACAGGAGCTCATCGAACGGCTGGCGTGCACCGATAAGGAGCGCTTGGAAGCCATCCGACGGCTGAAAGCGGAGCAGCACTACGCGCAGTTTGAGTTTCGGCCGGCACTCAACCCAATTAGTAGGCTGGTTGGTCGCCCCCCTTCCGTCGAGCTGTTGCATAAGGTAAGGGAGAGTCGGGTTTGCTTCGCGTTTCCTTTCTGGTTCCCGTTACCGGCCCGTTAGTTTGCGGTCAGGCTGCCCATGGAAAGTGTGGAACACTGGGTTGCTAGATTGGTTGGCTGTCATCTTTCTGAGTGCTTCGCATTATGGTGGCGGTTGCTTCTGCACTCCACTGCCTGTGGTCGCTTTTCTGTTTCTGAGTTGCTTCGCTTCTGGTGGCGGTAACTTTTGCGGGTTGGTTTGAGAGGCCAAGAATAGGAGGCTTTGAGATGGATGGATTTCTGCCGGTTGGGCAGTGCGAAGGGGTACAATCGCCGCGCACCTGAGACAGACTTATACTCCCGCAGACGTAAGTCGGAACCTTACGAGAGTCATAGTTTGTGCAAGCCCTTTAAAATTTCGACCATGCCTGAGTAACGCGCTCAGATCGGCGTATTTCTACGCCCTTTGAATGATTCTATCTTCACACTCATGCTACGATTGATGAGAGGCGGGCTTCCCGTATCGACGCAATCGGATCCGCTCCGCAGGACGACCGCGCCAAGCAAAAGCTGGAGATGCTGCGGGCGGAAGCGGAAGAGGCCCAGAAGCGAGAGTGCACGTTTCAACCAGAGGTGCGTAATGTCACCAAGTTGCCACGTGGCTGACTTTTGTATCCTCTTTATGTTTGGCGTCGTGAGGCATGTCTCATACGGCGACCAGAATGCTCGACAATCCACCTTTGCAGTCGCTTGCAAAAGAAGCACGGTCGGAAAACGCTGCGACAGGCGGGTGATTTCCGTCTGTCGCCGCAAGATTTCTTTGGGCGGACTCCCCCTTTTCTGAATATCTTGTAGAAAGATGTCTGAATGGACTCGATACTGGCTCACGAGGCTCATTGCCCTTCAATTTCGAACACAGACTTTCAGCTGATCCGAAGTCCTCATATTCAGCAACGAGCTTTTGAAGCCAGCCAGCTCAAAAACTATGGAACTCAATATTGGATTGTCTGACGTAGCATTCGGTCGTCCGTACAGTTGTCACGGCCGTCGCTAGAGACGTCCGATTCGAGAAGGACGATCAGCATGCGGGACCCGGAGCTGATTAGCGCTCGAATACAGGAGCAAGAAAGGGTAAGCCTAACTTACACCTTTACCCAAAATGTCGTGTGACGCTCTTTCTTAACCCTGGTCTTTGACGTTCGGTACGAAAGCTAGTTTCCGATACATTCCGCGACGAAGAAAGAGTCAAATTTGAATTGTAAGTTTTTCGGAGTCTAATTTTGTTTCTTGTTGCATGAGGACGTTGTATCTGCCATCTGAATTTGAGATTTTGGGCCTATCAGCGCAGCCTGTTGAGTGCCCAGTCATATTGGTCAAGGCGGCATTCTCAACTTAGAACCATTCACAAGCGAAGACCTTCGCTGACAGGTACAGATCACCAGTCGCTTGATGCCAGGAAGTCCAACTTTGCATCTCATTGCGCAATGCCTGATTACCTGTTCAATAAGCAAAGAACAGGAAAAGCGACATCATTTGAGTGAAATCCGACAATATCGAACCGAAACCCTAAAACATGAGACTTTTTTGGCAGGAGCGGCTGGCGCGCATTGAGGCCGTACGCGAGCTCCAGCGCGAGCAGGAGCTGCAGGATTGCACGTTCCGGCCGGCGATCAACGGAACGCCACCGGAACAGCTGGACCAGCCGGTGATAGTCCCCGGGCTTGGCAGGTGAGGGTGCAGCCTCTCTCGCAAGCGGGTTGGCAACGGCCCCCGCTCAAAGACTTTAGTATTACTAGGATCAGCGGACGTCTGAAATAGTGAGCAGGGTGTTACAGAGGGGCGGGGAAGCTGCACGTATCCTGCCCAAGATGAGAAAACTCGAATCCACTTCGTCTGACTTTGAAGCAATGTTGGTCTTTGATACAGATTGCCTGACGCAGAGTCGTCCCTGCTCCGCTCCCCTCTCGATCACTTCTGTCCTCATCGGTTGTTCTTGGGCACGCTTATGGAATGGAAGCCCCTTTATGCAAGATGTTTCCTCCCTCAAATCTCCTCGTCTCCGACTCTGGAGTGGAGCTCCGCGCCTGGTTCATCGGAACATTATTTCGTCCCACAGCTCCGTTCTTTGACCGACCGTCTGGCCTGCATCTCGCTCCTGTCATCTTCGCTTGCTACCCGCAGATATCTTGAGCTGCAAGAGATGTCAAAGCGCCTGAAAAAGGAGCAAGAGGAACGAGAGCGGCGGGCTTTCCTTCTCGAGATCCCCTCCAACCTCTCACGGCAGTCAACCAAGCCCCAGCCGTTCCGGCTGCATTCCGGCAGCGAGCAGCGGAAGGCGGAAGTCGCCAGGCGGGCGGAAGAGGACTTCGAGGAGAAGTGCACGTTCCGGCCCGAGACGAACGCGGGCAAGACTAAAAAGTTCGTTAAACAAGTGTTGAGGGAATGATTATTTTAAGTGCGTTGCGAAAAAGGATAGACGTTAGAAATACATTGGCGACGCGAGTGTTGGATTGCCAGCTAGGGAAGGAAGTTGCGTCCGCTCATGCCAGAAGACCCGCAGGTATGTGCTAGAGTTGGGGTTCCGGATCGACCCGCTGACAAGTGGTCGTTGAACGTAAGCCGGCTCAGTGCTACGAAAATGATTGTCTTCTTCCTGCCAAGGCAGGACCCAGTCCTCACCCGCGCTCGTCACGTGTACGCAACGGAGGATAGATATCATTGTCGCGAGACTTGCATGCAATGGTCGGTCTACATAGCAGATCGAGTCAAGGGCCGCAAGCCCTGTGCATCTGGTCGACTCCATCCGACCATTCAATGGATGGATTCTTTCTTTTTCAGACATTGATTCTGCGGCTACTATCAGGTGGACATGAATTACGCGTATAATATCAGCGTATCATTCGCTGACGAGTCGAGTCGTGTGGTCCGCAAGTCACATACTCCAAGCAAGGCCAATCAAGTTGGCCGAAATAAGTTCTAGGTGGGGCAGCAGCATTTTGTATGCCGGACCGCCAGTACCAGCGTGTTGAGGGCGCCGCGGTTGGGGGACTGACGTCTCAGTTGGGCCGCGGCCATGGCTCATGCATGAGCTCGATCAGGCTTGATCGCCGTACAGCTGAGGCGGCCTCCGCTCTGAGCATGGCAGTCGTGCTTGTGCAGGAAGTAAAGCACCGCATGCTAGATCGGAAACCCGCAGCTACAATGCAGTCACGGTCAACTTAAATGCGCACAAGTATTGAAAGATTGCGGCCGGCGAACTACTATACATGATCGGACTTTGACAATCAATTCTGCCGCCACTGTCGAAGTCCGTGATCATGCACTTATTCAAAAGATTTTGTACAAGTGCATGTCCACTAAGTAATTTTGATTGCACGATCGCTATATCATCCATTGACACCACATATGAGCTAAGCAAGCCGGGAGTTAGTACAATTAACATGTACGAGGTGGGTGTAGCCACCGCGTGGCGCCCGGCACAACAAGGTAGCCACAAGCACTGGGGTCCGGTAACGGACTATTCAATGATTCCTCAGACAATAGTTTGTTTGCGTCTTTACTTGTGAAATCTATAAATCAGTGTGCCAGGGGCAGGCTCTGGAATAAAAGCGGCGCCCCTGCACTCAAGCAGCTCACCCTGGTGAACCCTGTTCATCAACAGGCCATGCAGGCTGTCTTTAAAAGCAGGTGCCGTTTTGACTGTTTGAGAACCATCATTTCGCGATCTGTCCAATTAGTGATCTGGCAGGCCAGCGTTCTGTCGACAGTGTCCACAATCTTGACGGCCAGTTCGTTATTATGGGCCATCAAGGTCGATTGGTTTAGAGTACATGGCGCAAACTCGAAACATCTCAATAATCAAGCGAAGACTACTCAAACATCTTCCGGATTGTCCAAATATGCCGCATACTTCCGCACCTTATTAGCAGTCCTTGATAGACCTGTCGTCAACAGTAAGCAACTTGCGCTGATAGCGGGCTGGGGAGGGGGGCGTGTTCAGCCCCAAAGGCCCAATGGCAGACCTTTCTCGGGGCCCAACAGACGGCAGATGGGCCGGCCAGCTAGCTACCTACTGTTACAAATTCCCGCCCTACTCGACCTTGAGGGGCTTCACGACCTCCCACGTGAAGTCGGGGTCGTCGCGCCCGAAGTGTCCGTACGCAGCGGTCTTCTGGTACCGCTTGTTGCCACCGCGCTTCAAGTCGAGGTGGATCGCAATCATACCCGGGCGGAAGTCGAAATTCTCCTTGACGGCCTCCAGGATCTTGGCGTCGGGGTACTTGCCGGTGCCGTAGGTGTCGACATAGACGGACAGGGGCTCGGGGACACCGATGGCGTACGACACCTGTTTCGGACAGCTTCCACCATCAGGGACCAGGGAAAAACCGGCCTTTTCATAGCTCAAGGGCGCACTCACAATGAGCCTTTTCATTGCTCAAGGGCGCACTCACAATGAGCCTTTTCATTGCTCTCAAGGGCGTACTCACTGTGAACCATGCAAACATGTTGAGAGGTGGTTGCAGAGACGCGCAACGAATTCGGCAGGGCGGTCAAGCCACCCACAATGTAAAGCACATGAGCGACTCAAGGACCAACATACTTAAGAAGACCCAGATCCTACATTTCAGCTTCAAAATGGAAACCGTCGAGGCAAGTAATTGGAAGACAGCACTGGACAACTTGAACAATCGGGCCGGAATGACTTAATGCAGCTTCTGGATTTCAGCTCCCAGCTCTGTCGCCATCCAGATAAGAATCCAGGAAAGATGCATGCCGATGGCAGAGAGCGGTTTTATTGCCGGCGTGGCCTGAGATGATCTGCCAAAACGAGCCTTACCTGGACGATCGCGCGCCTGGCCAGGCCGGAAGCAACGATGCTCTTGGCTGCCTGGCGGACGATGTAGGCACCAGACCTGTCGACCTGTAGCAATACACAAGACCCGTTCACATTTGACTGACAGGGAAGAGCGACTACCTAGCAACCGTGTGTGTCCAATTCAGAAAAAGGACACGAGGCAATGGCAGGCTGATGCTACAGGTAGTATCGTCCTTTTGGCAGCTCAGATGATTTGGAGACTCTATCTCGAACACAATTGAATGTAACTGAAAGGAGCCATCTGCTCAAGAAAGACCTTTTGACGTGCTTACAACTGGTCCAAAGAGGTGCCTTTTTAAAAGGACAGAAGCTATCTGCAAACTGACAGTTACTCAAAGATCACATTCCATGGAACATTTGCTCCCCCCCTTCCCCCCTTCCCTATTCCGGACCACTCGCTATAGTCGGACAGACAACCACGTCTGCAACAAGAAGATTGACCCCTACCTTGGTGGGGTCCTTTCCGGAGAAAGCACCGCCTCCGTGGGCGCCCCAGCCGCCATAGGTGTCGATGATGATCTTGCGGCCGGTGAGGCCAGCGTCTCCGTGGGGCCCGCCAATGACGAAGCGGCCTGAGGGGTTCAGGTGGAAGATGGTCTTGTCGTCCATGTACTTGGCGGGGATGACGGGCTTGATGACGTGCCTGGGCAGAGCATAAAGCGAAGGGCTTAGGAAGTGGTTAAGGGCAAGAATAGTTGGGTCCAGAGAAAATAGCACTAATCTGATGACTCTCCCAAAACAGCACAAATGTACAGATTCACAACGCAGAACAGGAGAGAAAAGAGTTGTGCAGGGAAAAATCACATTGAGCAAGCAGTATCAGGCCGTGTTACTCGTCGTTGATCTTCACCAATTCAAGGCCTGTTACCTAGCTACAAGCCGCGATTGAAACAAAAAATCTTGTGCCTGCTCCATTATGCATCTACGTGACCTTGACGTAGGACAAGACCTTGAAGTAGGACAAGAGCGGGACAGATTTGTCAAAGCATCTCCGCATCTGCACCCTTCCTCAGCTCTATGTTCACCCCAAGTCTCAAGCATCAACAAACCAAATCCACTAAAGTCTTGAACACGCAATATGTAACCGCATCGCTTGAAAACCTCAAGCAACACTTCGTCCCGAAACTCACTCCATGAGGTCAGCGGCGATCTGGTCGTTGGTGACGGTCTCGTCGTGCTGGGTGGAGATGAGGACGGTGTGCACACGCACGGGGACGGTGGCGCCGTTCTCCAGCTTGTACTCGATGGTCACCTGCGTCTTACCGTCGGGCCGCAGCCACTTGCAGACGCCATTCTTCCGGACCTGAGTAGTGTAAGAAAGAGATTTGAGTGCTTATGTTCGATTGTACCTCCTGTTGGACTTGAGGATACAGAAAATAGACATGATCCAACAACAACGACCTTGTCACAGTGGGCCGTGAGCAGAAACAAACACCATCAAAAACACCATCACTTGATTGCAATCTCCCTCACTATCTACTGGGTTATAGAAAGAATCAAAAGATCTTTGGTGGCACAAATCTTCTGTTTTGGCTGTCCTTGAGTAGAGAAACAGCGAGATAAAAGACATTATCCCTCAAAAGACATACCAGAGGCCTTTTGATTGCCTCCATCACGTCCAATCAACCAAGGACTACTGTTCAAGGCTGTGAACATCTTCACTTCTGCGAGAATGCCCCTTCTCCAAGTGACTGGGGGTTCCGTCATTTATCACGCGCTTGTACAGCAGTTGATAGCAAAACTCATCTTCTTCAAAGAGGCCACACTCTTAGAACAGAAACTGAGATGAAAGACTGCCAGGAAGACTGACGCTCCATTGCCCTGGATCCAACTTGCCAGCTGCCAAGTTCCATACCCCAAAATGCTAAGAGGACTGCTAATCCACTTTCCAGATTCATCTTTTCTGCTTTTCAATGCTGATTTTTAGTTGCAGCTCAGAGGACCAGTTATTTACATAAAGCAAGCTAACAACGGGACCAGCAACAGCGCCAGCCCAGATACGTCGCTTCTCTTCATCAAACTGTAAACAACTGGGATCTAAACAGTGGCTTACCTCCGTGAGCTTGGCTCCAAGCTTGGTGGCCAGCACGTGAGTCAGGGGCATGAGCTCCTCAGTCTCATCAGTGGCATAGCCAAACATATGTCCCTGGTCGCCCGCACCAATGTCCTCAGGCTTCTTGGCGTCGACACCCTGCTTGATGTCAGGGCTCTGCTCCTCAATGTTCATAAGGACCTGTAAGGAACGATGTTGAGAGAAAACTTTTGAGTTTCTGCGCAAAAAAAATGCATGATTGAAGGGACAGGATCAGCTTTGTGCACACAGAGGCTGCTCTATGTACTACTGCACATGATCAGCTGTGATGTTCAACAAAGACTTACGATGAAGGATAACTGCGACAAGATATAGGCTTGTTAGTTGCAAGTTCCGTATGACTTGCTGCATTCAGACTGAGTTGCACTCAATTGCACAGACAATCTGGTCCGCTTAAAAAGGAAAAGACTGTCTGTAGCAGGCGCAAGATTGTTCCTGGAATCAACCCAACACGATCATTACAACAGGGAGCTTAGATGGAATCAAACACCATTCTCTGGGAACACAACACATAACTCAACCTCACAGATACAATGAATCTTCTTGGTCCAAATGCAGCATTATGCAAAATGACGAGGGTTTATGCTCCACCCACCTTGCAGTTGGTGCCGTCCAAGCCAACCTCATTTGAGATGAAGCCAATCTCCTTCACGGTGTCCCGCACAATCTTCTCATAATCAACCTTGGCCTTGGTCGTGATCTCGCCGAAGACCATCACCATGTCGGTCTTCGTGCAAGTCTCGCAGGCAACCCTGCTGTCAGGGTCCTGCACACGAGCCCCGATTGTGACTGGTGAATCACCAATCTTGAAAAGATCTGCAACTAGTTTCAAGTGTAGGCTGACATTAGCCTATATTTAGTTAGATCAATTCCCTCAGTTAAAAGAAATTAGTAACCAAGACCAGAGTTGACATTCTTTTGAACCCCCAAAGCAACCTCACCCGTTCCCCGGGCGTGACCTACCTTGGCTTGGCCCTACCCTAACATGAAGTCGAAAATATTAGATCTGCATTATGCACCTGTTTAGGCTGTTGCATTGCAGCATTGACCACAGCAGATCTGACTGCAACTTTCAAGCCAGAGCTGAAGCTTCTTGTCGGGACACCAGTCACAAGTATCATTCGTTTATCTGCCTTTCCAAACCAGAGCATTCCCCAGATTGTGAGCGCTTGCTCAGATCCACAGAAACATAGGGCCCTTGGACGGCTTCATTGCCATATTGGAGCCAGTAAGCTGCTAGTATTATCTAGAACATGGCAAGATTCATGAGCTGTTGCAATCCAGGCTACCAACGCAGATCCTGTCAATAATGAAAACCAACTCTATACTTGCACCCGCAGCGCAAAAAAACTTTAGATTACCTGTGCCAAGCAGGCATCCAACACGGCGTCGGACACCTGATCGCACAGCTTATCAGGGTGCCCCTCATTGACGGACTCGGACGTGAAGAGGAAAGTCTCTTGAGCCATTGTGACGCTGCAAACGAACAACAAGATATGAGCACAACAAAAAGATCGTTCTTTCCAGAACATCCACGGCCAAGCCTTCACAGCCTAATCAAGAAGCAAATACATCTAAAATCGGTCATCCAACCTCTCAGCTTTGCACCAATGCTAGTGAGATGTTCCTTGTGTGCAGATCTCAGCGGATTCACAGGAACAGAAGTGTAGCAGCTTGCCCCTCCAAGAGACAAAAACCATAGATGACTGCAAAAAGACCCCATCTATCCACTCAAGTATATTCTTGCTTCTGGTACGACCGGACACAACAACCTTTCAATCATTACCACTTCTATCTCTCTTTCTCATTCTTCCTCAGATCTGTTAGTGACAAATGCTGACCATTGCAGCACCAAATGCTCGAGGGACGATCATGTTGGTGGGTTTAATCGTAAAAGCCAGATCTTCCTCCCATCCTTGGATCTAGCCAAAAAATAACATAATAGATCTAATGAAGCATCAAATGACATGCCAAAAACAGTCAGATCAAGAAGACCATCAAGCCCTTCCGAGTAAACCTTTCCAACAACTTCTCGTATAGCGCAGACGATTGCACAACTCACCTGTTGCAAACCAGAAGGGCAACGCTGGATTTGTGAAGAAAGGGCGCTCGAGATCTGATCAGGAACCGACAAGAGATGTAGCGAAGGGTGGAAGCAGGAATGAAATTTTGCTGAAGCAGAGCTGCCAGTACAATGGGGGTTCACAGAAGCCTATTGGGCGCATTAACACCAACGAATGAATGGCAATAGAGTTGGGTTTTGAAACGACAGTGTGAACACGATAAAATGACGACTCATCGACGGTGCTGTGTGCACAGCTGCATGCAATCGGGCGGCCACCATTTGACCATGAAGGTCCGCTGAATCTTTGGAATCCAATGATTGACATGCATTGACACGGGTTAGCACTAATAGGGCCAATTGACCGGTAATTAGTCGATAGGTTATCCGGTCTCTGTCTTCTACTGCCTAAAATTCTCGATCGGCCTGGTGCCTTAGCGCTTCCAAACACCTGGTACTTACTATTGTGATGATGTATTGACGAGCCACTCCTCTGTGATTGGCTGAGGCTACTACCTACTGTAGGCTAAAATAAACTCTTCAAGTGTCCGGATAGGTATGCCCATAATGAGGTCATAAACGTCGAAGTAGTTGTCAGAACAAACGCCGAATTATGGTTCCATCTGTACTTTTCCCTCGGATATCTCGGATCGCTCATCGAGAAGATCCAAATGCTATGTAAGGCGGGCAAGAGAGCACTCTTTTAGACCAATGAAAATGATGCAGATTTAAGCGGCAGATCACTCTCGTACTTATGGTGCAGGCCAATTTCAAGCTTGATGGGATCAACAAGCTAGCACTTGGCAAACATTGCCATCTCTCACTTGCATCACGTAAATGCCAAAGGAACAGATGGTACCACTCAATCGTCAACTATGTGCCTTTACTTGGGCTGCTGAAATGGTTCGAGGACGTGAGCATTCCCGACGCGAAAATGCATTTACGCCTCAAGGCTTCATCGCCCGACACCTTTTCGTGTCCACTATCTAGCCACGTCAGCTCCTTTGCTCGGCTAGCTTCTGTAGCCACGTCACTTGGGCGTTTCTCTTCAAAGCGAAGGTGACATCGTCGCTGCAAGCACGAAGATACAAGGAAGTCATTTCAACAACAAACAGCCACACGGCTTGCGTCAAGAACCAAAGCTTTAAAGCAGATTCCGAGGCGCCTTTTCCAGCGGGTCAGTATCCTGAACGCGTGCAAAAATGCTAGAAGACGAATCATAATCTTTGATCCATCAATTCCTTGATGACACTCATTACAATCGATTTTCAACCCAAGTGGTCCGAGAGCGCCTTGATACTCAAGTACAGAATCAGCGGATTGCGCCAAGGTGTCGTTCAAACGCAACTGCCCTACAAAAGACCTCTTTTTGGCGACCATCTAACGGCAAAGCCGCTAAATGGTCACCAGAGCAACCGCCAGAGCAACTATTCCTTCACAGGCCGGTTCAGATGCCCAAAGAAACGCCCGCACGACACTTCAAGAGCTCGCCAAGCGTCCTAGGAACTTCCAAACGTTTTCCGCCATTGTGAACTTGCTTAGACCGCAAGATCTTCCCGACAAATTCCTCGACAACTTTTTGAAGACCGCTAACCCTGCAGGTGTCGAGTGCCCACATAACTCTGCTTCCAAGAGTTTTCTTACCCACGCTAAGGACTTCGGCTCATTGCTGCCTTCTTCAGCGCTCGTAAACGTACAAATTTTTGCGAGTCTCCTCAGCCTTTCTCAGATGACACACCTCTATTTCTCACCCTTTTAATAAGTACCCTAAGCTTCCATCGAAGTTGTGGAGTCTCTCACCTGGGCACGTTCAATTCAATCTTTCGGAGCCGGTGCCTATGGCCCGGTTCGCAGATGAGCACGTGACTGGAACCCAGCCGACTCCTGAAATTGAAGGATTCGACTTCTTAACAAATCAGGATGTTTGAGCAGGGAGTCAAAGCGCACCTCGCAATCACACAAGATGCTCGTGTTACTCCAGATTTATTTGAATCTCCGGCCTCAAAATTTTCTTCCGTACCCTCCCCATGCTGTTCTTTTCCTGGTTTCCCTTGCAAGGTGGCTTGAAGTCGACCTTCTTCTTGATTTCCTCTCAAAGGACGCTCGCATTTCGCCGAACTTGAGTGGATTCCGGACGGGCTAGAACCTCCGAAGGGTGTGACCGGTTTGCCCAGTATCCCAGCGAAGTTCGCTTACTCTCAAAGCCGCTTGACACTTGTTACCGGACCTGATTGGACTGGAAACGAAACCGGGTTAGCTCCTAATCCTGGTTAGAGTGATTAGAGTGCTCACACTATCTCTGCGAGGTTCGCATGGCTCGGCGGCAGCTCCCCGTGGCTCCGGCACATGTCGATGTGGGCGCCCGCCACCTGGCACACATAGCACAAGTTGACGTCAGCATGACGTGAGACGAAGTAGCTCATCCATGGCTGCTTTCCTTCAAAGACCCCGCAGATATGACGAGGATTCGGTTAAAAGCGAAGGTGGTTTGCACAAAGGCGATAAGGTTTGATGCCACTTGAGGTTTGTAATGCCTGCTCCCACTACTTCATTTCCTCTGAACAGTATTGACCTCCAAAACTAATCATGCATGAACGGCTTCAGGAAGTCCCCGGTTCGAGCAGAGTTTCATTGTCCTCAAGAGCAACAGCGGCCCGGAGTAGTAAACGAAGTCATACGTGAAAGACAGAAATGTGCTCAGAAATCACCACGGCATCCTGGTAAGTATCGACTCAAAACACGATGACGAAGAGAGAGAGGAGAGTGAACGATCCGGCATTCGAACGGAGCGAATGAAGAACTAGCTCGTGGACAGGAGGGACTTGCCGTCTCGAAGGTGGTCTCGGCAATGCCGGTACGCCTTGAAATCATGACTAGGGCCAGCAGCAGGATCTGCTCGTGCCGCGACAGCCTTTCAATGCTCTGCAACAAACAAGGAGAGCCGTTGGTCAGAAGTCCGAGAGAAACCTTTTGCTGGTTGTGACGACTGAACGCTCTGCCTTGAGCCACAGGGGCTTTTCGATGCTCTGAATTGGACGATCAGAGCCGTCGATTGACTGCGTCAGGAGCGCTGGTGGGCTGAATCGTTGGGGAACCGTCGATGTCCCTGCGGAATTTCACAGGAGCCGTCAATGACAATAGTCTGACGAGCTGACCGGAAAAGAGCCCACAGGAGATCAAATGTTTGCCGGAGGATACTATCAATCTTATCGCCGCTGTCTTCTCGCATTCAATACCCCACATCCAGTTTGTCCTGGAAAAATATCCGTTGACGTCCTCACCAAACCTTGCAAAAACAATAGATAGAAGACAACGGAACAATTGAAGAACAAGGAACATTTACCTTGATGTGCGGTAAGTCCGATACACCTCTTCACCTCAAGATTCTGCTGACTTGTTCAACCACTGAACCTAGAAAAGATGAAACAGGAAAAAAGAAACATGCTTACCTTGATGTGCGGCGAGTCAAACATCTCCCTCACGGCCGCGTCCACGTCTCCCAGCTCCACCAAAACGTCCTCCGTTTCCTTTCCGGCGGAGCTCGGTCCCGCACCGGAACCGGAACCGGAACCGGGACTTGGACCAGAAGTGGCCGTGACGTCAGCCGCTAACGTCTGCGCTTCTTTTTGGCGTGCGGCAGCGAGCTCGGCGGCCCGGCGGCAGAGCTCGAGCGCGCGGCGGACGTCGCCCGAGGCGGAGGCGACCTGGGCGGAACGGAAGGGTTGCATCGGAACGGAACAGGAGGGAAGCGGATTTTGAGCGTTGACGGACGCTCTTGAGAGCCATGACCCCTCAGTACAACCAAAGCTGCATCTTCCGGAGACATCACGTCAGTAGAGAGAAACCAGGTACAACTAATGAGTCGATCAGCGATCAAGAGTTGAAGATCAGTGATTTGATGTCAAAAGTCAATACTTAACAGTCAATAGCCAATGCGCACAAATCAATAGCCGTTTGTCATTAGTCTGTACTCAACTCTCCGTTGGTGAACTAGCTTCGTAAACGCACCCGAAGCTAATCGCTGACTAAAGATACAAATGAACTTTACTTGCATAAGTTCGAATGTCAATCGACTGTAAAGCCTACGTTATAATAACAAGGCGCAATTTCAGCAGCTTGTCTGTTGAACAAGCCTGATGATACCCGCATGAAGCAGTGGCGTCATGTACTGGAAGCCTGCAGAATGCATCATCACCCCAGGTCCCAGAATCAGCACATCAAAGCTCACCTTCCGCGACGCCAGCTCGATGGCTTCCGACCGGAACGCCGGAATTCCGGTCAGCCGGTCGGCGACGATCTCCTGCAGCTGCTCGCGCGTGTACGGGTTGAACGCCACGCGCCGCAGGCCCATGCGGCTTGCGATGCGGGGGAGCATTCGTTCGGGGAGGTCGATCGTGTTCGCAATGCCTGCAAGAAGTTTTGTTTGGAGTGTGAGAGATAAGGAGACTCTGCGATCCTTGCTCGCTCGCCCGATAAGCGAAAGATTTAGTGGGTGTTAACAAGACGCGTTTCAGGAGGCGAACGCGGCTTTCCGCTCCCCCCATGCAACTGGCGATAGAGGGAGCATCCGTTCGGGGAGGTCGATAGTAGTCGCAACTCCTTCAAAAACATGAGCTTCACTTTTTGGACTTGTAAAGATGGGTAATGATTGCTCCGCTTTCCACCGAAAAAGCTGAAAACGTCGGGTTACGAAAAGGCGCTTGCTGCAGACCCACGCGGCGCGCGATCCGCTCCGGAAGGCCGATCGTGTTTGCAGTGCCTGCAAAGGGTTGGAATGTTTGAAGACTGCGTAATCTTTGCTTTTTCCAAAGAGAAGCCTGCTTTTGGAAACGGGCGCTGAAGCGGCGCCTGACGCGGCTGGCTGCAGTCCCATCCGTCTCGCGACGCGGGGAGCATCCGCTCCGAAAGGGTCATTGTGTTCGCAGTGCCTGCCAAACATTTACGCGCAAGGTTTTCAATCTTCTTTTCCATATCCGCAACTCTGAATGCCCCGTAAATCCAAGAGCAGAGATTGTTGTGACCAAGAACACCGTGACGTCAGCAAATTCTCACTGACGATGATCGGCCGCGAGCGCGGCAGCTTGGGCCAGTCGAAGACGTTGAAAAGCGCAAACCCGCGTTCTCACATCCGCAGAGAGTCTTGTAAAAGCTGGGAAAACCAACTGACGTCCGCAAAACCCCATGTGACGTCAGCAGATCTCACCGATGACGATCAGCCGCGAGTGCGGCAGCGTGGGCCAGTCGACGATGTTGTACAGCACCGACTGCTTACGCATCACAAGCAACTGTCCAAGCGCTCTAACCCAGGAACCTTTGAGTGACGTCCGCAGGAATCATGTAACGTCAGCAGAAACTCACCAATGACGATCAGCTGCGAGTGCGGCAGCGTGGGCCAGTCGAAGATGTTGTACAGCACGGACTGGTTGCGCGTCACGAGCAGGTCCAATTCGTCGACCAAAACCACGAGCGGGCGGCGGACCAATCCAGGCCTGCCACGTGGCGCCCCCTCGAAGCGCTGCTGGAGGCGCTCCAGGGCGGCCTTGGGGCCGAGGTGCTCGCCGGTCAGGGCCTCGTGCAGCGCCTGAAAGTGACGTCAGCGCAGGGTGTACGTCAGCAATGAGAAAGCGCAAAGCGAGGGTACGTGATCCTCGTGATCCGACGGCTGCTATTTGTGGTTCCGGGGCCTTATCGTGAACGATGCCAGAGGCAAGCCTTCAAATTCAAGTCACGTTGCTCGTCTGAACAATCCTGGAAGACACTCAGGAAGGCGAACCGAGTTCACTTTCAGCAATGTCAGAGACTCTCACGTTGTAAAAGCCCTCACTGTGCCCTCGACACAGTGAATAACCCGGTAAAGCTACCGTACAAAAGGTCCATTGCAGACTCTGTATGTCCACGCTGGAGCCGGTCAAGAGCAGATTCGATGGAGCTGCGTCGGAGTGGGTTAGCAGCTAACCCGGTATGTCAAGCTAAAGATAAACTTACGGTGTAGACGTGTGCCGGGGAGGGTACTCGCAGCGCGTTGATCTCGACGAACTGGAACGGCGGCAGCTCTTTGGCCTCGACCTTCCGCCGCAGACCGCGCATCACCTCGAGCACCGTGGCCGTCTGCGAGTCCAAGATCAAAGCTCAAAACACCTGGCGTATCTAAGGAACGTGCACTAACTCACTGCCTTGTTTCCAGGTTTGAAGCCTGGATCTGCTGCTTGAACAAGGTGTCCTTGCTAAGAATGGGCTTTGCGCAACTCTGAAGCACTAATGCGGAAATCTGGACTCCAACTAGGAGATGTCGAAATGTGGTAAAGAGACAGAGGGTCTAATCAGCTTATGCCTCCGCTCCGGTGCTTCCGTCTACTCAACCAAACAATCGTAGGTCACTCCACTAAGCCTTCAAAATGCTTGTCAGCATCTGAGACCACTTTTCCGATGACCGTGCAACGGAACTAATGTTCAACAGGCAGATAGTTGCCACCCTCACCTTGCCCGTCCCCGGCACTCCGCTGATGTACAGACAACTCCCGAGGCAGTCGGCGCCAGCCGACACGGCCTCCTCCACGAATGACGTCACCTGCTGACGCTCCCTGCGGGAAGATTACAGGCTGACGTCAGCTGTTCCAGCCAAACTGCGCTCGACCCGTTCGCCAGAGGGACGGACAAGCTCGCGCGACCTTATTACCTTCATGATGCAATCTAGGGTTTGAAGAGCACGGGGTAAGATTGGATCAGGATGATATAGGGCACGGAATTCTTGGAGGGACGACGACCGCAGGTACTGGATTCCTGGACTTAACAAAGATTCGGGTCTTGTTAGACTTTAATGGTTGAACTTAAAAATCCAAATTTGAACAGGGTCTTGTGGATTTGACAACGATGACTTTAGAATCAAGAACGATATGCAGAGTAAATAGGTAGGAAAATAAAGCGGCATCACTTACTTGTCCCGGCACGACAGCTTCTTCGGCAGTGCCGCCAACGTCAGCGCCTCCTGTGCGGCCTCCAGCCGGGTCAGCTTGCGCTTGCGCGCCGCGGCCGGGATCTCCTTCGCGCCTAGTTGCGCCAGCGCTTCCAGCCGTTGCCGCCGCGCGTTCTGCAACAGCAAAAGGAGCAGGAACTAGAAATGCGAGATAAAACAGGGGAGAAAAAGTACAAGCGGTGGTGTTCCGATTGGGGACAAATGCAGAGGGGAAAGCGGAAGCATATAAGCGCCTGGCTGTTGCTGCCACGCATTTAATAAAAGCACCAGCAGTGGTGTTCCGATTGTGGACGATGGCAGAAGGGAAAACAGCGGCATGTAAGAGCGTGACTGTTGCCGCCGGGCGTTCTGCAAAAGCTCGCGGCACTTCGTGCGATGAGCGAGAAAAGCAGAGGGGAAGGGGAAGCATACAAGCGAGTGGCTGCTCCCACAGCAGGTTCTACGAAAGCACAGGGCGTAATGTCCCGGTTGAGGAGCAAGGTAGAGGGGAAACGAAGGATAGAAGCGCGTAAATGTTGTCGCCAAGCGTTCTGCAAATCGCATGCGGAGGAGGACGAAGGCGGGGGGGGAGACGAAGGACAGTGTGGCGTGATTGTAGCCAGCAATGAGTCGCCACTGATTCCGAAGCCCTTGTCTTGTTACCATGGAAGTGAGTCCACTTTCAGACTCTTCAGAGTTCGAGGTAGACCAAGAGGAACTAGATTCTTACTTTTCAGGTTTGACGTAGCCCTGTAAGCACAACAAGTTTCCTGCGTGTCTGCTTAGCAGGCATTTCAGAATAAAATCAAGTGGTGCAAGGAAGCCCTTCTGATTGGTTCAAGGACCCAAGAAGGACCTCGATCTTCCCAGTCCTAGCGAGACCATCACAACTTGTCCAAAACAGTCCGCCACTCCATTCTAACACGGCTGACATCAACGCACCTGCGTCCTGGAAGTCGGTTCCGTCCTTTCCTTCCGTTTCCGTTTGGTTCCGGCCGCTCTCCGCCTCCTTGGGCCCTCCTTCCCTCCGTTCTCCTCTTCTTCTTCCGCACTGAATTCCTCGTCCGCACTGCCGCCCTCGTCTTTCGACGGCCGAAAGTCGCCATCCTCGTCGCTGACCTAAAACAGAGAGTGCCACGTTGGAGTTTAAGAGGACTCGGACATTGTCGCTAACTTTTTCGAAATCGAACCCGTATACTCGCCACGAAAGTTGCTGAAACACTCCCAATTCAGTTTACAAAACGTCACACGAACCCCTCCATAGGTCGAACACGAAAAGCTCGCCGAGCGCTGACCTCACATTTCCAGCCCCGCCCATCATCCGCGATGTCATCAGTCCGCTTGTACTGTCTCTGCAGACTTCTAACATTTCGTATGCAATCTGCTAAGGCACTCTAGAATCAGTTCTTAAGAGTTTCAAGGTATTCTGTAAACTCCGACGAAAATGACTCGCCGTAATCTGACCTCGTAATACCAGCCCCATCCATCATCTGCAATGACGTCAATCGGCAGTACGACTTTTTACAAACTTTATCACGCCGTAGATAGGCTGTTAAAGTCTTGGAATCGGGTTTCGAAACTCATACATGTAACTTTTTAAAACGGCTGCAAAGTGCCGCAGAGCGCTGACCTCGTAATTCCAGCCCCGCCCGTCATCCACAATGTCGTCGATCCGCTTGTAGCGCTGCGTTCGTGGGCAGTACCCATACTCGAGCAGGTACACGTCATCACCCTCGTTGGCCGCCTGCTCGAAGCGCTCTCGCGGGTACACCCACGCATGCCGGATAATGGAGTCCATCTGACAGAAAGGAACGCTTTCAGTATACAGCAAGTTCAAAAGCAATACGCTGGATAGTTTCAGATGTTGCATATGCACAAGAATCCTTCCGATGAAGCGAAGCAGAAGGCAGCATGATTGACTAAACCAAACGACGATTTAGCATTTCCGATTGTAATATACTATGATCTATGCCCAATACATCGGCCTTTGCAGTGGGCCATACCGGGGCTTGAGCAGGCACCCAGTTGCACAGCAAAATGTATCAGCTTATAAGCCCAAACAAATGTACTTCGGAAAAGGGATCTCTTGGTCCAAGGTTGTGAGAGGTCCTTCAAATTGAACACAGTGGTAAAGACTTGCAAATTGGTTTGGCTTGTCTCCTGACAAACCATAAGCTCTGCCTAGACAAAGAGTCACTTTACGAGTTTTGAACCGACATCTCCTCCCTCAAATCATGCTCTGAAGAGAATTTCGAAATTCCTGGTGACCGTGTTGCCAATTGCCAGGTGTCAAAACACGTTTTGCGGCACGGGGCAGCCGTTTGCTATCTGAGCATGGCTCCCAGCAGCTTACCGAAACATCGTCCTCCAGAGTCGACAAGAAGACCTCCCGCCGGTGGTTATGCTCACGCCTGCCCATGTGCGTTTCCTCTGGAATGTCCAACCAGTTTCCCCGGAAGTAATAGTCGCCGTTGGGCTCCTGCCACATCCTGCAATTAAAAGAGCTTTAGCTTTGAATTCTTAAGTATTTTGGCTAACGCGAATATGATAGATCTCTAGAGAAAGTGAGACAAGCAAGGATAGTGAGCAGCTTAGGCTCGCAAAATAGTTTACATCAACAACCAGAAACTTGAAGATGTATATTCTCTGCATTCCTACCAGCACTTACCCCCCAACGACCCCACCCATCTGTGCACTGACTTCGTGTTGCGTTGGTGTCTCAATATCTTGTCTGAAAGCAATATGGAGATTGGGAGATGGAAATATTGAAGCTTCAACTCATTTTGCCGTTGTTCAGGAGGTCAGGACTTTAAGTACCGTTGAGGCAGGCTTCGAGGCCCCCATTGACTATCATGGGCAGCACCCAGTCAAGCCTCTGACACAGTTAGCATTCACCCCCAGGAACCCGTAATTACTCCACATATCCAAACGTCGACCCGGTCCAGCTCCTCGCATACTTTCTGTGGTGCACAATGTTTTCTAGGCTTTCAGACCCCAATCCTATCAAAGCCCACAGCCGCCACCATTGCACCAACATACACTTGAATAATGAAACAGCTCACATGTTTATCCTTGCCATGTACAACTCTCCCGCAAGATACCGCTCCCTCAGCGTGCGCCGCCGTTGCCTCGTCCTGGTCACCCAGTCCCCACATTCTGCCCCACAGCACGCCGGACAATTCCAGTCCCCCTCCGGAACCTCCTCCAAGGGGGGGTCCAAACACCCCAAGTGGAAACCCCCAAGACAGGTGTCGCACTCCAGCATGTCCTCCCCCTCCTGCGGGCAGTTCCCACAGACCCGGCACTCCTCAAGCTCTTCGTCAGACTCTTCTTTGTCCCCGTCAGTCTTTTTGATGTAGACAAAGTCGCCCGCTTCGAACAGGGTGCCGTCGAACTCCAGCCGGTCAAGGTACTTTGCTCTGGGCGGCGGCGCTTTCTTTGCTCCACCCTTCTGACCACTTTTGCCTTTTGGATCAGAGCCTGCATTCTCCTCTGCCTCGGCTTTCTTTGGCCTCCCCCGACCCCTTTTGACAGCTTCCTGTGACCCGCTTGGCTTGTCCGGCTTCTTGCTTTTATCCGGCTGCCCACGGTTCCTTTTGACAGCTCTTTCCTGTGCATTGCTCCCCTTATCCTTGTTCTTGCTTCCTTTTGGCCGGCCTCGGCCCCTTTTGACAGCTGTTTCTTGTGCACCGCTCTCCTCCTCCGTCTCCTTACTTTTCTTTGGCCGCCCACGTCCTCGTTTGACCGCCACCTCTTCCCCACCATTTGGCTCATCCCCTCCCTTGCTTTGCTCCGGCCGCCCGGGTCTCCGCTTGACGCCCTGGCCCGCTGCACTCTTTCCATCTTCACCCAAACCTGTCCCTTTACCTTTCGAACGCGCTGATTCTACGTCCGCCGTCTTTCCAGCCCTTGCCGGCTTCTTCCCCCGTTGCAATGCAGAGGATACAGACACCTTGACCTTGTTCTTCTCACTGGCAGCCACCGTCTGATCCTCCTTCTTTGCCGCCCTCACTTTCTTCTCCTCTGATTTGGCAGCTTGATCCCTTTTCTTAGCAACTCTCTGCTTCTTCTCCAAAATAGAGGATGCATCTTCTCCCCTGCCACCCGCTTTCCGTGCTCGTTTTGAAGCACTGGGTACTATCTCTGTTGGGCGCTTCCTTTTCTGCCCAGCTGGCGCGGCATCCGCTGCTTCTTTAGGAGCTCCTTTAGACTTTGGGCCGGGTCGCTTCTTCGCAACTGGCTTGCCACTTGCTCGTTTATCTTTCTTCTTCCGCGCATACACTGATGCTGATAGCGGCGCCATGACGACGAGCAAACTTTCACGTTGGATTAGAGGATTCTGCTGGGCCTCGGTACTACATTTGCCAGGAGGTTCATCGCCTCGGTGCCTCTGCTCAAAATGACGCCGTTCAAGGCGATGCTGAGAATGCTGACTTTGAGAACATGATTCCACACAAGCTTCAACTTGTTGTTGCTTGTTTTGTGCCCCATTGCCGCCAGAAAGGGCGAATCAGAAACGGACACCTGGCGTCTATAAGTAATCAACAAATCAGAGCACAAGTAGCTCAATCAGGTGCAGTGAAACAAAGGCCCAAAGAGGAAGAAAGCGGGGGGGCTCGGGGGGGCGGCAGCCCCCCCGGTTTTATAGAGGTTGAAAAGGCCGGGGGCTGAAACTACGGTATGTACCGGCGAAGAGATCGAACAAGGTGTCAGAAAGGGTTGCCAAGAAGCGGTGATTGATCATAGCTTATGTTATGGGTGCGGAGTTGATCAAGTTTTGAGGGGATAGAGCTCCGTTGGTAGAGCAAATGCTTAGCAATGTCGTCAGCATGACGTCAGTAACTTGCATTAGGTCAGCGGTTCGATCCCGCTTGTCTCCAATCATTTTTGACGATTTTTTCGTTCTTTTTCGACGCAATCCAGTAGAGAAGACGAGCACAGCTCACCACCGCGCTCAGCTTTTGTTCCTTGAAAATTAGGGGGGGGCTCCGCCCCCCCAACCCCCCTGGTTCAGTACAACTGCAAGCAAGCAAGCTCCGGGGAGCCTGCGGCTCCCATGTATTCAGCCAACTTGACGGATTAGACATCATGGCATTCCCTCACAAACATATATGTTGACGACCCCGGGGCCAGCCCGGCCTCCTCTGCCATCATTTCACACTATCTCCGCGGATGTTTTGACCCTGGGCCTGATGGGTCCTTTTGAACCTCAATGATTACATCTGTGATGCATGTCCAATAGGATGATGCAGGAAGACACACGGCACCTACTTGAGAATCGGGAAGAACGGCGAAAGCATGCCGTCCAATCAGTCCGATCGACTTCGCATATTGGCCGACATTAGTCCTGATCACGACGTCGTGGCACGCATGGTTGGCAAGAGCAGAGATGAATCCCTTCGGTGGCCGACTCCATATCCATGTAAGCTGGTAAGCTTCGCACCACAGTTGCAGGTACTACTGCCGTGCACCTCTGCAAATTGATGGACTCAAAGTAGACCAATCTCACGGAACTTGTCTGGGCGGCGCACGTTTACCTCTTGCGACTGGGTGAATCTGTAACAAATGCCAGAGCTTGATTTTCGAGTGCAAGCTGGCCTTCGTTACAGATTCACCCATTCAAATATATTGCATATATGCCGAGCTCTCACTATCGACACTCTGGAAAACAAAAAGATGTTGCTTAAAAGTCGAAATCTTTCCGTTAAAGAAGGACGAAGATGTTCAGAAACGAGTGAACACTTCGGAGCTGATTGGGAGGAGCTGATTCAAGGCATCCTTCCGACACTGGTCACCTCGCTGCAAATCTGGGTGACGTTTTCTAGCATGACGTCAGTGGTATCTCTGGTCGGTTCAGTCAATTGCTTACGTACGATCGATCCAAATGCTGGCACACCTGAGCTCACGGTACAAAGACCAGCGCGATTCCCACCATGGATGTGCATATGGACATGCTTGACTTTGACTACCGAGGTCACGTGCAGTGCACCATCTCTTTTTGGCAGCCGCCAACTTCGAACGTAATTGCACAACATACTCCGCCTCTGCCAGTTTCTTTTGCCCGAGAATGCGAATCCGAGCTGGAATGATTGCACAACTAAAGCAGATTTGAGTTGGTTACTTTCTGCTGTTCTACTAGCTGGATTTACATGGCAAAAGAGTCGAGAGTGCTGAAGTTGCTCCACATGTTTCACCATGTGCCCTCAGCCACGTCAAGCGACGGAAGGTGATCCCTTGCAGGATACATAGCGCAATTGGTTTCGATTCGATTATTTGACTCGTTGATACCGCTGAACGTTGCCAAAAGGCATTAGTCAATGAGACATGTTCAGAATCACTTCGTCAGTACAGTAAATAAGTCGAGTCTCCCGCCTGTCGAAGCGGAGCGCAATCCTTTGCCCAAGCATATTTTCATGCTTGCAACGAACTTATTCTTTGTATCAGCAAGGGTCGCAGTACATATTCCAATCAAAGTTCTGCAAGAACCGCCCAGCATTTGTCCTTACCTCTAACCTATCGAATCTACCCCCAGCAAGCGGAGCGTTTCAATCTTGAAAATTTAAACCGTAAAGGTTCATACGCCGCTTCCCGCGTCCACCATGGGACCAAACGGGGTTTACATTCTGACCATCTTAGGGATTGCCCGCTATCGAACCGTCTAACTCTTTCACGTACCAAACGTGGGCCGTTCAATTGGGTCGAAAAACAAGCGCACTAATATCAGGAGCTCGACACAGAAAAGGCATTGCAAGCCCTACGGACGGTACTCGGGGTGAACCACTTAGACGCATCAAGTGAAGCTCTTGGCACAGGCCACCGAACGTCGCATGAATATAAGTGTACCACCATATATAGTACTTGCCCCGCCCAATTCTAGCCTCCTTATACATAGAATACACTCTGGCCGTTCCCGTGCAGACACTGCCTGGTAGACGTTACGGTGTTCTCCCCTCTGTTTGCTGCTTTTAGGGGTAACACCCGCCGTTTACATGATCTCTTCTTGCGCCTCGTCATCAAGCTCGCCGGCCTTCCGCCCGTTACTGATTGTCAACCCTCCGGAAAATCAACCTTTGATTAGAAGTTCTCCTTGTGGAAGTCGAAGGTCGCTCCCCCTAGCGTTGTGTTGCTCTTGCACGCGTCCCGCAGCTCCTGCGCCCCGGGGCCGCACAGGAACACGCCGACGGTCTTGCCGCCGTGCGTCTCGGCGACCTTCTTGAAGATGCGCTTCCAGTTGGGTCGCCCCGCCCACTTCTTGCCGGCCCACGCGACCTGCAAAGCGTCGAGAATCTTGTTATTATTTCGAAGCGAATGTGCGAACAGTTTATACTTCCTGCCCACTAATCTGCTGCAAGATAGTTCGTGACGTCGATTTTACTGGAGCAAGCAACTGTGGCGCGCTGCCAAAGCTTGACCTTTGACTGGACGATTTGTCCCTCTCAATCACAAGCGTGACCACATACATGCAGATCGGGCTTCATAAACGAGGTGCTCGAAGGCTCTACTCAACTCTAGTTGTTCTGCCCCTCGGAAGAATACTGGTAGTGAGGAATGATTGCGCAGCGCAACATGTTGAGAGGTCGTGAGGCGGGGTCTCACCTCCGCGCCCTTCTTTGCTGACGTGTCCTTGTTCTGAGTGACGACTTCGTCCAGGTTTAACTCGCCGGTCATGTACGTGTTGATCTCGAACCGGTTGCTCAGCCTGGGGAGAGAGACGGCGAAAGCGCTAAGCATGAGATTTACCATCGAGGTGGTTAAGCGGGAACCGCTGGCATGTGGCTAACCGAGAGGTCAAAAAATCATTGAAACAATTCGGGTAGATGTTCTGCCTCTCATCGCTCAAATCTCTAGGTATTAGCCTGGACCAACAAGAAAACGACAGATAAGCTTCGAACGAGGGCAGAAGAGCCAGTTTGTAACAACAAAGGGAGTAATGAGGTCACTATTCGTCGGCCGGACAGTCTGTTCTTTAGAACTGAATCTATAAGAAAGCTGAACCAAATGCAAGTTTGACACAACTTTCTTGCAGGAGAATCGAAGCACCGTGCTGGCTTCCCGGGCGCAAACTTGGGATTGCAAGGGTTTAAGGGTTCTGGTGCGCGGCCGCGCGCGCGCGCTTACCTGACGTCCTCGTGCTCGAGCTCCGCGAGCAGCCAGCTGAACCAGTTGAACTCCTGCCGATCGCGGCAGATCCAATAGAAGTAGACCTGGGTTACAGAATTGCAGGCGAAATTTAGCCAGAGTTTTCAACATCTGGGTTAGCGGCTATAAGCAACGCTTTGCTTCTCGGTGTGGTTTCCTCTCTGAGTGTCTGATGTAACAAGGTTTGTTACATAGTCTTACGTGGTCAGAAGTTGAGGGGTTGTTGGGTTGGGTCACAAGGACTTTGTGCTTTCAACGTCGATTCGTGACGACTCTTGAAGCTTAACATGCGATAAGCAATTGATTACGATTCGAAATAACCGAAAAAAGGCCAGAACTATCCGTTCTTTCCCCCACTTGTGCTTGCAACCAAAAGTATTTCCAACAAGGTATCCGCCAAGCGGCTCCGGTTCCGCCCTCACCTTGAGCGGAAAGACGGTGTCCAGCGGCCCCCCGGTCGCGGCCTGGCGGCGCCAGCGGAGGCGGATGCTTTTCAAGACGGCGGCAAACGGCGTCACACCGATCCCGGCGCCAACCAACATCACCGTATCGTAGTCCACCACGTGCTCAGACCCCGCCCTAAGGTGGTTAATCAACTCGGTTAGAGGTGGGTTGGAGAGATTGGATCGGTTGAAGTGTGCTACAAAACACGAGTGTTACACAAGGCCCGGCACCCACAAGCATCACCGTCTCCTAGGTTGACACGTGCTCAGATCAGGGTCTAACTGACGGTGTTAAGTTGAATTAGAGGTCGGGTTACGGCTTTCTAAGGCATATTGGAAGTATAATGTTAACCTTAGCTTCGTCGGATATGATTGCAGCTCTTCATACCTATCCTGGAGAATTCCTCACCCATATGGTCCGTCCACCCGGATCAAGGGCGCGCGCGAGATCGCGTCCGCGCGCGCCAGCGGCGTCGCGGCCGCGGCCGCAGCGCCTCCCGCCGGGCGCTCCCCGCTCACGACCTGCTCGAGCGGAACGCCCGGCGGGTTTGTACCAGGAACCTCTCCCTGCCCGGTGGGTACCGCGTTCTCTTCCTTCTGAGCGGCGATCTTGCTCAGCGCTTGCACGCTGGCCGGGGTAGCTTGGGACGCTTCCGCCCGGGGGGATCCCCCGGGATCTTTCTCTCCTTTCCCAAGCTCGGGCTTCGCCCGGGGCTTGGCTCCCCGCCCGCCGAAGAACGACGTCTTTGCGGGAGGGGTTTCGTTTTCTTTTACGGGTTCCGCGGCCGGCTTCGCGTCTGGTTTCTTCGCATCGGCGATGTCCGGGGTTTTAGGGTTTCGGGCGGACGCGGGCGCGAGCGGTGAGAGCGGCTTGGCGCGCGTCGCGCTGGTGGCTGGGGCGGACGCCCGGGACAAGGCGCTGATGTCAGAGAAGTCAACCTGGGAGAAAAGGATCGACTCTCAAATCGAAGCGGTCTGATTTGGCAAGCCGGACTAGTTCAATCCTAGGACCGCTCATGGCTCCTACGGGACGTCAAAGTTGATCACTTGATTGATTTATTTACCTAGTGCTTCGCATGTTGCTTTTTGAGACCCTGGTTTGGTACAAGTATTACGGTTTAATTTACCATCGCCCAAATGATTTGTTTGAGGGACTTCGCTTGCATCCTTTTGGACCCACGACTCGTAGTCCTCGTCTGCAAGGGTGGCTCTAGCGGAATCTTACAGAACTCATGATCAGAACGCCTTTCCCACTCTTCTTCATCCGCTCACGTACAAGCTTGTCAACTGAGCTTTTGATTCAAATCTGGGACGAGAGTCAGGCGCTAGAGATGTTTGCATTAGCCATCTTTGATATCCTTCCGCCCTCACCTCCTTGAGGTTCTCCGGATTCAGCAGCTGCCGCAGCCCCGTCGTCCAGTCGCCACGTGTCCTCATATGGACGGACACGATCGCTTCTTCCGGCGCGCTCGTAATGGTAAACGGATGCCATTCGTGCTTGGAGATCGCCGGGCAGTTTATGTACAGGTACTGCCCCGGTTTGTAGTGGAACCGGTCGATAGCCATTTCGATGCGCATCACATCCGTTCCGGTCGTCTCGTTGCTGCGAAGAAAGGGAGCGTGAGAGCGTGAGTCTTTGAGGCACGCAGTTGTTGGGGCTCAAATGGGTACTTTCTCAAGACTCTGCAGGAGCCAAAGCGAAGCTTATGATAGTCAGAATTCCTGGCATGCACTTTCAAAAGAGGCAGCAATCGAAATGGAAATTAATTTTAATTTTGGCCCACAACACCCCGCAGCCCACGATCCCGCTGCAGAGGATTGGAGCGAAGCAGGGGGCAATAGAACAGACGTAATGCTATACACGTAAGATCAAGTGAGTAGGATTTTGTCAGCAACGTGCGCTTGGGTATAGCATAATCGAGAGAATCACAGGAGCATGTTGGCCATAGGAATAACAATATTAAGAAGCAGAAGCGCCATTTATTGGGATGTGAGCACCAAACAAGGACAGGACCCTTTTATCACCAGGACGCAAGCACTGGTCAAGAACGGGGCGAGTTCTTCCCAGGATGTGAGCCTAGAATGACCGGACGTAAGCCCGATGAAAGCAGGGGCGTATTCTCACCAGGCCCGCAGCAGGCGCACCTCCCGCCCCGACCGCAGGTGCCCCACCAGCTTATCCACAATGAATAGAACCACCGGCCAAAAGCACCACTTGTGGAAAGACGGGGAGTGGATCCAAAGAAGAATGAAAACTAGGATGTAGAGTTGGTGCACGTTGAAGAAGAGATCGTAGCCGCCGATCTTGCGCTTTCGAAAATTGAACCCCTTGCCCCGGCGGATGCTGTTGTGGGCGGTCAAGAACATGGGGATCATTAGGAGCACAATCAGGTGGCCTGCGCAGAGGGGGATTGATTTGAGAACATTGGATTCGGCTCATGGTTTGGAGCTGAGAGTATGTAACCCCAAGTAATCCTGCCGAGCGAAATTTTCTTTGGAGTGTACGGCCTAACTAATATTGCAGTAGTCAGAATGGATGAGCTTGTTTCCTTCGGTGAAAAGCAGATAGAATTTCAGCTCGAGAAACAGGGATAGTCTTTGAAAATTTCACGCTAGAGTAGCTGGCTTCTCTTTATATCTCTGCTGTTGAGCAACCACGCTTCTTAGGAAGAAGGACGAGCATAAAAACAAACCAGAATTGAGATCTATGTATACACAAGACTTCTCTGCAGATCTTCGTAGAACGCATTAGACCTTGCAGGTAAAATGCTGACCTGTGACGCCAGGCAGCGTCTCGATAACGTAATGTCGTAGAATGCCCATCTGGGCGCCCGCCGCGTAGTGCATCGCAATGTGGAACGCGGATGCGAACGCGATCACCGCGGCGACCTGCACACAGGGTTGCGGGGCTCTGAACCCTGCTAAAGCTGCATCTGCATTTTTATTCGCATCGTTCTTGATCTTCGCTCATCTTTAACTTTCCGAGCGGGGACAAGGAACAGTTGTCTTCGCTAACCGGAAGCAGGGACGCTGTTGGACGGTGTCGGTGTCGGTATTTGGTGCCACGGCGGTGCTCTCAGCCCTAGATGCTCACTAGAATGCAAGATCTGGCTTCTAAGCTGTGCTGCGAGGCACAACCTCTGCAGGTTCCACCTAGGGTGTCATTCGAACCGTCAGATTGAGTTCCTCGAGACCATCGACGGTTGGATCCAATTGAAGCCCTGCCTTACGTCAGTGACCACCTTTCCAACAGTGTCCCCAACTCCGATCCTGCGAAGACTGTTTCTCATTGTCCCCGCTCTGTCCGCTGTCCGATCCGAAGTGTATCACGTGTTCGCTCAGAGGACCACAACTTCACACCGAAGGTCATCATGTGTTCGACAATATGGTAAAGATAGCTTCTGGATTATTCAATGCATTTTTTCCGGCGGCGAATGCCGCGGATCACCAGCTTGTGACATACACTATGTTCGTCACTCAAAACCACTCTGAACCACCGAAAACTCCATGTTTCGACAATGTTGCAGAACGTGCGTCAGCTTCGACTATATTTTCTTCGCCATCGAATGCTGCGGCTCACCAGCGTGTGGAAGGTGATGTGTTCGTCCAGCGGGACCCATTCGGACAGCGGCGTCGTCCGCAGCCAGCTCATGATGTTGCGCATCATGGGGAACAGAATCAGCGTGCAGTTGAAGTCCAGCCTGCAGGCAAAGCCCAAAGAATGTCTCACAGATGAATCGCATAGGTTTCTGGTCGTTTACTCAGAGGAGAGATAACAGTCACAACTGGGACGACAATCCGGATGATTTGTGTCGGATCCTAGGACTTCGATGAGCCCATACGGGAGGCTGACGGGTAGAATCTAACAACATAGTCCCGTTGACTGAGCTACTATTCTCGTACAAGTCTGTTCGTAAGACGTACAAACATAGACATGGAACAACGGCCTCCGCAAAAAGCTTCAATGGACTGTTTACCTTCTGAGCCTAAGTTTCTGCCTCAGCTTCTGAATCATTCAGAGGTTAGCGGCGGATTGCTCCTCACATGTATCCTCCTGCTTTGGCAAGTGGGAAGAACGCCCCCGCCGGGCCGGACAGGCGGCTGACGTTTGTGATGAACCTGCATTTTAAAGCAAAGCCAAACCACTAATGTCCAAACAGCTTTCTTTTACCGAAAGAACTTGTGGACTCATACAAGCAGATATAAGCGGACCGAATTAGATTCTGTACTGAACCACGAGGCCTTCAAATTTCGTGGGTAATTGCTCTGAAATCTGCGCACGATCAATACTCAAAGGGATGCGAATTAAGTCTCACCCAAAGTTGTCACATAACGAACTCGAGGCTCGAGACCGACAAAAGGTCAGTCCCTCACATTGTTTAAGGCCTTGGGATGACAGCCCTTCTATCTTCCAATCAAACGATGCTTCTTCTTTAAAGAAAATCGGAAACCCAAAAACCCAAAAACCCCGAAACCCTGAAACCCCAGAACCCTGAAATCCCAGAACCCTGAGCCTCCAAAGCGCCGCTCACCCGTCGAGAGCGGCCGCGGCCGTCAGCGTTCCGTAGATGCCCAGGAACCGGTTTCCCCGGCCGAGGTTAACCCACCATGTAACCAGCGGGTTATACGGGCCTGAGTGGCCGGTTAGTCCGCCGGGGGCGCCTTTTCTCACCGGGGTGTCGGGAGGCGTGGGAACGGAAAGCACCATGCCGTTTGGCCCGGTCGTAATTGCGCCCGGTGAATCTGCAGATGGGTGTTTAAGAAGTCGGTTATTTCTGGGATCTCCTCCTCCTATGTCTCTAGATGGGCACTGTTGAAGCACATGTTGCGGAGTGGGGACAGCGAGCACCAATCCGTTTGACTCGCTCCTAACGGCACTGGGCGAGGATGAGAAAAGGCGGGTTTGACCTGTCCGAAGTAGAAGTTCAAGAGTGCTCCAAACAACGTTCCTTGGAGCGAAGCTGGCACATCAGAGACTTGGAAACCACAAGATTAGGTTCAACTTGTCTTCCTGGATCTCGTTGACCGTTCCGTAAATCATCCGCAAAACCTGCCGGTGTGAAGCAGCACTGGCCTGTAACACGATCTTTGCTGTTCACTGTTATCATTCTTTTGGTAAAGTGAGGCGCTGCAAACGTTTCTGTAAAATGCAAACTGAAAGCCGGTTAACCACCGTTTCCAGCACAATTTCAGCAGCTTTTTCAGCGGATAAACTAATGCCGGACACCTTATCAACTTACTCACTTACGGCCCCCAATTTGAGTCACTGCCAAGATAGTCTAACACGGCCCGAGCTCGGTTTGCCATTTCAAAGCGGAAGAAATCATGACACAGCGCGTAGAGACGACAAATGGTGCGGAGAGGCAACAAACTAGAGGTGGGCAAAAAAAGGCGAACCTGGAGCTGCTGCCGAGGTGACAAGCGAGTGCACTGGGGGCCGTCTCCAGAAGAAGAGCCGCCGCTTCGTCCTGCACGGCACGTGGCACCTTGGGATTGGTTCGATTCTTGGTTGTATAGCTGTCCGTTTTCACACTTTTGGTGCGAAAGCACCATAAGAGAGCCTTCAGCAAATTCATATTTCAGATGCTTCATGTGGGGAGATCTTAGGGGTTCCGCTTGTTGTGTGACGAAGACGGATATGTCCCTTCTGCTGTGATGCTTCAAAACAATTCCAGAGCCTCACATGAAACAGGCACGATGATAGAGTGCGTGACCGAGGCCCCAGCCAACCCTTCTCACAGCTGCGAAGATAACCGGCGCGAATCTCAGATTGACATTTCTATCTCAAAGAATTCCTGGGCTCACATCTCAAGGTTTCAAAAACCCATCAGGTTTTGTACAAGATACCTGCTTGTCCTTCAATCGCCCCTGTTTCGTAAGTTTCAATCTCGGTTGCCCTGCCTTGAAAAGGTTATACCCGCTGGAGCAAAATCGAAGTGCGAATTTCTCCGTTGTCCTAATGTCTAGCTTACCTAGCGATGATGATCGCTGAGCCCAATCCGACCCCTCCCCCGGCCTCCGCCCCGACCCAAAACGCCGCCAGCAAGAACACCCCGGTTGCAACTACCAGTAACCCGACCACTGACCCAATGATTATGGCGGGTAGATTGGGTTTTCTTTTCCCCGGGCCGACGATAACGGTCAACTTTTGTGACCGGTTGGAGAAGGCGTTGTTCCGGGTCGACATGAAGTGCATGGTGCCCTGAGCGCGCAGCTCCACCAGGCCGCCGTCGAAATATGCGGGGGCCGCGTTTAGGACCTGGCGCAGCAGTGGGTTATGCAGTTGTAAGACTGAGCTCAAGAAGGCTTTTCTTTGGCGGAAGGTCTACTCAAATTACGAGCGCAGGTGGACGAAAAGGTAGCAGTGCTGCATACGTGTCTCCAAGACTCCGCCAAATCAATGGGTCTCTATTGGTCATACACAGTAGCTAAGAAACTTAGAAGTCTCGATACTGAGCACTTCATTTTCTGATACTGTTACCCTAAGCAGCTCACGAAGTTTGAACTCTGCTGGATCATCGCAGCCTTACGAGGACTCCACACCAAAAACTTTGAGTCTCGTCCGAATCTGAACTTTAAAGGTTAGCTGGTTATCCGTAACCTTTCCAAACCTTTTCCTGACCTTGCAGTTGTCCAGCGCGTTCTGGTCCGTCTCCCCCGCGTTGCACCCCGTCTGGTTGAGGTACGCGAAGCGCGCGAGCGCCGCGGGGTCCGCGCTCCCGTTGCGCGCGAGCAGCAGCGTGTTGGACGCCGCGGACAGCGGCACGTTCGCGGCCGCGGACGCGATCTGGACCAGGTTGCTGCGGTCCGTCGACGTCCGGCCCTGCGTTTATGACATCATGATGTCAGCATCGAGGTACGTTTCCAATCTAGTAACCGCTGTATACAAATCCGCTGAAGTCAGTCTGTCCTCTGACTCCGGCACTTTGACGTCACTGTGCCCTCTTGTACATTTACTACGTCTCGGGCGGTTCTAGGGGGATGAGATCGGACAGCGAAGCACGAAGCCGCGCGCTTCTTTCTGATACGTTCGTAAGCCAAGACTTCCATACAGAATCTGAAAAGGTGTGAGGATTCTTAAGGCCCAGCTACGGACGTACGTTTCCATTGTTCCCCTGGCTATTGGCGTCCGAGCCAGTCCACTGTATATGTAGCAGGTCGCCCACACCCGCGTGGAAGCGCGTCGGCACGAAGTCGTACTCAACGGAAGGGTACACCTGCAGGTCAAATGCAGAGGATTTGACGGCTGAATGCGCGTATGACAAGCTTGAAAATTCACTCCGATTCTGGAAAGGGTGCGGCAGTCGTTCCATGATCGCCAGAGACGCTGATCAGCATGCTGCAAAAGGTTTTGAGCTTCAAGGAAGTTTTCCTAAGGAAGCTTCGTGTTCCTGCATTTTACCATTCGCCAAATCTGCTTATAAAATGCGACACGAAACGGGTGTCAAAGGTGAGCATCTAAGTATCAAAAGACGTTCGAACAAGAACCTCACCTGTACAATGTTCCCCCTCCTACCTCTGACGTTAACGTTGATGATGCGCGTGTCATCGTCGACGTCAGCGGGGCGCGACTTGAGGACCCACACGTGCGACCGGTCCTGGAAGGTCCGTCCGAACTGGGCGGTGTTCATCGCTGCGAGAACGGAAGGGCACGTTTTTAAGATAAAACAGAAGGGTTAGGAATATTTCGATACGACGCCTGTCTCTAAGCTGACGTTGTGAACCCTCGCTTGCTCAACTAGGCTTACATTGAGTCGGCCCTTCATCTCAGAGAGGCAGAGACAAACGAAGTGATTCTGTGAGCCTGTGCCGTCATGTAGAACGGAGCTGAGAACGTCGTCAACCGAAACCGTTATCGCTTCTCGTTTTACAGCTGATCCCAGAAGCGCACTGCATGAAAAGGGCCGCAGAATGGGAGCTCGTAGCTTCCCAGCCAGTTCCAACCCCTGGGCCACAAAATACCTTTTCCCGCAATTCAAGCAAGGAGGGTTAGCATTGAAGTTCCCCCCTGGTTATCGATAACAAGGGACGCTGACTCTTACCTAGTCTCAATGGGCCTGTTTTGTTGTACCCTAACCCGAGGTAGTCTTTCTCCGGGTTATTGGTAACCGGGCTCCGATCATTGTTGTTTCGCGAGTCTACGCCATCCAATCGGCCCACCGGCCAGGCGGTGAAGTCGGTCGTCGTGATGTTGTAGCGAATGCGGAGGACACACGTGGCAGCCTGCAGAGGTAGCGTGTCGCTTTGACATAGAGTCTCCGCTCAGAACATTTGCTCAAAAACGTTGCTTCGACAGCCGAGACGGGATATGCGAAAAGACAAAAGAACGTTTTCTTGCAACAGAGCGGAGAGCGAGCGGAAGCGCGGCACGGACCCGGAAGCGGAACTGGGCGAGAGAGAGGACCTCGCGCGCTGAAGCCAGGGTTGAAACTACGTCTACACTCACGTCGCATATACGTCACATCTCCCACCCTGTTTCGTCCTTTCTAAACACAGGAAGCGCGGCACACCAAATGGCTGCGAAGAGCACCGATTCCTGAGGTGGAAGCGCTAGGTACGAAGACAGCAAGCATCAAGGAGCGAAGGCTAAGCAAGCGGAGCCATCAACCGGTCCGTACCGTGAGACCGGGGGGCGGGTTTGGCAGCGTCCAATTGTAGCTGGCCATGCTTCCCCCGACGACGTCTCCCAGGTGGTTGTCCCGGGAGATGGGCACCGGGCCGCAGAAAGGGGGCGGCAACTTTCGCGGCGACGTTTGAGTCCAGGTGCCGCCTGCCGTGCCGCCTTCGCAGGCGGCCTGGTTGTTGTACTGAGGAAGCGAGCAGAAACCTGAGAGCAGAGATGAACGTGTTCGTCGCTTGGTTGAGAGTCAGAATCAGCAGCTTGGTTGAGTGGTCGGCTTGAGCCTAGTCCTGCCTGATCACTCACATGCTTTTCAGTCGTGGTTCAATTGCAGGGTTTCCAAAGTCACCATGTCGATAGGCAAAGCTGACAACTCCGTCAGAAGGTCGGCTGGGAGCCTATCCTGCTTCGTGAGTCGCATTCTTCAAATCTGTGGCGGGTAGCACAAATCAGCAATTTCTATTGATGTCAACAGTCAAAGTCGGCACCTCCTAAAGGCAGGCTTGGGAGCATATACCCAACTCATGACGTGCACGCTTCGAGATCGTGGCAGTAGCCACAGAGAAAACACATCGAGCTGCCAAATTCTACCAAGGTTTGCGGCCGAACAAGCGGTTGAGATGGGCGATCCAAGGGACAGGCGGCATCAGGAAACCTCTGTTAAATGCTCACATGGAATCTTGACCTGCAGGCAGCGGCATAAAAACGGTCTCAGATGCTCTCACCTCTGCCCTTGACGTTCTCGCTCTCCCGCGCGTAGTACGGACACCGGGTGGTGTCTGACGTCAGCACCGCCGCGTCGTTCCACATGGTTGGGTGCCAGTACGGGTAGTAGTCACGCTCCTCCGGACACTCGAAGCCGTACCTGCAGAAAATAGCACCAATCTTATGTTTCCTTTAGGGCTATGTTGGGTTAGATGACGCTCGGGAGACGAGTGGGTTTGATTTGGAGATTTAGGGTGGGTACGGGTGCGGAGCATGTCAATGTTGGATCTAGGATGTTGATCTGTTGAGCCCAGGGAAATGATCTCGCGCAACATACGCTCAAGGCAACGCAGAATCGAGATGTCTTCTGCCGGGTTAAAAAGGTTGGCATGCGGGGTTAATCTAATAACGGGACAGGAACGGCGTCATCGAGAAGTATCATGACTTTTGTAAGGAGAGGCATCGACATAGAATGGCACGGCCCTCATCGCCCGCCTTAAAGTCAAAATCTTTGGGAAGAAGGCTGGCGAGATTCACAAGAGGGAGGGTGTAAGAACGAGATGTGTGAGAAGCGTTATCTTTCTGCAGGGACGCTTATGGTCCGGATGCTTCTCCGACTCATTGGACAAGAAGGGATGGCGAAGGAAGGTTCAAGAACGGGTCCTTTTGAAGGGAAATAGACAAAGGAAGTAAGAAAAGGGCGACTCACATGTCCCGCCGCTTGCCTTCATGATTTGGGCATATTTGCATTAAAATATGATCTCCGAAACGTCTGATTTCCGGGCAGCCCACCTGTTGCCATTCTCGTTCTGCCTCGTCGACGTCGCGCCGATGTCATCCCGCATGTTACGGTCCGCTGTGAATAGGCCCCGGTTCCGCTGCCTGGCCCGGCAGTCACTGTAATACTGGAACGACTCGTGGCGACCAGAGGAGGGGTCCACGTCACCCGCTGACGTGGCAGTGATGGTAGTCGTTTTGGTTCCGTCCCGGAGCGTGCTGTTGTCAGCGGGGGTCGAGTCGCAAGCATACTGTGGGTTAAGAAGGAGGATTGCTTTCAAATAAAGCGGGAGTGAGCGCAAGTGGGCTACTTTGAAGACGTTTTTGCGGATTGGGTTGCATTACTGACATAACTCTAGCAGTGGAGAGGTTGTACGTGATAGCGGACGAGTTGATCGAGCTGGATTTGAAGTAAGCACTGGAGATTGTCGGTGCCCAGGCCAGTGTATTGCCGTTTGAAACAAGCAGATCATGTGCTCCCAGAGTGATGGAGATGCGAAAAAGGATACCCGCTTTTGACATGGTGGACGAACGGTTCTGTTCTTTCACCGCAGCCAGATATCGCCCCCAAGAAACAGGGAGCATTATCAATGCTCAAAGCGCCCCAGACAAAAAAAGTCTTGTCCTTGTGTGACCAGAAGAAATGAGCCCCACTTGGCCCAACCCTGCTCACCTGGATAATGATGTCACACCGCGTGTTGGGCCCCAGATTCTCCGGCGCGCAAGCGTGCTGGTTTGTCCACTCTAAGGATAGCTCCGACCCTGCGTAATAGTACATCGTTCCTTTCCCCGCTCCAGGTTTCTGGCTGTCATACTGCTGGTTCGCATTTTGACACACAGGCTGACAGTTGTCGCCGACTTGGTACCCCCCATTATCGTTGTTTTGGCTGTCAAATAACCGGTTGGCGTTGTTCCGGGTGTTGGATTGCTGAGGGCAGGGTTGGAAACGAGGGGTCAGAAACTTGTACCAGTCCGCTTGCAATTGCATGATAGGTGGTGTCATTGGTGGATGTCGCAATCACACGGCACAAGCAGAAAATCCCCGTTGTCTGCCCCTAAGGCTCAAGTCTGACAGGACAGTAAACGCGTCAGACTCTGGAAACTTCCATTGCTGCAGGCTCAGTGCTTTTGCACCATTCCATTTGCGACTCAGATTGTAGAACTAGAATGCTGCTCTTCAGAATCTCCTTTAAACTCGCGGTCCTTTGCACAGTATGCTTTGCTACAATGGGGCGATGCCATTAGTGGCCGGGGCATCAGAGCTTGTCCGACTTCTGGTCCAGTCAGATTCAGTGCAAGACCTCAGCTTCACATGAAGGTTTGGCTGCTAACCATGTTCACTAACCAATTTTCAGTCCGGTTCTTTTACCAGTAACCGCGTTATGACCATGTTAGAATTCTGGCCACTGCTCGAGTCTGGTCATTAGACAGTTGACCAGCTTCAAACCAGCCCGTGACCGACTATGGTCAAGAAACCCTGTGCTTTACCACCGCAGAAAAACAAGTGCCCCGCTGAACCACAAGGATGCAAACCAGACCACCTGCATTGTGCTGCTCGCTGATCAACAAAGTGGTAACAAGAACCTCCCCAAAAGAGTGTAATCTTTCATTACACTAAGGGATAAGCGAGAGGTGCCCTGGGTTGTTCCAAAGGTAGACTTTCACGTACCTCATTGAGCTTATTGTTTGACCCCCGGGGGTTGTGCATGTAAATATCCCCCTGCACAGGCTGTGCACCCAGGAGCAGCAACGCCAGGCAGAGAGGCACGAGCAACTTAGCCATGTCAGATTCTCCACCGGGACTTGATGACGGTTTGTATCAGCTCGGTACGCTTTATTGCCAGATCAACAATTGCTCAGAGCTGCGGGCTTTTAAGTTTGCTGTTTAGGCCGTTGGATGAGAAGTTTCTAGCTAAGCAAGGCATATTTTGACTCGTTTTCTCCATACACTAGCTAGCTCGTAAGTACTCTGCCGCATTTCGTTGACGTTCTTAGCTGAGCTTATGAAGAGACTTTAGCAAGGGGTCCCTTGACGGTTTCAAGCTTTACCGGCAATTGCCTTTTTTCAGAGCTCTCAAGCCTCTCAATTGCAATTGAAAGGCGGACCAGACGTTCAGCTCATGCGGGCTTTAGGTGAAGCTGGTTGAAGGCCCTGCATTTTCTAGGTAAAACCAAGAGCCCTCAGCGCAGCTCATTTATTACGCTGGTAACATATGGCTGGCTGATTTATCCGGAGACCTCCTTTGCCACTGCCATACTTGGGGCCCTTGCTTCCTTGCTGAATGGACCAAAGCCTAATTTTATAATTTAATGGGGCTTCGTTCCCGAACTTGTGCTTGCAAGCAGCCGGGGGACGGGTAGGTTTGATCTGGTGGTAGGGTGCGGAGCAGATCGTGGGTTAGAATTGTGGTTGAGGTGCTCGGGGCTTTTGAAACTCAGAACAAGCTCTTCACCACCGGCTAGGGCGACGATCTCAACTTGAAACGCCATAAATAACGCGCGCAGAACTTCAACGGCTCAGATGCCCTGGGAGGTCTGGGACTTACATTATCGACGGCAGCATCAGGACGTACCGAGCGCACCCGTCTCCTTCTCAAAAGGACAGGTGTCAGCTCACCGTTGGATGGACCCTTTTGGACCTGCGTACACCTAACAGAACTGCGCGGCCAATGTATTTCTGTAGGACCTTAGGACAGAAATACATTGGCCGCAGTTCTGTTGGAAATCGCTAGATTTCAACTGTCGCAGTTTTCCAGTTTCCAACGGAACTGCGGGTTACATTGAACAGTTTTCCCCGCAGTTGAGTCCGCGTGACCCCCCCGAAACATTGGCGCTGTGGTGCGCCAAATTTCAAATTTCAAATTTCAAATTGCTCAACCGTACGTACCGATTCTGCCGGTCTGCACTTCTCGGGGTCGGTACGCCTACGTGGAGGCAAACCGGTGGCCAGGAAGACTCCAAGGTCGTCCAAGGAACTGTGAAATGACCTCCAAAGGACCTCACCGAGGTCCTTTGGATCTCTAGCTCGCAGTTCCGTTGATTCCGGAAGATATGATCTGAAAGTTCATTTCACCGGGGGGCATTGGCCGCATAACTGCGTCAGTTCTTGATCAAGAGAGCAACTGTGTAATGTAAGCGGCAGTTCAGTTGTAAAAAATTCGAAAATCCAACTGAACTGCGGCCAATGTATTTCTGCCCTTAGTCTGAGGCTACCTATATTGCTACCTTTGCGGACGCGTTCGAAAGCTGACCAATGGTGACGTCAGTGCCGCCACAATGGCGGCAGCTTAGTAGAATTTGCCTGTGCTGACTCCACTCCACTCCACTCCAGAGGCCAGCTAGGGCAACTGGCAAGAAGTTCCTGAGGCGCGCGCTAGCGTTGGCAGCCCGACATTCCAAGTGCAATCGACCACCTGGCCGCGGTCGCACTGCATCCTGCCAACCTTGAATGATCCACGCTGACTTCTTTGTTCGCAAGCTCCTTGAACTTTCTCAGCATTGCTAGGCACCCGTGCTCTGGCAAGATCTGAAACAATGGAAGTCGCTACACTGAGTGGCAACTTTCAGCAGGCATGGATTCCACAAAGAGAGATGCAGACTGCAGGTTCGAAGAGCCCTTCTGCCCACCAGGTCCATAAATCCGTTCGGATTGCCAGATCTGATGCTGGTGCGTTGAACAAGAAGTCAGCCCTAGTCGCTGGTTGGAAGAACGGCTTGGAGGCTTTGAGTAGGGACGTGTTTGGCAGCTCGTACAACCATCTTTCTCCGACGTGGAAGAGATCAATTGCGGTTAAGGAGAAGCGACTCTATCAATGGTTTGCACAGAAAGCAAAGGGGACAGGTCAGCGGACAAGACACATTGCTGCAACGGCAGTAGGAGAGGAAGCTGTTACTGGAAGCCAAGAGAAGAAGGATTCAAAGGCGTACCGGCCAGTTGTCATTCTTCCAGTAAGCAAGATCTGTCCTGCATTAGATTCTCAGGATGGCTGGCTGGGGTTTGAGTGGTCGAGTATATTTCTGCGTCTTGCTTTTCATGGTGGTATGTTTGAAAAGTACAGTTTTGAAGTAAGAGTACCTGTCATGCCAGTTCAGCACTCAAGTCCAAGGTTGCTGATGTAGTGTTTCATCACTTTCATAGGGAATGCTGTCAGCAGTGCCGGGAATGACATTTCATGGCGAAGGCCGTCAAAAGCTGCCGAAAACTGGGGTGGTGTCGCACAGCGAATTATCGTCTGACAAATATAACAGATAAGCCATCGCTGGCAAGCCACTCTTTGCCATTTTGAAAAGCTCGATCTCAACTGGCAGCTGCAGGGATAAACAGGTCGCCGGCAGATGCCGAATATCTTCACCAAAGTTGAGAGTTAGCAGTTCCCAACAGAGGCATTGAATCAGGCCCTCAGAGAATCAGTTTGCCAGTAATAGACGTGAATCCTTATCTGAATCGCAAAATTGGGGGTCCATCCTGATAAGCATGTAGAAATTGAAACTCATAATCCTTGGAATTGATCTGCCCACCCACAAAGTAACTCGGGTGCTTGCGTACCCTGCAATGATGTTGTCAGAGAAGCTTCTACTGCACCAAGCTTCTGCAACTCACCTTTACTCCCCCCATCACATGCTAAGGTTGTGCGTCTCCTCGCTGATTATGGCCGCCCTGCCCAATGTGCAGGGTTTGGGAAACAACACTGGAGACTATGCCAAGCTCGAGCAAGACTTAGCAAAGCACGGGTTGACAGCCGTCACGGCCCAGGTGTCGCGCCCTGATTGGCTGCGGAATGCTGCAGGCCTGTTGGATGGAGCGTACTGGAGAGGAGAATTGAAGCCGCGGCCCGTCTTGGACTGGTATGTTTTTAAAATTTCTGTACCAAATTAGTTATGTCTCGTAAGCATTTAATGCCACTACTTAGATCGTGAAAAGTCCACCGGAACGGACAGCTATTTTCTGGTTGTCGGCACTGGAACAATCATCGCTATGAATGGACGGGATGGCTGATGGCAATGTGTTCACTCTTACTACTGAAAGAATCTTTGGATGGGATGCCTGGAAGTCAGTAGGGCAAGTGTGCTTCCATCCTTATCGGTTGCCCTAGTCTCAGGGCTGATTTTTTTGTTGCAAGTCATCGAGCAGAACTACTGCGTCAACCGTAGGTTATCTTTACAAAAGAGTTCCGATCATTTTCATGAGCACTAGGTATACCAATGCGCATCAGCGCAACCTCTGCGCAGAAACTTAACACGGCAGACAGACAAGCCCGCTTGTCAAACTCTGTCCTCTTCCTCATCTAGGTATCTCGATCGCATCAGAGATGCGATTGCGTCCGCAAAAGCGCAGACAGACAGTTCTCAAGTGACACTCCTCGCACACTCTGCCGGGGGCTGGCTCGCGCGGGTTTACCTGGCCGAGTTTGGGACCGCTGACGTGGCAGCGCTCGTCAGTCTCGGGAGCCCGCACCTGCCGCCTCCCAGGGGGATCCCCGGGGTGTTTGATCAGACCCGGGGGCTGCTATACCACGTGGAGGACAATTGCCCGGGAGCTTTTCATGATGAGGTCAAGTATGTGTGCATTGCTGGGAGGTGAGTTCTTCCGACCCTAACTCGCTAGCTTAAGTCGGAGCTGTTGTCAAAGCTGTCGTGGCTCTGGATCTACAGAAGTAAGGGTCATGTACTTATGGAACGTGTCTGATAACGCCTGCCAATGTTAAGGTGGTTGACCCGGATCGAAATCGAAATGTCACGGGTTTAGATCCGGAAGGGTACTCTATTTCATGAATGTTTGCCAGTTTCGTAAGAGGAAAACCCTTGTGTAACATGGCGATCTGGCACTCTGTGACCACAAGCTGACAACCTCGTGGGCTCCGGAAGACGATATTTACCGCGATTGATGAAGGTTCCCAGAAAGGTCGATGCCTGAACAATTTACAGAGGGATCCGTTTCTCTACTCGTACTTCTAAGTTACTTAAGTCTCTGTCCTAAAGGATCGTCGAGCATTTTAAAAGCAGTTCTGCCCCAATCAAAACCCAACCCTCCAGTACTTCAGAGGACGCTGAGGTGTCTACTAAGCCTACTTACAGGCCTTCTGGTTCCTTCTTTCACCTGCGACTGGGGACGAAGCTCAGATCCTCCCACCTTCCACCTCCCACCTCCGAATATTGACTTTAAAAATAGGACTCCAGTGGGCGTCGGGGTCATCTAACAGACGCCGCACGCACAGCATCGCTTTAAACCTTCAGATTGAGCGGCTGCTTTGTTTTACCAGGTACATCAAAGGCGCGAGGTTCTTCGACGGTGATTCGGAGCCCGAGCACGGCGTTGGGGCGACCATTTCTGGCGCTGGCAGTGCGGTGGTCGCCACAGCTACAGAAGCAGCAAGCACGCTGGCCGGGGGTGGCCTTTCCGAGGGAACGGGGCCCCTAGGCGAGGGGGCTGCAGGACCGTCGACGTGGAACCGGAAAGTTGTCGGGCAGGGTTACAAGCAGGTGAGCGCACCGGATTTTGCTAACCCCATTTTTGTTGGAACGATTCTTTGTCACCGCAGAGGTTCTCTTAGATTTCCAGCGGCGCTATGGTTGCCACACGGAGGGCTTTGAGTCGGTTAAGCGAGGGCCAAGGCGACGGTTTGGCAAGGAGGGGACCACAGCAAACGTTTATGTTAAACCGTAGAGGGTTAGGGTTTGCACGCTCCTTCAGAGGGAGTCCCCAAAGCTGTTTGCGTGCTCTTAGCGATTCCCTTTCTTTGCTTGGATCATCTCCATTTGTTGTAGCGTGCGAATCGTCGGGAAAAGTAATCTCTGAAGCCATTCTGAACCTACCGAATGAACATCCGCGTTTAGGCGTGAATCCCCTGATCTTGCCTTGCTTTCAAGACTATTCTATGGCCGTGGCAAACACTTTGAACTTGAAAACGCCGCGTTTACCAGAAAGTTATGCGCTCTCTTTTGTAATGGAAGACGGAGGACCTGCTTTCGATCCGACAAGCTCACAATCTCCTCGTGCTTTACTTTTGTCTAACTTCCTCGTAGAGTGTGCATTGGTAGCGAACGTCTTGATTAGCCATGCCGCGAGATGTTCGGTAACCTTCCAAGCAATAAGAAATGCCTCGAAACAGTTTCTAAAATAGTAGCGATTACAATCTCTAACAAAGAAGGATAAACCTTTCTTTGCTTTCAGGTTCTTAACTCACGACAACGATTCCTGCATTCTGATGCATATTGCAAAGACGCTATTTCTCTTTTTTCGCCAATCTTTTTGGCTGTTGAAAGACGGTTGTTTTGCAGGTTTGCGGCGACCCGGAGGCGTGGGGCGATGGAGTGGTTCCAGAGCAGAGCGCGCATCTCGAGGGCGCCGTCAACGTGACGCTCGACGGCGTGTATCATTCGCCCGTGGGAGTCGTTGAGAGCACTGAAAACGGAAATGCTAGGGGTTCGCGAGTCTGGTATGGATCGCCCGGGTTCCTTGAGGAGTGGGTGCACCATTTATTGGATTGAGAGAAGCTCGCAAACCGTGTTGATTATACATTCGTTTGCACATGTATAATAGCTAGGGCAACCTGAAAGTTTTCGTCGTCTATGTGATTTGTGAAGTGCATGTTGTATATGGACAAGCAGCACGGTACAGTTGTCACAATGTTGTGATCTGGTTATCTAGAGCAATTCACCTTACTTTATCGGTTGACAAACCGTTTCTATTGGTGAGCCTCCCACATACAGCGGAGGAGATGGTACCCAGCAGTCTAACTTCCAAACGAGCATGACAAGGTTGGTTGTCAGCACGCTAGTATGCGAGCGTGTGAGTGAGTATCCTCTTACTCACGTTTGAATCTGAAGCTGCCTCATTGGCCCACCCTAGGATTGACAACGGCTGTCTGCGCAGCACGAAACCGCCAAGCTACAGAGTTCCCCGTCTTGTCCGATCATACTTATAACGCCTCAGTGATTGGGGCAGCAGAGCGACCGCACATGCTGAAAGGAGACCTGGCCCGGTCGAGCGTGTTTGCCACTATAACCACTGCCCACACCATTGCGCAATCATGATCTTGGGCGGCCCGGCCGGCCAGTAAAACATGACCGGCCCGCCTCGGAGAGGCGGCGGGGGCTTGCCTCTCATCGATGCAAACCGTGGTTTTTCATTCATCGGGTTTCAGGCTGACTCTTAGGCCGGTATTTGAGACCCGACCTTCGTGCATGGATCAACCATACGTAGTAGCACACTGTGTCACCCGGTCAGACTGCCCCAAGTTAGGGGCCCCAAAGTGACCGACACCGAGAATTAGACTTCGAAGGGCGTTACAGCGTTACGTTGGGTTCATTCGAGCGGCTACGCGGGCGCATTCGATGGCGAGGCAGTTTCGATGCAGCCGCGCGAGGGAGTCTAAAACGAAGTGGCCATAAGGGTGTGCCAATCTGTTTCGGCTTTGCTGTACGTTTTCCGTCGAACGCCAGCCAGGTCCAAAATTCAGCGCAGACTGGGGTCACTCAGGGCCCCGCACCGCGGCGTCGTACAGTGTCGCCCGAACCGCGACGTTCCCCAAATACTGTAGCGCTCTCTTTACTAAGAGTAAAGAGGCAAGCCAATATGCAACCCGGCAACGTCATGGTACTTTATCAAGCTGACATTTGGCCGCTGTGCCACACACCGTAGGTAGCGCAAACAATATCTAGATCGACTGCATGCATGTGATGTATGTACGGTACATGCCTGAGCCTTCGATCGTAGAGGTCGGATCACTTGAGGGCCCTATGTTATCGCACGGGCTAGAAACAGGCCCGTGGGGGCCGCACGCTCGCGGCAATAAGTCTTGAGCTTTGAGTCGTCGCACGCCAGAGACTTTTACATGAGCAATTTATTGAACAAAGTGATTGCATGTGAAAGAGCATATCCTACATATGCGCGCGCTCAACTACATGCTTTATGAAACCGACGTCGCGATCAAGCTGGCCGTGGCCCGTGGCGCATCTGTTATAGCCTGGCAAGCTTTGCGGCCTTCTAAATATACACTTAAGAAGCAGGAGACAACTTGCACTCCTAACAGACGATTGAGCTTGATTGACACATGAGCACCATGACACGTGATGAAAGGCTACAATCTGCACATGATCCACGACGGTTAGTATAGCTATAGTGCGCGGCAATACATGCGTTGATTATCTGGAACTGCCATGCCCGACTAATATGATAGACGTGAGACTAAGTTTAAGTAGTTAGTATCAAGGATCGATGCAGGTTTGAATGACCTGATGCAACTGATATTGAATGCCTTTCTTATAATCATGCAGAATGCAGAATGTCAAGGTCCAGGCTCTGGCTGAATTGGGGCTATCGATGGAGATCCTTTTTGCCAACGCTCCTATGCCTGCTTGCTTTGAAGTCTTGGTTGCAACGTGCGGGCAAACCTTTTCAGCGCTGACAAGAGTGACTGCCCTTTGACCAGACACAACCTGGACGTGCATTAAGGTACCTACTATGGGCGCATCATTAAAAAGGCGCCAGATATCTACAGTTGACTCAAACGATCTATTTACGAAGACACGTACCTAATACTCGCTCAACCCGCCTTCATTGCGCGGACTGGCACCCTCCAGATTAGTGCGACTGACGAGCGGCTAAACGTACCCTGTCTGACTGTTGCGCTCAACTCCCCTGCAAGTGGGCGCGAGCCACGTGGCACCAGCCCAGAGGGGCAGCGCTCGGCTTTTCTGGAAAAGCGCCACGTGTCCGCCCACTGCCGCAAATCCACTATGCTCATTGTGCGCTACACAATGGCCGCCCTAAAGCGACGACTCCTATACTACTGTAATAGCGACCACGGTACTGTGCTCTGGTTCCACAAACAAGCAAACACTAACCAACACTACTGGACCCAAAATGGGTCAAGATATCAACGGCTGATATGGTTAATAAGCTCGTATCCAACTACGTACGTCTTCCCCTCCAATAGCTGCGCAATCGCTTCGCGCACGCGAGCGTACGTGCATCCAGCTGGTGCGCGAATTGCGCAGACCTCGCGCGCTCCAAGGTGCGCGCGCGCGTCCCCTAATCCTTCCCCCGGGCCGCTTTACGCCCTCCGGGCGTCTCTACTTCGAAACAGTGTTCAGTTCCACTCATTTTTAGAACCCATTTTCTGAGCCCACCAGAAGGTTCGGGCAATCCTGCGCGTATCCCCACCTATCGGGTCTTCTCGCACCTTTCTCCTACTGAGCCGAAGCTCAATGCGCGCCCTCGATGAGCGGCCCAGAGCATGGGCAAACGGCTGACGTAAGCCTTACGTCAGCTTGACCTTGCTGGCAGAATTCCACTTATATTATACCTCCAATCATCTCACTCCGCCTCCTAAGTGACGTCAACTGTGCCAAGCATGGTCTGCGCCTACCTCTTCAACATTTCGACGTCTACCATTTCGAACGGGGGCCTTTGCTCGACTCTTCCTCACTCGACCGGGCCCCCCTGCCCTCCGCCGGGGGATCCTCCCTACGCCGGGCCCCAGGCGCGCGAGCATCTTCCATCGCGCGCGCTTCCACAGGCCCGCGCGCGCCGCCCTCATTAGCGCGCGGCTGGGCCGCCCCCTCCCCGGGCGCCGCCGGAACGGCCCCCTGGCGCGCGCGCTGCGCGCGCGCGGCGTCGAGCGCTCGCTGCAGATCTGCGACGGCGCTTTGGAGCGCTTCGATCTCCTGCGTCTGCACGTGGTAAATCGCGAAGGCCTCAGCTTCTAAAGTTTGGGGTAGCTCACTCGAGGACTTTCCATCGAAACTTCAGATACAGAGGAAACCTAAACCCAGATTACGACGAAAACCTAAACCAAAGGTTTGGAAAAGCTCTTGCTTGCCAGGCTATAGAAAGCTGGACTCGGGAGGCTGGACGGAGCGAAGAACGAGGCGAGAAGTCGAACACAAGAACCAAAGCCGAGGAAATTAAAGCACTTAAACAGGAATGATAATTGCTGAACGTGCCTGTGACCAGACCACCTGTACAAGGTCAGCCGGTGGATTTCAGTACTAGCTTCAGCGTCGGACCGGAAACATACGGTTTCGACAATATGAGGTACGACAGGAAAGCAGAACCTTCGTCAAACCGAACTGCAAACCGTAAATCAAACGCGCTCCGCACCCGCACTCACTCTACCCACCAGACCCAACTCCACCCGTCGAAAAATAAAGCAAGTGACACGAGGAAGTAAGAGGTTGCTCGGGCTAGGCTGAAATGTGTCACCGAAAAAGTCGGCGACCCACCTGCAGGGAGTCGCGGCGGTTCGCGTGGTCCAGCTGTCCGCGCAGAGAGCGGAGGTCGTTCGACTGCTTCTGTGACAGGTCGAACAGCTTCTGCATGTCGTCGGGCCAGTCCTGCTTACAGCCGCACGTCTTGTTGCGCAGCTTGTCCAGCCTGTAGGGGAGAGTGCGCGGGACTCAAAATGATGCCGCGCATCGGGAGGTTGAGGCGCAGCTATGGACGAACAAAACGCGCGCGCTTTTGGAAGGACAGGAAGACCGCTTCGTGTTGGCAAAAGGGAATGCGCGTGGCTCAAAAGGGAGGTCGCGCGATGGAGAGGATGGGGCTTCAAACAGACATGAAACGCGCGCGCTTTAAGGAGGAAGGGTAGCGCACTCCGTCTTGACTGAGGTTCCGTGCGTTGCATACGGAGATAAAGTGGAAGGGGCGCATTGGGGGAGGAGAAGGAAGCAAAGAGCGCGCGGACGTCCTGGGCTTATAAAGAAAATAGGTTTGCGCGCGCACTGCTCGCGCGGCCTGCGCAAACGGTGCGCGCGACATTGCACGATGGTAGAAGAAAAGAAACGGAAGAAGCAACAAGAGGAAGTCAGAATATAAGAACGAAGTGGGGAGGCCGAGAACGTAGGGTCACTTTTGAAAGGCACAAGACGGACAGAGTGTTTAGGCAGAAGACGACCAATGGCAGAGGAAATAAGGAAGAAGAGAAGGAGTCTGCAAGCGATTGGAGAGACATAAGGCGGACTTGCCGAAAGGCACTTGCAAACCGGGCGGGAGTCTGACGGGAGCGAGTCAAGACGAGACTGAAAACAGACAAAAAATTCCCCAGAGGACTCGTCGGGAACCAAGCAGAAAAGGAGAGAGCATACAGTAAGAGCTCCCCTCGGAATCTGAAGCGACTCGCCAGCTTTTGTCAGAAGCGCGGTTTCGGTTGACCCGTGCATCTCTTCAGCCCCTCTTGTTCGGTATCTTAGCTTAGTAAAAAACCAACCTTCAGCTAAACTAAGTGCGTGATTGGAAAGCGACTCACAGACTTCTGCGCGCGCTTCTCTTACGCGCCCTCTCCTCCTGTCTCTCCCTCGGCCCCTCGCTCTCGGGGGGGGCCGCCGACTTGCTGAGGCTCCCTGCAGCGCTTGCCCCCCCACTGGAGTGCGCGGACATCGTCGCACCCCCGCCCGGGGAGACGTCACGTGGCTTCTTCAGAGGGCGCCGCGTGTCCTGACCTCCAATGTCGGCCCGGGGATCATCCAGGCTCTGTACGGACCACCCGCTGACCGTCCGGTTTGGCGCCAAGTTAGCTGGGTCCGCCGCCGCGCCCGGGTTTTGCGGCGGGTTATCTTCCGGGTCTCTGAGAGCGTTTGGCGTTGGGCTGGGCGGCCGCTTCAGAGACGGAGCCTTCTCTAGTTGTCCCTCGTTGGCCCTCCCTCTCGCAGTCCGCTTCCTCGGCCGCTTGGCGGGCGTCGACGTGGCGGCTGGGCTGCCCTCCGATGATGCCAGCTGGACGGCTGAGACCACCCCCGGGGACTCTAGTGCAGGGTCGGTAGGAACGATGAGCGTCGGAAGAGTTGCACCGACCAAAGGGGGCGCGGACGCCACTCTTTGGAGCACCGCCGGGGGTAGGTCGGAAACTCTTCCGGCGGCGCCGGATAGCCCCGCTGAGCGCTCAGGGAGCAGCCCCCCCGCGGGCACAGGGACACGTGGCACGAGCTCGGGAAGCGTGCCCAGGGGATCCCCCTCGCGGCGGAAAAGACCGAGTGATATGGCGAGTGCAGTCAGCGCCGCGTCGGACAACGGCACGTCGCGATGAAGCTCGAGTTGGGGGAAGTGGAGGAGGGCGGCCGACTCTTGATCCCGGCGCGGGAGCGCGCGTTCGATCGGCGCGGGGGGGTCGGAAGGGAAGCGGCGAAGGCTCGGGAGGGATCCCCCCGGACGGATGCTGCAGAGAAAACAAGAAAAGGCGGGTTTAGAAGAATAATGAGATGCTTCTGTCCCAGTTCAGTCCTCAGCTGGCAACCGTTTTGTACAAGCCAGGAGTGGGCTACTGCGCGTTCGTGCGATGATGAATCTGGAAAGATGGAAACAGTAGTAGAAGATGCACAAGGCGTGTTGTTTGAGTGACCGGGTAAATCAAAAAGAGATTGAGCCGTAGTGGGTGTCTACTCCCTAGCTTCGTGTGCGTACGTTGGAAGTCTTCTGAGCTTGCAACATGATGAGCAGCATTCAGTCGCCCGTGGTAGAAATTCTAAACGTCGACGCCTTTCATCCATTTGAAAGAAGCACGTTTGAAGGCAGGTCTTGAAGCGGTCCTTGAAAGCGCAAGGAGAGAGGATGGACTTCAGAATGGAAACACTTTTGTCCCAGATAGGAGTACAGAAAGGTGTACGAATACAAGTTGGATGCAAACCATTTTACCACAGACACGGTACAGATATACAAGATACAAAGCGGACACCAAATGAGGACGAACGACGAAAGAGTGGAAGGAGCTGGATCCGAGGGGACGGGACAGACGTATGGAGAACATATGCAATTCAGGGAAACAGTCGGTATTCAAAGAGGACTAAGATACTGTACGATTGGAACTAGACGGGAGAGGAAAACTTACCGGGCCCGAGCCCACTCCTCTGATCCCATTTCCTGGGTTCCCCTTGGTCCCCCCTCAGGTGGGGGCCTACCCAAACCCTCCCGCAGGTCATACGTAACCGGCTGGTTAAGCCCGGGGTTCGTGGTGGGGTCTGCATCGCGTTCATAGACGTCCCACAGTTCGGTAAAAATGTTGTGCAGGTTCGTTTGGTCTCTAAGCTGGGGCAAACCCCCTTGCCGTTGCGTCTGCGGATTTGGCAGCTCGAACGGGGGTAAGCCCCGGCCCAGGGGGGGTAGAGACACGGGCAAAGCAGGGGGGGTGGCCAGGAACGAAGCTTGGCTGGCGGGAAGACCGGGGCCCTGGACGGGTTGAATAACAAGAATGGTCAGATGGGTATAAAACGGAAAGGCTACACGAGAAGATCCAACCAAAGCTTCAGCAAAGTAAAAGTTTATTCCTGAGATAGACCACTTTTGAGCGAGCAGGAAGTTTGGCGGAAGGTACAAGGCGGGAACCGCAAAAAGGAGTGGGTTTGATGAGATTGGAGGAGTGGTTTTGGTGAATTGGAAACCTGTTTCAGGGCACGTTTCATCGACATGTGTTGTTACGGAGGTGGACAATCTGGAGCAGTTGATCGGATCTGGAGGTGTTGAACAGAGAAGGGGACCCCTTGAAAGATCTGGTGGGCTCGGCACTCCCCCCAAGCAAGGCGTATGCTTAAACGCCATTGTTTACTGCTTTCAAGGCTTAGCCAATTCTTGCAGAAGCAAAAGGGTTCCTTCGCTACTGCCCAGTTTCTGAAGGACTTAGGGCCCTGCCTAAGTCATCGCAATTGCTCTGCAAGAGGGGCGAGCTTTTGCAATGTTAGCCTGCACCTGAAAGCCCGCAGTAACAGAGCAGGAGCTATGTCTGAATTGCTCTTGACTCTCACCGACTGATGTAAACTATCTCAATTCGTCACAATCATGCTGATAAACACACTAGATCAGAAAGCTACAAGTTCAAGCAAGGCATAAGGTCCAACTGTAAATATGTTGCAGACCCTCTCCCCTTAGCTTCTCTGGAGGCTTTTTCAAAGAGGGGAATTTGCAAGCCACCAATGAGATCTTTTTCATCCCTGTCTTCTTGAAGGCCTCTTTTGCAGATTGGATGCAAGAGCTTATGGTCCCAATCCAAGCTTTGTGCAACACTCACCAGCTCTAGTTGCCCCACTATTGCCTGGTACGGGTTGCGCCACGTCGGCGCCGCGGCAACGGCTTGGACGGCTGGAAATCTTCCTGTCTGTTGGTATGGGTCACCAAACGGAAGCGGTGGAGCAGCTGCCATGCCAGCTGTTGCCAGCTCCATGCCAGCTGGCATGGTCAAGGGTGCGCCAGCTGTTGCAGGTGGCGCGCCAGCTGGCAGCTCCTGCAAGTACTGGCTGTACAAGGAGCTGTCTTCTTCTGTTGTGCTGCAAGACAAAGCGGGACTTTGGTTAGCCTCTTATCATGATTCCGTTCCTTTACCCCTGTTTTCGACCCCCACTTTGTCTGCAACAACCTGCTGGGCTGGGGGCCAAGCACAATCTATGTTACTCACGTAACTTTATGTTATTTGGGGCCTTTCACCCCTGTTTTTAGGCACACATTGCATTCCCCCAGGACTGCCACTCTTTGGTAGGCTGCGAGGCAAAGCAAAAGTGCTGGTCAGGAAAGACTGACTCAAACTTTGTTTCACCTCTTTTAGAGGGCTGTGAAAAGGTTTGAACCTGGTAGTCACTGGGCAGGTTAAGAAAAAAGAAAAGCTTCTTTTGCAAGGGAAGCAATGCATGGAGATATACTAAATCAGCCTATTGTATGCTGTGTAACCTGGTTATGCTCAGGCATTTTGACGCAAGCGCTGATCACAGAGCTGAGCACAAAGCCCAAAAGTTAGAATGCAAGAAGAAGACCAGCATTAGCAGCTGTTCTTGAGTATGGATGCATGCATGGAGCTGCTTTAGAATGTGACAAGAGTGAGAGGGGACCACACTTCTCTTCTGAATGGGAGACAACCAAGAAAGCATTTGCAGGAGATGAAGGGATGCTGCAGAAAAGTATCCCTATGTTTGCTCACGACAAAGCATGCCAAGGGAGAGGTAATGGCTTCCTTTGAGCTCACACCAGTAGCTACAAGTCTGCCTTTTCATCAGAACATTCACACCATAGCACCAAAAAAATGGTGTTACAGATGCAGCAACATGCAAGCTGCACATCTCAGCATGCACATTTGCATATGCCAACACCGCGCAGCTCAGTTTCTGACTCAACCCGCCTCGACGAGAACTTATCAGGAGCTACATTCTAACATCAGGAAAAAGGTGGTGCAATTGAAAGTCTCAGTCTCAGTGCAATTGAAACTCCCACCAAGATAAAGGTTGTCAATGCATTGACACCGCTTGCAGAAAAGGAGCTCACTTGGCTGGAGGGCCCCCCTCAGGGTCGCTCTCCTCCATGGCGCCCCCCCCAAAAAAGTTGCTGCTCTCCACCACCTCGCTTCCAAACACCCGCAGACTGCCGGCGCTGTCGCCCCACTCTCCAGGGGGGTCCCTGCTTCTGGGTGTCCCTGCTGGGGATCCCAAGCTCTCCCCCCCGGGACAAAAACTGTTTATCGACTCGCAGGCTGTGGCTTGGGGGAGCTTTATGTGAACGGTGTCTAAATCAATGGTGTCAAAGTCAGCTGCCAAGTCTGGGGACAGCAGGTGCTGTTCTAATTGACACCAGTTTGGTGTGTCAAGCCAGGCAGCTGACTCGGGGATTGTCACCGTCAATCGTTTGGACCTGCGGTCCTGGAAGGGGGTTGTCAATCTGCTGGCTCTATGGCCCCGGGAAAGCATGCGGGGCTCGCAAGTCAGAAGGGGGGGAGACATTGTCGCCGCTCCGAATGGAAAGGAATGCGACAGCTGTGATCACCTTCGCCCGGCATCGAACATGTGAGGCGCCCAGGACTCGCCCGTTCCTTCTGGTTGTTAAAGCTGTCTTGAAAGCCACCAGTTAAAGCCTGAGCAAAACCGCGCCAGCTGTCAGCAAGTTGTTGGCCAAGCGGCGGCCTGGCGTTAACAAGACCCCGCCAATGGAGCTGTGCTCAAAGAGACCTAGCTTGCACCCAGAATGTGCCGGCGCACATTCGAATTCTTGTCCTTGTCCTGTTGTGCTGCATTCTCAAGCCTTTTCAGGAGTGGCTTCTAGCTTCAAAGCGGCCGCTTCTGAGGGACTTTCCAAATTCTGCGGTTTGCAACGATCCTCATTCTGTCAAGAAACCGCGAGGGGAACCCTTTTATAGGGCTCTTATATTGGCCCTTCAGGAGTCGCTCTCAAGCTACCAAAGCTGCCGCCGTTTTGAGGGTTGCGTCACGGCCGTTTCCGAACATGCGCATTCCCCGTCTTTGTGAAAGGGGACACGCTTTTCTCAGACCTCATTCAACGCCGGCGCCTGTTCTATAATGGACCCTGAAGAATGTTCCCAACCACTGCCCCTTGGGAGATCCCTCACCAGACCGTTCAGCTATCATGCTCCTGCCAGTGATTTTAGGGGAGCTCTGAACTTGGCTGCTCAGTCAGGGTACCGTACACTACAGGGAATTCCCATTTTGACGTTCCCTATCAGCATTTGCCAGTGGCCTTTGGAGCTATCATTTGCATGCATGGCAAAGAATAATGGGTGATGTGCAGCGAAACCAGGATGATATGTATGGCTCAAACTTAAAGTTGGCCGTTCATGATGGATGTTTCCTACTGCCTGCCTGCAGAGACGCGGTGTCTGGCGGACAATACCTAACGCTGGACCTGAGCACCTGGAGTGTACCGTACTCACTAGTCACGAGTACCGGTACATAGGTACTAGGTACAGCGGGAGCCGCTAGCCTGGTACGGTACGTAGGTTAAAGGTACCCACTACCCAGATCAATGTTGCGTACCAGATCGAGGTACGGTGGTGATGACACTTGATCGTGCTGTACAACCTGATTGCTGTACCGAGGACTGTGCAGGGTACGGAAGGTTTGACGCTTTCGCTGATTGGCCGGTGGAGTCAATCCTGCGTCTTGGCCAATCAGAGCTGAGCAGAAGCTGTGGTGACGCAGCTGCTTCACGTTGTCGGTGTTCGTTTGAGGATATTTACACGCACGCTTACACGGGGGTTTGTGCGTGTGTGAAGAGCATGGCGACGACAGGACTCAGAAGGTACGCTCAGAAACGTGCAGGTCAGTGTACTCGCAGACAGGTGTACCCTTTTGGTACACCTCATAGTGTTCTCGCACGGTCGAGGACGGAGGCAACTCCGCAATTTGCGCGGCTCTGAAGAAATCGGCCAGCCACACCCTCGGCGGGCGTTGACCATGATGGCAAGGGAGTACGGAAGAATTGCGTACGAGGACTCGGACCCCGGAACGCCTGGCCGGGCGAGGCCCCGACTCGAACTTCGCCGCCGGGCGGTCAAGAGTCAAGACCTACTAACTGTAGGCTACCACACCTACCTTGCATGGGCCCATGCCGCATGGACCGATGGTACTATACGGATTCGACTCGCTGCCGATTAGCCGCCCGCACTCCATCATCATGGTCTCCATGGGACCATGGCACTCAGCAATGCCCAACCCATCACATACTATAGCATGTTGTTTCTCTGATTTCAATGTAGGTAGCTGCGAACTTGAAGCTGCATGCGTTAAAGGGTTTAGCCTCGTTATAAAATCAAAACTATCCTACTATTATACTATCAACCGCGCATTGGACCTCGCATAAATGAGACGTGCAAATTACACCGGTTGTGAATTATTGAATGATATCCATATTGATGCTTTGGACCCGCCATCATGCATTCGATCTTGGTTCACCTTTGCAAACCCCCGAAGGACGTTGAGACGCTCTTGATAAGTGTTGAAAAGAAGGTTCTTTCTTTGTATTTTAATCATCTTCGAATGTGACGTGAAAGTGACAAACATTTTATCCAACTAGTGATCAATATATGATGATTTTTTGCCAGGGATCGATGGACCGTGGGTATTAAAAAGACTTCAATAGTTCATTGCTAGCATCTGTTTCATCCACATGGGATCCACATGTGCTCACTATCATACCGTCAATTACCCTGCTGCATTGACGACTTCGGGCAAGAATAGCTTTACAATAAATATAGTCGGGGCGCTAAGGCGGCTACAATCATCATTCGTCACTTGACTCAAGGAATCGGGTCCATGAGAAGAGAGCAAACTAGAAAAGGAAACATGCAAATGAGGCGCAATCGAGACAAATATATTATGGCAACTAGACATATTATCCTATTATCCCTTTGGGTTCAAGGGGGTTCGAAGGTTCAAGAGACAAGTGTCTGAAGACCAGTGGAGTGCCACTGAGGGCGTTCCATCCTCTGAGAGCTGTCTTCAGGCACTCACAATCATTTGAGGGTAAAGTATAAAATAGGAGTTGTTGGCGTCCTCTGCAGTAAAAAGTCCAGAAAATCAAAATACAGATCTGACAATCATGTGTACATAATTGGTACGTGTACATAATTGGTAGGTCATGTACAGATTTGAGTACACATGTCGAAACTAGGAATGACCAAACGCAGATTTGTCAAAGTCCCGTGACGTTTTCTACACCGACCGTGACACCGTCTCAGATACGTTTCCGTTACAAGGCGACCAGTCTACTTTTCATACGACCAGTATTAACACTACAGCGGCCGCTTAGTCCCGGGCCCGGGCCCGCCGTCGGCGTCGGGACGGTGCTGGGAGACTGGCACCGCCCGCTCAGCTCCCGGCTGTAAGAATAACGGCAAGTCGGTCCCCATCACCGGGTGGGGTATGGTACCACGGTCGCCCAAGTCCGCCATTTTGTACCTGAACGGCGAGTTTGAAAAACGGTATCGAAGTCGGAGGAACATCGAGTTATTACTGACCACATATATCCTGTAACAATGCACGTGTTGCGGTGACGTGTTGTCAGTACATCCAATTGTTGCTTCGTGGTACGGAATTGACCGGATTCAGTGACTCGAATGAATGTGAAACTGACACACTTTCATGCTATATTGTGACCCGTAAGTTGTAACGCCTCGGCGGCCACTTGCCCGTATGCCCGCATTTCGGGTCGCTAAATCTGGTCCCACGTGATCAATTTCCCGGCGACACGAGGATATGTGCTGGGAAAGAAGGCACTGTGGGTTAGAGTCTTGGACGCCCTTAATCGGTGACGCCCTTATCGGGCGTGTGACCAAGTTCCAACATTCCGAGCTACCGGGGCACATAAACCAAAACACCTAACCAAGATTATCACGCGCTCGCACTGGCCAAGTGGCCAACCCACCCTAACGGTTAGCTAGGTTCCCTAACCACTTACCTACTCCACCCGTCTCCCGGGCGCACAAGAGTTGCCAGCTGATGGTGGTTAATGGTCTAGCGGTAAGACCGAGGGACTCGGCGAACATCGACTCTCGATAGATCGCGGGTTCAAATCCTGCCAGGCTGCGACTGAACGCATGTGCATGAGTTTGCATTTATTTTCGGGCGATCTGCTGATGACTTCTCATGGAGCCTCCTCCGGGCGAAAAGGGTTGCTAGATTGCTACAGCACTCCTCGACTGTTGAACCCTTTCTTTTTGACAGGTTGAGTCCCTATAGTACAAACTGTTCGGATCGGGTATGCAGGGCCTACTGCAGATGATCGTTCTGAGTGAAGTCTCTCCATTACCGAGTCCATCTCTCTACGGGGAACCTACCGCATGGTCCCAGTGAGTCTGGTACGTGACGATGACGATACAAGTAGGTACCTGACCCGATGCTAGGCGGTGTTAGGTAGCTATTGAGGGAGCTTGCGTTGGCATGCGCAAAATCGGACAAAACCTGTTGCAACACATTGTATGAATAGCGTCGAGTCATATAGTAGGATAGTAGGCTTCGGAGTGGTGCTCGAGGGCCTGCCTGAGAGAAGATCATTCTGCAACTAGTTGCACCATTGGGAGGTCCTAAACCCTGTGGCTTCGATTCGTACCACCTGTCGAGCCTTGCGCCGTGCGTCCACGAGTCAAGTTAGTTTCGCCGCCAAAATCATAAGTCGATAAGTCACTTCGTAAAAGGAGTTCCTAAGTCGCTTCGCAAGCTCCGACTTGAAAGTTTTAAAAGGAGCAATTTGCCCATCATATGCAGTGCACAGGCTAGGGGATCTTTCTAATAGACTTGAAGGTGGTTTGCGAGGGCCCAACCGAGCAAATCTGTAGAAGTGTGGAATTCGTCCGATGTGTGCCCACTACGGCGCCTGTGTGTCAGATTACGGGCAACAGCTCGGCTCTCCTTTCATGGAGTGGTCCGAAATCAGCTTGATAGAGATGCGTAGATCGTGGTGGCACGTGTGTAAACTGGTTTCCCTAAATGAGTCAACAGTAACACCGGCCGCCGGGACGAATCGGAACAGTTCTAACAAATCTGCCAGCTGGTTTAACAGATTGGACGCCCACTGCTAAGAGTGTAAAGAGCCTGTGCTTCGGAGAAGAGTATTCGCTCAAAAGCTGTGCTTGCTCCTGAGCTTTTGTCGCTCACCTCGCTGACTTAGTCAGCCTCGGAAGCACCTAGAAAGCCTCGGTTTGACTTTAGTGATGGATACTCCCACACTCGTGTGCCACAATCTTTAGAAATTGGGACCGCTCAAAATGGTCTGAGAATCTCTGAGGTGATTACGAAGCATGCAACAATGCAAGCACCCTTAATCTGGATCATGCAAAAAGTCGGTTGATTTACAGCGGTTACTTCCGATCAATGTGGAATGTTGATTGATTGATTGACAGCGGAAGCGGGGCCCTCAATGCAAAGGGAAAGAACTCATGGTGCGTGGATGCGTGGATAGATCAACAGAAACATCATAGAGGCTCCGGGCCTGCGCAAAGCTTGTAATCTTGCCGTCGGAGGCTATTCGCTTTTCGTTTCAAGTTTGGTATCTGACAGTGCAGGCTGTAGGGGACGTGGGGGGGACGTTTGTTAGGAATCGTTGAGTGACAATGTCGCGGTCATAATAGCTTCTTCGACGGGCCCGCTTGCACCAGAACAGAGAGTTGAAGAGTATTGTACAACGCCACACACTGAGAACGGCCATGCTTCCAAGCCTGTGGCACGTTGAACCGTACGACACGAACCGTGCCATCACGTTGAGTCTATGATTAAATGTATCCTTGAGCAGTTGAAAAATCTACACCTTTTTGCCCAGTGTCCGTAGCATGGCCATGCATGACCATCGGGGGACCATCGACTGAGGGCTCCTCGTGATCTGGGCCTTTCGAAGCTAGCTAGAGTGCACGATCTTCCATTGGCTCGCATTCAGTCAAGTATGACCGATGTCGACGCATCCGCTATGCACAGCTCTCCATTATGCAGTGCTCGATCCTGCTTGATGCACAAGACTTAATTCAATCAGATCTAGCTACATAATCAGGCCGCCTGCGCGCATCGATCACGGATGAGTCGATGCACGATGTCTAGTCCACGTACCCTAGGCCAACAATTGGATTCATGGCGACCTACTGGCCATGGCATGCATGAGTTCAATTGCTATGATCGAAACCGACATCATAGGTAGTATAGATTTCAAACATGCATAGTAAGTTGCTGATCAATATGTTGACCGTGTAGCTATAACTGTGTATTTTCGTACGTCAATTCGGAACCGGCTCAGATTGCACAGTGACATGTTGAATTGAAAATTGCATATAAAGTCGCGTCCGCCTGGTCACGAGCACATGAATTGCAGCAGGGCCGCCACGACCAGCCCACGGTCGTCCTGCAGGCAACTTCTCATTCAATGTCATTTGTACCATTCCCGGCTCCCTTATGATTATCATGACTCTCATTGACTGCTTTTGTCACATGTACATTGAAGTGAAACCTTGCTAAGAGTCGGCACTTAGGCAAGCGACTGCGCTTCATCCGACCACAGCATGGGTCAATGGCTTGGCCGCCACTTTTGCAGGAAGTATAACTATTGAACAATCAACTTCGAAATGTAGCTTCTGGGTTTGTAGTCTCCTCGTCCAAACAACCGTTCTTCTCAGAAGACCCTTCATAAACTTACGTAAGTGATCTATGATAACGCTCTTAGGCATTAGTAGACGTAGGTTCCGGCATGCTATTAATTTGACCACCGGAACCAGCCAGAATCCGCAAGATAAATTCAAGGGTCATTGTGAATGCCTGGAGTAGCATGGGCTGGCGGCGTGGGGATTTCATCTGGAAGATAAGGGGGCGACAAAGGAGGCGGGGAGATTGGGCTAAACAGCTCCCAGTCCTCGTCGGTATTCGGGCTTGCCCCTGGGGGGGGTACCTTCATGGAAGCCAAGAGCAACGTCAGAATTCAGCTTTATGGCGTGCTAAAGACGACAGGATGGCATTCATCGTTGTGCCCAAAATCGAAAAACATGACTCTTCAGAATAGGACAGGGGTGTCCTCGTGGTCGAGCGGGTCAGGCGGCCTCGATCTTTCTGAATGTCAGAAACGTTCGGAGGGGCTTATAGAGGCTCGTTAGTTCCCGTTCTCAGAGTCTCCTCCCCTTCTTGTACAGAGCTTTGGCAGGTAAAGAGACATCAGAGGGTCAACAGAAGAAAGTTGAACGATCTGGAGTAGATCCACTTGCTTCCAGGACGTACTAAGAAAGGTGCCCTCGTTGACATGCCTCATAATGCGGGACGACCCACAGGCAGACACAAAAAAAGAAGGAAACGAAGTGTGCGGCTTTGGACCGCCTTGCTGACCATGCCAACACTGCTCGGGCTTGTAGCAGGTTGGAGTGAAAACCGTAACTCTTGCAACGTGTTCGTAGGCAAGATCAATCGAAACGGCCAGAAAGGCTCGGATCTGACCCGCCACAAAACGACCTCACCCAAAAGCTGCGCAGGCCGTCTTCGAATTCTCAGAAAAATCTTACGGCTCTTCTACCGCCTGTGATTCAGGAGCTCCGTGATTATCTCTCTCTAGTTGAGAGTTTGGTTGCTTGCTGACTTGTCATCCGCGAGGGAATGGATTTGTTAGACCGTCTGAGAGCTACATCAAACACTGAAAACGTTGATTGCGAGGGATTCGAGTTGCAGGGTCTGTCGAACGAAGCCCCAAGCCGCTAACACACAAGACAAACTTATCATCCAAGGAAGTAGTCAACTTCAGCCGTAAGTCATTTTCTAACCAAAATGAGGCAGCAACTCTCCAACAGGATTACTTCGACTTCATTAGCCACTGGACTCGATCTCCGCTTCGCTTCTTTGCACTTCTCCTCGGCTTTTCGAACTCACCGTTAAGTCCGCAGGAGAGAGCGGCAGCGGGTCTTCCTTGAAGTAACGGTGCTCGAGCGCCTCCCGTGCCGTCAAGCGACTCGCAGGATCATACCTGTAAGTAGAATGGGGGCCTTTTCAGATACCAGCCAAGGTAATCGCAGGATCATACCTGTAACTAGGATGAGGGCCGTTTCAGGAGCCAGCCAAGGAAAGCGAAGATGACACTTGCCAGGATGCTGGTCTTTTTGAGGACAAGAACGTTCCGGCGACCAATGCACTGCTGATGGGGCTAAGTCGGTCGCTGGAGGCGACCAATGCACTGCTGATGGGGCTAAGTCGGCCGCTCGAGGCAGACTCCGGAGGTTACATGAGCCGTCTAATGACGTTTCAACACAGAAATTTGTACAGCACGAATGTGGCCAAGCGTTCGCCGCTCTCTTTGATCGCTCGACAGGGAGAGACGAACCGCCCAGCCAACATCGCCTCTCGTCAACCGCTCCCCTCCGCAGCGACTTGGGAGGGTCGTGATTGTGAGCATTGTTAGTTACTCAGAGAGTAAGAATGGGGTTCAGAAATCACTAGGCCTGCTTCATCTGTACAATATCAGGATCTCAAACGACCGAAAAGCGCTCGTGTCCTGGAAGACAACACAAGGACAGTGATGCCTTCTCGATTAAGCGAAGACGGAAAGTGAGCATGCTGCTCTGGAGTTTCGATCCGACCAACACGCTACTTTGTGAGTTTGCACTTTCACGAGCGTTCTCCTTGAAGAATGTGGGGCTATGAAGCGAACACAGGTCTCAAAACGCGCTACAAAAGGGCACGATCCGCTGTGTCACATGACAGCCTGAGCACAACAGATGCGCAGAACATGCCTATCGTTTGACCCCCAAAAATGTACGAGACCCCCAGATGAAGCTTGCCTCCTCACCAATACGATGGATGTCAAGGAGCGCTCCGCTTAAATGTGGCTCATATTGCTACCACAAAAGAGACTAGAAAGGCATTAGCTTTGCTTTTCTCCAGCAGCACCTTCACTTTCTCTTCGCTGCAGAAAGACGACAGTAAGAAACCCCCATCACCAGTTCCGCATGCTCGCTCACAAGAATCCCAGAAACAGACCCCCAAACTAGTTCCGCAGTTCCACCCACAAATGAACCTAGAGAAAGTTTCCCTAAACAGTTCTGCGTACCCCCGCCCACCAAGAGGATCAGAAAATGAACCCTCACCGTATCAGCCCGTCCAGCAACTCAATCGCGCCGGGGGATCCCCCCGGGACCAGCCCCGGCCACGACACCCTCTCGCAGGGCGCAAAGAGGATCTTTCCGTAGTCGGGGAGCGCGCTGACGCCGGGCCACGTGGCATCATCTGCCGTCCCGAGCGTGCGGATCACGCGGTTCAGCTGGTCGATGTCGTGGTCCCCGGGAAAAAGGGGTTTGCCGGTGAGCAGCTCTGCGAAGATGCATCCAGCGGCCCACATGTCGACGGCGGGGCCGTAGCGGCAGGCGCCGTAAAGAAGCTCGGGGGCGCGGTACCACCTGCAAAGCAGTACGGGTTTAAAATATTCTGGAAGAGGATAAGCATTACGCCTCTTTTATGGACTTGAAAGGTTGACGTTGTAGCCGCATGCAAACTGTAGAGAGATCTCATGAAATTGCCTGAATGCAGATGGGTTCGGGAATGGGGTTATGGTAGCCACTGTGACGGCAGGAGCCTTAAAGACGCTCCGAGGCGCAGTACGACCTAGAGGGTATCATTGGAGATGGAAGACTGGAACAGTTTGATCTGGGAAAGAACGACACGCGTTCTGCTTTCCAGGGTGTCATGCATTTCGTAGCGGGTACGACCTGCCGGACTCTGATAGGTTTGGGAAATGGTTGGGGGTGAGGTCAAGATTCACCAGCGGCATCCCAGGAAAGAAGCTCCAGGGCGCGGTTCCAACTGGCAGAATGTTGAAGACTTTTGGGACACCTGAGCAAGATACGAACTTGAATCCTTCTCAAGGATTCTTTGAGTTGAAGTCTTAGCAGCAGTCAAGTCCATAGAGGAGAATCGAGGAAGAGCAAACTGCTAGACTTCTGGTGGGTTTGAAAAAGACTTAAGGTGAGGTCAAGAGTTGGAAGGCATCTTAGAAAAATGTCAATCGAGTCCCTCTCAAGATTTTCTGATGGTAACGGCAGTCAAAAGGAGGAAAATCGAGGAGTTCGAATTTCCGGAATTCGGTGGATTGGGAAAGGGTCGCAAGCTAGCATGCGGCCACCGGCTTCAGCTCAATAATTCTGGGGGTCGGGGAGACACGCTTCAGGGGTCGACTTTCGGGTCAACTTCCGTCGAATTCTGGGAGGGTAATCTCTTGGGGATCCCGGATGCTCCGCTTCCAGGACGGGGGTAATGTCTGAAGTTAAAGCTTGTAGAAGGGGCAGGGTACTGGTGGTCAATGTGGAACTTGAGAAGAAAAGGCGGCCAGATGCGGCCAGCATGACGTCAGCGGATTTGGAGAGACATCAGCGGCTCAGCGGCTTACCGGGTGGCGACGGTGTGCGTGTAGAGCCGATCGTCGTCTGCCACGTACTCACGGGCCAATCCGAAATCGGCGACCTTGAGCGTTCCGTCGGAAGCAATCAGAAGATTGGCCGGCTTCAGGTCCTGCCACAATCGAGATGATCTTGTCACGGAGTGAAGGTAATCAAAAGGTCGGCCGATTTTAGATCCTGTGAACGTAAGCAGAAGACTTGCAACGCCCAAATAGGAGTGTATGGACCTTGGGGGTTCCGTCGGAGGCAAGCAGAAGGTTTGTTGGCCTCAGGTCCTGCAACGTTCAGACAGACAGTTGTGGAGCGAATGGCCAGAAGAAAGGAGAGTGCTATTCTCCTTCGAGTCGTGTTGCATGCGATTGAAAGGTTAGCCGCATTCAGATCCTGCATAAAAGAGAGCAACTTCACAACTACGAACGTCAGAAAAACTGTACGGGCCGACCAAACTTGGCGACCTTAAAGCTCCGTCGGAGGCGATCAAAAGCTTGGCCGGCTTCAAGTCCTGCAAGAACTGAGAAACCCGGATCTGCACGGTGAACGGTCGGAAAAAAAAGCATCGGAGACTTGGTGTCTCCCGTTGAAGGCCTTCAGAAGGTCGGTGACTTTCAGACACTGCCGGGAAGAAGATAGTCGGCAACAATGAACGGCTAAAGACGAGCATACAAACCGTGAAAGTTTCGTGAAAGGTAATTACACAAATGGCCCGCTTCAGGTTCTGCAAAAGGTGAGAAAGAAACTGCAGTGGGGGGACGACCAACGGAGAGTGTTTGGAGAATCGTCGACGGCACAACTAAGAGGTTGGCCGGTTTCAGATCCGGCGAATATAAGGAGAAGCTTTGTGACGCCAGAAAGAGTCGTAACAATGATAAGCCGATACGAAAAAGCGCGATTTTGAAAATCGTTTTGCATGCGACTGAAAAATTGCCCGCATACATCGACCTTAGTGTTCAGTTGAGGCGTCAGGAAGGCAGATAGTTTCACATCTTTCAGAACCCAAAAGGAAGCCAGAAACTAAACCATAACCTTAAGAGGTCAACGCACTTGCTCCGACTCATAATCAATGAATCCCCGTTCACTTGATCAAACGAGCGCCGCCAGAGAGACTGATCGACACGATTGCCCTTGTTACCATTGAAAACGAAAACTAGTCTAAAGAACGAAAGACTTGCTAGGCAGATGACCGCTCTTCCAGGAAAAATGGCGACAGAGACGGGCTACATACTTGCTGACAGGTAAACACAGCAAAGTCGTGCGTTTCTTTTTAAGCTTAAACACCCTACACCTGAATCCTAGAAACACAGTCATTCGATATGGAAAGGAGAAAGCGCTGAGGCTCACTCTGTGCATAATCCCTGCAGAATGGCATGCCGCGATGCCTCTCAGGAGCTGGATGAACCAGCCTTTGACGGCGGCCTCGTCTAAGGGCGCTTCCGAGTTGCGCAGCAGTTGGGCAAGGTCCGCGGGGCAGAACTCGAAGATGAGGATGAGCGCTGAGCCCATCTTGTAGTGGTCCAACAATTTCACCTGTCAGAGAAGAGCATACGCAACTGTTCCTTTGCCTGGCGTATAAAAGGCGAGTCTGAACGTCGTGTACTTGGCTTTTCAGCGTGGTCTGTACGGCTGGCTTTCCAGGCACGAAGATGGAGGGAATCACATCTTGATGTTGCTGTTTTTGCAGGACAAACGATGCAAAAGTTTCTTATGTCAGCAGCAGGTCGAACTTTAGAATCAATGGAGGCCGGGCAGTGCAGTGGGTTGATGCAAAGTGTTGCGCTTCTAGGCGTGGGAGCTTTCAGCTTGCTTTCAAAACACAGACCTTGATGCGAAAGCTTTCCGCCAGCCTGCGTAAACTATCTACTGAAATGGAAGCAGCCCCCTAAAGAGCACGTCCGTATGATCAGGAAAGCTCCAAAAGCTGCCCAAAACTTGTCTTCGTACGCTATTCCAAAGAACGGCGAGGCTCAGATCGGCCCTGACAAGCTTCAGAGAAAGCAGAGTCTAAACACGCATTGCAGGAACCTCAAATCAACCCCATGATAGAGGTTGAAAAGTCCACCCAAGTTCTCAGCGTGCTTGGATTGTCCACCAATTCTCAAACACAAGAAACGTCATGACCAGCCAACATCTAAGTTGAGTGCATCCAGTACCAGCCATTAGGGCGCTTGAACGGGCTGTGGTTCTGCTCAAAATCCCAAACCCACATTGAAACCCAACCCAAAACTCTTTACTCACCACATTAGGGTGGTCCACTCGTTCCAGGGCATGCACCTCCCTCATCAAGTTCTCAACTTGGCCCATAACCAGCCTCCGCTTGAAGCACTTTTTGAGCGCCACAATCGCCCCATCTTCTTTCCGCTTTGCCTTGTACACGGCGCCGAACGTCCCCTCGCCGATCCGCTCCGAAACCTCGTACTTTTCGTGACACGCGTACCGCTGACTGTCGGGCCAGTCGGACAAGTCGATCGGGACGTCTCGCCACCAGTCGGCGTCTCTTATGTCCACGCTCTTATGCACGTCCCTTTGGCTCTTATGCACGACTCTCCCTGAGCAGCCACTTTCGAATGCACCCTCCCCCTCCCCCCCTTCTTCCAAGCTGTCCTCCAAACCCCCATTTGCACCATTCGCAATGCCTCCCCCAAACCACCTGTCCTCCACATTCTGATGACCACACCCAGCAGTGATGTCATCCTCGACCCCTGGCCCCACTCTCCTGAAGAGACGCTGCGCATCCCCTCGCTCGCTCTCGCCCTCGTCTGAGTCGTCGCAACATGCCTCCCAGTCTAGATCCACATTGAGCCCAGGACCCTGGCTGTCAATAAATGCTATGTCAAGCGAACTAGATTCACTAGAAACTCCGCAATCAAGCGCCGTTTCGGGCACCCAAGGCACCGCCAATGATGCCTTCTGCCTCCCAGACTGCTCTGTCAGACCCTCGTAAGGCTTCTCTGCATGCAATTCGCCAATTCTAGGTCTGCTTGGGCCATCATCACTCATTTGGGAGTCGCTTGTGTGCAATGGCTCTTTTAAGGGTGTGGTCTCAGCTCTGCAGGACAGCTTCTCCTCAAACACTGAGCTTTGAGAAGGGGGGCTCCTTTCTACTGCTTCTGAAACTGGCGGCCAATTGTCCATTTCTGTTGGATAGGCTGAATCAACGAACCGGTCCTCCCAGCCCTCCCGTACATCAGCGTTCATTTGCTTCACTGTTTACAACATGTACACATCTACCAGCTTACGTGTATTGTACAACAAGGACCAAAAAGCTGGGAAAGCTAACGAAGGGTTCTAGAAAATGTAGGGTTCTCCAATGCAGGAGCTTACGGCCTGATTGAAAGACTAGTGGTTGCACTGACCCGCTGAAAACCTCTGGCTATGGCTAGGGTTCCCAGGGAGACCTTATATCGAACCAGCTCTTTGCTAAGGTTAGCTGGTGATTCTCAAAGCTCCAAGGTCCACAAGGCCCGAAAACTGCCAGCCTGCACCCTAGAGTCAGCAACCAGCACAGAGCCGCAAAGAGCGGCAGCGAGGAAAACCCTATGAGGAGCACTTTCATGAGAACCTGCATGGTGGCTTTTCAAGAATTTTGAGTCCCCAGCAACAACAGAAATGCGCCAATTCAGCGCTCCAAGGCTGCCATTCGCAGCTGATTATAGGCTACCAGATCAGCTTCAAGAAGACCATCCTGTATGGCAAATAGAGCAAAGGTGCCGTGGAAAGAGGCGCAATTGAACAGGCTACGGTAGCATGGGGTGCCATATGGAGCTTCCCAAAACTTCCTCAGGAAAGGCTGCCTCAGCCTGCAACTTGCAAGTTGAACTTGAAGAATTTCAAGAAGCACGGAGAATTCAAGCAGACTGCG